GTGTGGTTTTGTCACTTAAAAGTAAAGGAAACCATGTACAGTATATACATTTTTGGGGACATGCTACTGTAGTTATGCTAGCCTCCCTTTTACCCTAAACTGTAAACTGTATAGCAAGTTGATCATTGGCTCTTCATAAGAGTACTTTCTGTTTAAAATAATACAGCATTTGGAGTATTAATTAAGCAAGAATGTGTAACAACACCTAGAACATTTTAAGGTTCCCCTGGAATCTTGATTAGGGAATAACCCACTGAGTGCACAGCTGGGAATTTCAATAGATGTTTGCTCCTGATTATTCATGATAATCCATGACTTGACGTAAAATAATGGTCTGCTTGGCTCTTTAGAAGTGCAGAGGGGATCCATATTGAGTAACTTGTCTGCTAATGAATGCAGTTGAGACATAGTGGTGTTTTTGCTGCTAATATTTTAATAGGCCTCTGGTACACAGTACTGGAAGGAAGCTATAGGAGCACTTTCTTCGGGTACCTCTCAACACTGTTTTTCTTTTTCCATGTCATTGGTTTGAGAAAACATGAGCTAATGGGGAGATGTTCTTTTTTTATCCTTTAAAGCATTCTTCAGTGTCCTCCACATTGTTTGCTTAAAAAAATCTTTTAAGATGGAAACAACTGACAGTTTTTTTAATTGAATTAATGTGAATGGAGCAGAATTTCACTTACTCCTACTCGCAGCCCGTAGTAAATTGATGTTCCATTAGCTCCACTCTTACACTGAATTTGCAATTATTTTGTTTTTGTCTGATTTGGTAAAATAATACCCATGCATGTTGTAGGTTTTCAGTGTTCTCACCTTTTCCACGTAGGATTCATCTTTAAAAAGTTACACAGATGAGTAAACGTCCTGAAAATAGGTGAATATAGCCAGGAACTATATTCTAAAAGAATTAAGTATGCCATGACAGTTTGGGAAGGCTGCCCGACAGCTGCTTTAGCATCAGGTAGTCGGAGAAACCCTCTTGGACTTACCAGGCCATTGATGAAAATCTTGCTTGTTTTTTTAAAATCAAATTCAGTTGAAAATTCAACTTTTAACACTGGGGGGGGGGATCCTGTAACTATGGTAACAGCAGATAGTAGAGCTAGTAGATGGTGTGTTAGACTGTATGACAGTGCAGTTAATGTATTCATATGGTTTTGATAAAATGTTATCAAAGGGATAATTGCATCTCCTTTGCTTATTAGGTTCCTGTGTTCATTTGTAAGAGCTTTTATAGTACATAAGATTAATATACTCTATTTCTATTGTACTTTGGAGCAGCTTTTGCTTATCAGTTTTCAGTAAAAAATTGTTCATGTACTGTTTTGTTCATCCATCAATGCCAATGTGTTGTGATTGTTGGTTTCTTATCCAGTGACCACAACAGTGCTGCCGACTGAGGGTGAAATTAATTTGTTTGTTATACTAGTTCAGTGCATTCAGTATTGTTGCACAGTGTAAAGTGTATGGTCCAGATTATGGTGCAGTCTAATTAATAGTTGATCTTCATTAATGTTCATGTGGTGAACTTATAATAGGGAACTCCTAAGAAATGTGAATTTCTAAGCACAGGAAGTGTGAATGTGCTAAGAAAATAATTCTACACTCGCACTGTACTGTATGAGCTCTAAAATGTTGAAGGGTTTGAAGATACTGTTCAGCCAGCTAATTTCCTTTCCTCAAAGGTTTGGTATTCATAAAGTAAGACTTTGATTACTAATAAGCTCCTCAGTGCCCAGCAGGCTGCACTTCTTTGGAAAGAAACAAGCTTGAGTTGTTGCCACAAGTTGCTGTGTGTGTGACTTACTACCGTACCCAAAGAAACTGCAGCTCAGGGCTGAACTGAGTTGAACCAGCAAGAGGAATGTTTTTTGATATGTTTTTGATAAGTCTCACATCTATGTGCTGATAAGAGATTATTTTTATTATTCTATTTAATTATATCATTCAAGATGTCAAAGTGGAAAATCTGGATATTTTTTCATCCTCTGGAATTCCACATTCCTGAAAAATCACTTATACTAAAATAAAAATATGGGCTGTATAATAAATACAGAGTGGATAGTTTGCATAAAAACACATAAGGATAATATACATATTTAAATTTGGATATAGATTTGCTGTATTTTTCCTGCGCCTATTAATATAGAGTGTGCTGTACTGTATGCATTTTCATATAGCTTTATTTAGTTCACTTTTACTAGTTTAAAAAAAGTATTTCTGGTCTTTGGGGACTCATATCACTCTTGTCTTGTTCAGAGAATCCCCTCAGTGTATTTTAAACAGGACAGCTCTGATGTGAGTGAATGACCTCAATTTAAGTTTGGCATAGCGATTAAAAACCTAGTTAAGTCATATGACTCATAGTTAAAGCCACTATTAAAGGAATAGTGAAAACAGAATATTTCTTTTACATTGTGTCCTGGTTTTGTTTTAAAAAAATTGATAAATATATTAAATGTGTGTGTAAACGACGAAGTATACTCCTCATCAAAAGTAGCGTAACTCTTAAAACTACAACAAATTCACAAAGTTGATCAATTATGATGATTTATATTTATCATCAGTAGACATGACCAACAGTGTGTCTCCTGTTAAAGTCACGGATGTCACAACTAATGCCTGGCTACCTGCACTTTCAGTGCTTTTCTGTCTTAATTTAAAACAGGCTTGCCATTCAACAGATTAAACTGGCTGGGCCCAATCCACACTCTCACTAATGAGGTGATTTACTGCTTATGCAGCAGTCAGTCACTGGAGTGCATCTCCATCAATCATGAATGATCGGTTAATCTGGAAATAGAAAAGGCGATATGTTTCTTTTCATGCTCAGTTTATTATAGCTGTCATTTGCCAGCTATTGTTAAATGGGAGAAGCATTGCATAAACCAGAAGACACTAATGGAAGTGAAGGAAAGGTGCGTTTAAACTGAGAGCAGGTAACATTTCTTTAGACACAGTGTCATGTCATCCAAGCCCAGACCATTGCTTCTCTCGAGATATGGACGGATGAGTCTTGGATTACTCTGCTACTTAAAAGCTAATGAGCTACTGTAGATTGGCCAAACGACTTCCTTGGGACTGCGAACATTCTTATGTTCTAATGTTCTGACCTGATTTCTTTTGTGGAACTGCTGTTAATACAAACAGAAGCTCCTGCGACTCTCCCTATATGTATTTAAATTTATTTGTAGTGTAAATATAACATACACTTTCAGTAGAACTTTTTGGAATACTTTATTGCCAGGAAAATGATTCTGCCACAAATAATTCTAGATGCAGCAATGATCCTACATGTACGCCTTATTATAAATTAACAATACCATTTATTTACAACAATATGACAGTTCTGTAAAAGTAAACCATTACTTAATATAAATAAATACCTTACAATTAGAATAGTGTCATATCTCAGAAAGTCAGAAACGTTACATGCATTCTTTTTCTTCTTGAGAAGTTAAAGAACAATCAATTTGAGACTGACCACACTTTTCCAACCTTATCAAATTCACTAGCACCTATTTATATGAATAGTATAGTATTATACAGTAGTGTTGACCATAAAGGAGAAATTCTTCTTATTTTGATGTTTGCAGGATACAGTGTCAAATATTAGCATAACAATTAAGACTATTTTATGGTCAGTTTACTTATTGAAGTACTCATAGAAATTATTGGTTTATAATTCAGTTCACAGTGAGTTACAAGTGGAGACAAACCTTGTTTGCTCCTGATTCAGCAGCCTTGTCACATAATTCTCCAATTTCAGATCTGTACTGGGATGATATGAAGCTCTTAGGCTTTGTATACTTATTTTTGTGTTTAAGAAGATCATATCTCATCTTGCACAAGTCTGTGTGTGTGGAGTTCTGTACCTGTTCATTTTTTAACCTTGCTTTGTGATTTAAAAATATATATAAAAAAACAAGAGAGATAAGAATTAGATTAGACCAGCCAGCCAGTTGAGTGTTATTTGTTCTCTCTGAGCTTCTGTAGATAAAGCCTGAATTTGCCACTTGTGCACACTGAAAAGTAGAACCCTGCCCAAAATAAAAATATTTTTTTTTTGTGGCATTCAGTTCTCTATCATGTTGGCTCTGTTTTTCAGATTGTAGCTTTCACTTTCATTACAGACATAATATTTTACATTTTCTTAAGCACTTTCCCTTCTACTTGACCTTGCCTATAGTTTACATGCCATTATCTGTTTTTTCCAGGGAGTGAAAACCATGAATAATTGGTGATTGGTATTGAAAACTGTAGTAATTGTCCATTCATTTTGTAATGCATAAACAACCTTCAGAGATGTTTGGTTATTTTGTAAATATACTTTTTCCGTCTCTTCAGATTTATTTTGAGACAGCAGTTTTGTTAAAGAGCTAATTGCTAAGTACAGGCAGACAAAATTGCACCCACAATGTGATAACTGGTAGCAAAGCATGACAAGAGTGATTTAAACCTTAAAGCCCACACTCCAGTAATGTCCTTGAAATGAGCAGCTCTGTTAAAAGCCTGAATTGTAAGTGTCCTCTGCAGGCATAGTGTTACTCTTTGAAACCCGAATGCTATTTGTGTGTGTGATAGATTCTTTTGTAGGTTAATAATGCTTTTTGCACAGTCTGTCAGAAAGAAAAGCTGCACATTTTGAATACATTTGTTTGTCCTAGAAGTCTTGACAAATTAACAGGTACATTGTATTCTGTCCACTTGTGTCAAAAATAATGCAGAATTGCTCTTTGTGTAGATTGAAGCTGTGAAGCTGTTTTTTTACAAAGGGTTATGAATCTCAAATAAATTCAAACCATTTTGTCAAATCTTCAAGTAAGTGACAGACTGAATGTTAAAAATGACTTGTATTATCCAGAATTATATTGAATTACAAGGAAACATGGTAAGGTTTGAAATCAAAGCCCACTTTAGGATCCTCACAAATATGTATATTTTGTTGGGAGTGTCTTCATTTGTATTTGAAAAGCTTTTTTTGTCTCCTGCAGGCACTTGCATCTCACCGAGCATACATATTGACTGCACGCATCCCAACTAAGGTAATAGCATATGTTTTCTTAGCTTTTTCATTCCCTTTGTAATGTCCTATTCTTACAGAAGGTAAAGGTAAAGTGATTTTTGGAGATATTTTGAAAAGATGTCTGTTATTCTCTTCCTTCGAGAAATTGGGCTGTTGAACACAAAAAGTGCTATTATTCTAAAATGGTACAACATACAAGCACAGAAATAAATTGGCATAAAAGGTGATATTCTGTACTTTTACCTCATATTCATCTGTTCATTTCAAAACTGAATTGCTAGAGTATATATACCTATAATATCAATTTTGACTTCACTATCCCAAAGGTTATGGAGGGCACTGTAAAAATCTGATGACAGAGTTCTCTTGATATTTATTCATACTCTAGTGAAACAGGAATATAAAAGATGAAAACAGACTTGGTTATGGATCTTAAAAAAATATCTAAAATAGTTTTCAGGACCTTAATTATTCATGACAGATATTACTGTTCTGTGCAAAGCAAGTTAAGACTGCATCATAAGATCTTTAGATTTCTTCTAAGCAAGACACATTTTTCAGCCTAGAAATCTGTCTGTTATGTTTTTTTTACATTGGTGATATGAATAAATGTCTCTCATCATATCTGTATTTCATCTAGCCATAATGGCCTGATTAGTTACTGGTGTCTCCATTATCCCAGGCTGTCAGTAAATGTGTTATACACTGAAGGAATTATTTCCTATAAAAGATATATATATATAGTTATCAGGTGGGTAGCTGCGTCAGCATGCGTAGGCTGCAAAGGAACAAGAAGGCTCCACGGCCGAAACGTTGTGTTCTCTTTCTTCTTTTTTTCAGCATGGAATAAACCTATTACTTGTTCCTATATATAGTTATCTATATATATCTATAAGTTATATATATTGTTAAGACGTCCAGGGTGTGGCTCCTTTAAAGGACTTTAAGGGACGGAGCCTCACTGGGAGATCGAAACATTGTTCATACAACCACAGCTGAGTGCAGTCTGAGGTTATGAGGCTCAGCTGTAGGAGTACTGTAAAAGTAAGCTGACTAATTCCATCAGAGAGACCAAGTCAGGACGTCAGTCCTGCGATAGCTGTAGACCAGAGCGGACAGAAGATCAGGCCCGCTCTGTCCACACATGCCGAGGTTTGGTAGCAAAATGAGAAGGTAGAAGAGCACCGGGCCGAAGCAGACATAGCAGCAGGTGCCAGGAGATGCTGGTATTGGCGAAAGCAAAGGGCGTCTGCATTTATGACGGAGAAAGCAGACTAGTGTCTGCAGCTGGTACCCCGATAAGGGGCGGAGACATGAGAACTACAGTCTAGGAGGAGACAGTGGGCAAAACACTAAAGAAACAATAAAGGAACCCTGGTGGACCTCATCTATCCTATCATGTGGTATAGAGGCATCAGTGAGTTAGGGACTCTGGACCCGAATATTGGAATATCAGCACGCGAGGGCTTGGTGTTCTCAGTGTAGGTACTGTACATCACATACCTTGGTTACCTCAACAAGGGTTCCGGATTCATCACCACTCTTGGGGGGGAGCGCATGCAAAAGTGTGAAAAAGTTCCATGAGAGGTGTGTCCTGAGCCTTGGACACTCCTGTTTCACGACTACCGAGATAGCCACTTCACACCTAGCGTACCTTCACAGTGGTACATCTTTAGGTCTGGTGTCTCCCACCTCTGGGGGCCTGGGTTCAGTTCTGGACCTGGGGTGCTATCTGCATGTAGTTTGTATGTTCGCATGCTTCTCCGCCGGATGCTCTGGTTTCTGCCCACGTGCTGGTACTGTAGGTTAATTGGCTTCAGGGAACATTGTCCCGAGTGTAAGTGTTTGTGTTTGTGTTCTGCGATGGACTGGCATGCTGTCCAGGGTGTGCCCTGCCTTGTGCCCATTGCTTGCCAGGATAGGCTCCTGCTCTCCCACAATTGAATAAAGTGGTTAGACAATGTATGGATGAATTATGTTTATATCAATATACATAAATTATAATTAATTAAAGAAACTATAACTAGGTCAAATGTACTGTACTTCCGCAGGAAGATATAGGAAAAATAGGTGTTACAAATACCTGTACATTAACATTTTGGATATGAAAATATGGTTGTTAATTATTTGTCTGCATGCATGACTGTGCTTGTTTGCGACTATTAAGAATTTACTTGGCATGCTGCCTTTCCTTAAACAAGTTCATGCAACCTCTGTGTGATTTAGTATTAGCATAAGTAGCGAAGGGATTGTAAAGGCATTTTTTTGGAAGTTAAAAAAGGTCAGTTTCATTTTTTTCTAGGCAGTCTATAACATGTTTTGTGGTAGACATGAATTAGCTATCAAAGTAAGCTTTTATTTATTATTCAATAATACAGATACATGTAGTACCCTAGATGAAAAGGTGAGGTCTGTTCAGTGTTTCATGCCTGTTCCTTGTCTGTAAATGGCAGAGATTCTCCTGATTGCAGATGTGACCAGTCCCACTCTTAAAATCCTCAAATGGCAAAGTACGCAGTACAGTTACTGTTTGGCAGTGATTTACATTTATAAAATATATATTTTTCTTTAAAAGTGCCTTATGTTTTACAACATAAGTTTTACAAATGTACAAGTTCTTGTTTCAGGAAACAAAAATTAAATAGGAAAGAATAGTAAAAGTTGAGGTGAAATATCATCATTTTCTAGTTGGAGTGCAAAAGATCTGAAAAGTCAGGTCGTGTTTGCAGTTCTAGATATAATGTAAATATTAAGTTAGGTGGGGGGGGTATAATAAATTGTTAGAAGAGCTGCTGTAATATTAAAATATTGCTGGACAAAAAAACATGAGAGTATTCTAAGCAGCATCGGAATGAATCATCCCGCTCTCTGGTTGGAAGTGCCCTGAGGGAAGCAGATACAGAGATAACAGACTATAGAGGAAAACTACTGCAGAGTGAAGTATTTAAGTTCAGGAAGCAGTGTCTTTCCTGAATTAGTTTGGCTTCTTCTCTCTCATTCCTCAAAGAGGCGCAAGGTCACATTTCTTAGCATGAAGTAGGTTTAATCCTTACAGGAAATGTTTATTTCTGGTAGCACCTATTAGAATGGAAGGTTTAAAAACCTCTCTACTGCTGTACTGTATTCTAAACATACATATGGCTGTCTGATTCCCTTTCAGGCAAAGACTTAATATTCATATTGTTCAGTGACCATTCTGAATGTCTCCTCTTTAACTGATGTTTTTGTGAAGGATGTACTGTTACATGCTTTATTTTTTAAACCTCCCATGTATTTGTACAGTTGAGTTGAATGTGGAAAAGGTGGAAAATGCTTTAAGATTGTTGGATAGTGTTTTTTTACTATTAAGTGCTTTAACCATCTCCATAGATCACTATTATTAGTTATCTATTATATGCTCTTCCACTTCTGCCAGGTCACAACCTTAACATTTTTGTAAAAAGAGGAAATTATTATTTATTTATGTAATTAATTTTATTTCAGCTTGAACAGACTTTCAATTATTTGGAAATTCAAGGAATCCACTGTACCAAGCCTGGTCAGGTAAGGAACATACTGCTTTAAATACTTGCATTTAGGTCTTCTTTTTAAGCTTTTTTTGTCTTTGTCTTTTTTTGATAATCTGTATTATCTTGAATTTGTCATAAGTAACGTTTTTATAACTCAAAATTAATAATATGCTTGGTCCTTAGGCATTGAAACTGTACCTTAGAAGTGTATCTGTGATTAATTCACTAAGGCAGGTTAAACTATTCTCAGAATAATATAATACAAATTGGACAGACAGAGGTCTAGCAGTTTTTTATTGTAATTTATGCAATGCCATTAGGCCTTTCTTGCTGTTAAACACTTGACATATATTCAGGAAACCATTAGTCCAGTACAATGAGTATATTAAAATAGGTCTTCTGTAGCTTAAATATATACTTATATTAATTATGCAAAAGTAGTCTAAAATGTTTCTGGGTTGCTTAAAGAGTATTCTTCTGTGACCTCTCAAATAGCTGTCCAAACTCCTGTGCCAAGGGACTGTTCAAGCTCCCCCTTGTGGTGCTTGCTCTGGTTGAGCAGTTTGCGTGCTCAGAGGTGTCTGTGTTACTTGTTCAGATCAAGTATTTGGGTATTTGTAGTGGCTTGTCCAGCTGAGGGTTTTGCTCTATGCACAGTGGAGCTTTATGATCTGACATTGCTGGTTTCACATCAGCTGTGACTTGGATTTCCCAAGTGAAAGCTCACAACTAGCTGGGGTTAGGGTTGGGATTAGTAGACATGGGTTCTGCTGGCTACCAGTGAAAGCAGTCACAGGGGGTCCTGTTACTTTCCAAGCACTTCTTCATTCAAGTATTTCTTTTTAATGTAGTGGTAAGCTTTATGCGTTGCATGTTAAGCCGAATAGCTCAATGACTGGGTGACATAGGAGAGAGGTCTGTCAGCATTAACTCTTCCTTTCTGTGAGGGTATAGGGGTTGTATTAAGAAATGATACGATAGGGTAGGCATACCTCCATAATATTCAACAATTCTGTTCCAAAGAATTTTTGACACTAGGCTTAAGTAAAAAGTCTGATTTTCTTTCCTAGCCTCATCATGAATTATGAAGAACCTTAGGTTCATATACAGTACACAATTCATATTTAATTTTGAATTCAGATTTAATGTACTGTGTTAAGTGAAGTATTATATTGAAGCACATACTGGTAAAAACATGCATGACTTTTCATTTCTTGTTTCTTATTTTTTTCTTAGACAAATAAAATAAAAAATTAAAATTGTAACTAATAATAATGCAATAATAATAACAATAACCCAGTGATAGGTGAAGTATCTATTGTAGTTTATTGAGTTTTTATATTAACTGCTACTGGGTGATGAAAACAGGTTCTACAGAGATTACTTTTATATAAAAGGAGTTCTGCAATAGTCTGTGATATCTATTAGTTTAATTAAATAAACCTCTATCTCATTGAGTGCTGTCACATTTGACAAACAACCCCTAACCTGTGCTATTTGGATGCAATTGATTACCCTTTTTGGGTCTTTTAAGAAACAAAAACTGATGATTGTTAAGTAATTGAACTGCATTCACTTAACGCAGATTATGGCTTTACAGATCATTTAAGTGACTATTTCTTTGCTGAGTGACAGAAATACATTAGCCAGCATCACTTAAAATCTCCTGTTGTGCCCACATGAAATCTCTTAAACCAATTAATGATGCTTCAAAGACTTCAGATTTTGTCAGGCCTGTATTGTCAGCATCTTCAAAACAGTCTCAAGAGCTCCCTTTTAACAAAATCAATCTTGCAATAACAGGAGGAGATAAAATTAGTAACTGGCAATTCAACAATGACTCAATAACTTGAATAGGTAGGAAGTCATATTTATTTTCACTAAAAATCAGGATTTTATATTTATGAATTTGATTTGTTCAAAAATAAGTCTTGTTATTATAGAAAGACAACTACTGTACTACACCTTTGAACCAGTTTCAAGGTTTATAGCTCATAGTTTTAAGTTTGTATTCAGATGGGTATTGCAAACGTAGCATGTGCAGTCAAATCCCAGAATCAATCCACCATCTCTCGGGCACCTCTCACTGCCTGACTTATGCATCCTGGACAAGAGATGAACAACCTCTCTGAGCCAAAATGCCAGCCATCTGGTGTGGAAAGTTGGAAAGGTCTTAGATTAGAAGAACAAAAGTCCTAGGTTAGGATTATTACCACCCATGTTTAGTTAAAGACACTGGAATAAATAAGATTTTGACTTTGAGCCTTGATTTATTAATCATATGTTAATCACATGATCAGATTTTACATTTTGAACAACTGAGATTTTGTCTTAGCTTTACTCAGAAAAAACAACAGTTTTTAAAATATATATAGTTCTAACAACTCGAAAAGTGTATTATTAGTTTCATAAAATCAATGAATTGTTAAAATGAAAGCAATGGTTGTAATTGGTAGTTCTTTAATTATATAATCATGTTTCATACATATTCTGTGAAATATTAACAGCAGAGATTGTTTAATATTTCCTTTAGATAATTCAGTTTAAGGAGGTTCATCTTATTTAATTTCTGTTTGCTCTTTCCAGCTGGTTGTGGAGTGTGAAAGGGGTGTTATTTCTATGAAGCTTGCGTCCTCTGAAGATGTGAACGAAGTGGTGGCACACATAGGGACCTGCCTCCGAAGGATATGCCCTGGTCTGTCTCCTCTGTAGGTGGTCTCAGAATGTCTCTTCACCTGTATGCAATCTTGTCACTTCATTTCTCAAGAAGTGAAACTTCAGCAGAAACAAAATACCTGCATGTAAACGATGAGAGGAATATTTCTTTCTTTGGCTGTTTTAGCAGAATGGAATGGACTAGAGCCCACGTCAAGAGCTCAAAGTATTTGTAGCAAGCCTGAGCAAATAATCTTAAATGATAAAACAAAGAGAAAAATAACCTTTTCAATTATTCCCTCTAAGGCAACCATACAGTATGTAACCAAAATGTTGGTAAACACCTGAATAGTGCCTGCATTAATCTATCACTGAATTGGAGTGTTCTGTTTATGTCAGCATCCAAGCGCTTGCTAAAGATGTACTGTCTGTGCCATGTAGCATAATAATAATAATAATAATAATAAGAAGAAAGTAATAACAGTGGCATTTTGAGTATAAGAAAACACTGGAACACTGATTGTCAGCAGCATGTATTATCTTGTAACAAATAAATGCCAACACAATACTCTTCGATCTACATGTATCAACGTCTAGTACTCATTCCTGGTCCATCTTGTTCCTCTGCCTTCGATTTGGCATCTTGTGATCATCTTTCATAAACACCAAATTATCAGACCAGCTCTGACCTACCAAGCTTTATATCCACACAAGCCAGGCAAAAATATGAATGCTCTTGTAATGAAGTGTTTGATAAGGTAGCATGTTACCCTGACCTTTCAAACCTATATCTACAAAAACTATTTTTGTCTTTTACAATATTCCATATTCCAAGAAACTATCCAAAGATAACTTTCTAGTACATTTGCTGTAGCTTAGAGCTGAGTAGGCTATTATGTGTACTGGGGCTAGGGGTCACAAAAGATACTATCCTGTCAGAATGTTGATTGTTAAAAGAGATAATACAACAGACCGAATTCTAGCTAAAAAGAACAGATCTGTAATGTGATGTGCAAGGCAACACACTTTAAAATACTACATGCATTTACTTTTAAATGCAGCCACTATTGCAGACAGCATTACAGTAATTGTACAGTAAATTTGTGTATAATCCTCTTTTGCTTTATTGAGTTCAATATACATTTTAGTCCCAGCCATAGGTTTTATCATGCCTGTTTCAAGGGTGTGTCAGTGATTTCATTATATCACTGTTGCTTCTGCACATGCCCTTATATGTTTGTTTCTAATCACCTATTCTTTGACATACGTTTGACAGACAAGTAATGAAGAAGCTGTTGATGGAACCAGTGGAGCGCCTGTCAAACCTCCAGACATTGTGGGACAATCAGAGTGTGACTGAGCCTGGGCCTTGTGGTAATATAACAAGAATGTGTAAATTCCCCCCCCCCCCCAAGTTTGTTAAAGGGGAACTGCAGTCCCAATTTCATAGACCGGCTAATAAATCTTGGTAACAAAATAAATCAATTGATGGTTTTGTAAAATTGTGTAAATTCACAAACACAAAATCACAAACTTTGTGAAACTACTGTACGTCTCCATGTCTCAGACTCGCATTTGAGTCCCACATGGAGGAAAATAAAATAATCTATAGTAAGTGAAAATGTACAGGCTCACAGCATGCTGCTCTACCCAACCATTGAAAGTAACACAAAAAAAATAAAACATACTGTAAAACACTACAAACATTAATAGGTAGGTAATTTTTTTTAAAAAAAGCTGTTTGTAAAAGTGTGGCTTAAGTCTTACCATAAGAACAGTTGGTGTGAGTGCATCTGTTATAAAACAGTGAATTCCACAGTCTTATTACTTTATAAAAAAGAAAGATTCTCCTTTTATTTTGTACAGTATATTGTTCCTGGGAGGCAGAAAAGACAACTGTCAGTTGTCCTTAGTGAGTGTTAGTGATAGTATAGTGAGATAATCAAGTCTTTCCAGCAATATATTACTTTATATTGTAGTAAAATATTTTTTATACCATAAGCCATTGTAGTGAATGTAGCACAGAAGTAATTTGAAAATTTTCTTTAAAACTCAAACAGCTACATTTTGCACAAGTTGTAGATGTGACAGCATTATTTTAGTATGAAAATAAAGCATTTTGATAGCCCATTCACAATTAATTAAAGGCATGAGTTAATGTATCAACATCAGATAAACCAAGAAATTGTTCTAGGAGTGTTTCTCAGATGATAAAAAGCAGTTTAATAGTTTATTTAATAGATTCAAAGCTTAAGTGGAGATATTGCTAAGACTGAGGTCCCTGTGGATACAGAGGTCAGCAAGGGTCTTTTCTGTATGTATGGCTGGAGTATGAAACAAATGCAAGCTTTTAACGTCTGTTATAACAGAATAAATATAGGTTATGAATAATTTTAGTTGTAGGGTCTCCTTTGTAAAACCATTCTTTGGAATATTTTTTCTTCACATTTAGCTTTTTATCACTTGTTTTTTCTTATCTGTCAGTAAGGCAGTAGTGCAGCTATTTTATTACTAATAATTGAAACAAGTATGTGAGTTTTGAGTGACTTTTTATTCTCAAATTCTGACCACTTTTACACACAATAATGGTCCATTTTACGTGCTGTAAATATACTTTGAATTCTTTGCTTATTAACACTTTTATGTGTTTTATAAAAGGTGTGGCTGTCTCAGGAATATTTTAAGCTTAATATAATAAACCACTTGATTTTTTCTTGTCATTTATTTCAAATCACATATATGAGAGAAAATAAAAATAATATACTATTTTCTTGTAAAGCCACACAACCTCTGTAGTTAATGGGCTGAAGAGCTGAACCTTATGAATTATACATCAGTAGCAGGGGGAGCATGATACTCCTAATTCTTCTCAAATTTCTTACTATTTTTTGCAACACTTTCTTCTTATAGGCTGTGCTAGTTAACATCAGAGGTACCATCATGCCAACAGCTGTTTAAGGAACTGCTACAGGATTGTTTGCCATGGTTGAATGACTGCGTTTATGGGATATTTTTCCACACTCCACTAAACCTGTCAAACCACCCTCATTTATAACAATAGTGTTGCCTCCTAGGGCCATTCTCTCTTCAGCTTCTTATCTGACATTTAGCCCTGTAGTTTAAATTTAACTCGGGCACTGTAGATGTAAAACCAGCCTTCATCAAAGTAGGTGTGCTTTGTGATTTTATTATAGTTGCATGGATTTTGAACAAAATGAAAATGTCTAGGAATTTGGGAAATTAAGGCCACCCTGTCACATTAGCACTCTCATTTCTTAATATTAAAATATTAATATAAATATATAGAGCTTGTACTCCTTGGCTTTGGAATGACAAAATATTCAACTATTTTGCCTTATATAAGCTTAATAGTAAGGATTCTGTGTGTCATTATTTTGCTTTGATCAGTGTAATCTTTATACCAAGCTTATATCTGCTTTGAAGCCCAGGCTTTTTAAAATGACTTTTTTATCTAGCCACTGCATGATTAAGCTGTTATTTAATTTATAGTCTTAGTAAGTGGGAGTCTGATATCAACATATTGATTCCCTTTTTTATTTCTTGATAATCTCCTTCATCTGTCTTTCACAAACAGAAGATACTGCCCTTCATAAAAGCTATGTAACAGCTATAATTAATAGCAGATTAGCAATCATAAGTATCTTCAAGAACTGTTTGAAAAAGTAGATGATTTTCTTTATCTTTTCGAGCTTTCTTGAGTTTAGTATTCTTGAATTTTAGATCAGACATGTAGTTTAGTAATGCGTTTGTGGATACTCAAGCTACCCAATCTATAAAACAATTTCTTAAACTCTTTAGAATGAAATCATTGTGGTGTATGTATTACAGTATTTGTATTAGGTGTAAATGTGTTCTGTAGACTGCAAATCCCATTTCCTTTGATTCTTCCTTTCAGGTGGCTTCTCGCACATGTACAAGTGTGTCTGTGACTGGCTGGGACTACCGTATAGGGAAGAGGTGCAGTGGGTTAGTATGGTCTTTTAGTTGTGCTTAAGTACTAATCTATCCACTCCATTCACTGTAATGTATCCTTTCAGTAACTGAAATACAAAACCACTGTATACGGGCTAAAGCTGAGAAGGTAAAAATGAAATATGAAATCGCCTTTTTCTATGTGTCTTTGTTACTGGGTTTCTGCGAGATCAATAAAAACAGGATACAGAAGATGAGTATGAAGATGAGAATATACAAAGACTGAATTAATTATTATTACCTGGGCAAGTCAGATCTCTTTAACTCGTATCTACAGAAATCGTGAGCTGTATATTGTATATGTTCCTTATGGGTCTCCCAGTGAATTAGAATGTTCCGAGGCAGCTGAAGAAAGTCTACCTTGGTGACACCACTGGTACTGCAGTATTTATGAATGCAATTCGGTTAAATCATTAGCTACTGTTAGCTATTAGAGAAAGCAAAGGGTGGAGTCTACTACAGTTCTCCAGTGTCCTCAAATTTTTGCCATTAACCTTTGACTTATATGATCTAAAGTGGTCTCACTTTTTGGCCTTTTAAAGAAAGTCGGCAACGTTTTTTAAAATTTTGCTTCTTTGAGCTCTGTAAGTGAAAGCTAGCAGCTGGGACATTCTCAAAATGTAAGGGTAAAGGCCCCATACAAACAGGTGTATTACAACCAGAAACATGTTGTGTGCTCTTATGTCTTATTTAAGGCTTTTTGTCCAACAACAAGCAGCTTCAGGTTAGTCTTCCATCTAATTTGGCTTTATTTGTGGTTAATGGTTTAACAAAATGCCCTTCAATACACATCAGGGTAAAGCTTTTATTTTTCTGTTTTTTTATTAAACAGGATGTGGACACCATTTATTTAACACAGGATACAAGAGAGTTGAATTTGCAGGATTTTAGTCATCTTGATCACAGGTAATCTGTTTTTTAAATTTAAATACTTTATGCTGTTCTAGTCTTCAATAAAAACAGGATGTTTTTATGCAGATACTATATAATGCATGGTGTCGATTTAGTACTTTCCAGTCATTTATTGAAGATAAAAAGATTAAAGGTTCTTAACATACACAATTTGACCTCCAGTTTATATGTAAAAGTGATCTACTCTCATACCACAAGAAAACCATTTTTATTGCCACACTAATTATTTAGCCAATCTTTTCTCTGTTATATAATAGAAATCATGGTTAACAAATATTAGAGCATTTATTTTTATTTACTGATATCATCAGCAAAACATTCATCAAGAAGTAATCTGCTGTGTGCAGTAGTTTAGTTGATGGTTCAGTAAAACAAATATATTGGCAGTTATTGGAAAATTACCAACATGTAGTATTGTTGTTTTGCTCTGTATAAGGACAGAGCAGAATGTTGTTCTTTCGATGAAGTATGTAATAAGTGATTTCCCAATATTTGTTTTATATCCTAGAGATTTGATTCCTATCATTGCTGTTTTGGAATATAACCAGTGGTTTACAAAGCTCTCCACCAGGGACTTCAAACTGGTGAGTCATGTTGAACTGTTACAGATTCACAGCAATTTTATAGCAGCTCTCCATTTTTCTCTCATTTCTCTATTCATTTTTTTCTAGTTGAAAGCACTTCAAATACAACTTCTTTGGCTATGTTAACAACAGTTCCTGAAGTATTGGAGCCTGAAATTGCAATCCAATTCAATTTCTTTAGATGATATCAAACTTCATGAGTTGAAAACTGAAAGTAACTGATGTCTAGGGATGTGATGTGATGACAAGCTATGAAAGGAACATTATTGTATATTCATCATGATAGTTTTTCTGAGATGATTGGTATTACCCTGGTGTTAGAACTTGAATCCATTAAGGCTCAGGGTGAAAAACCCACATTGTCCTTACTACTTCATTCTAAATAATGTGTTTGTAAATGTGTTTAGAATAATAATTAATGACATTTAAAAATCCTAGAATTCATAAAACAATATCATGTAAATTGCTCTGCATCAACTTGGTGGTTCTTGCACAATAAACATTTTGGAAGGATTGGAAGCATAAAATAAGGCAGATTGTGGCTCAGGTGAAACACATTTTGTTTGCTCTGTAGTGAGCTTGTTGTTAAAATGTCTGGGTTCTTAATACATACAGTAAGTCTACAAACAACAATTTGTATAGTACAGGCACATTCTGTAGGTTCTAATAAGAATCGGTTGCTATCAGAACATATACTTGCGCTTTGCTTTAAAGAGAAAGGTACACACCTAAACTCACATATGTATTTATATAAAACAAGATGTCTGATTTGTCACAGGCAAATGTTATTGTGGAAGCTGTTCATATAGCCATTTTCTGGAGCACTGGTCATCTATAATTGCTAATTGGTATATTAAAAAAATAAAATAAGAGTACACGTACAAAAAATGTAGTGTAATCTATAAAGATTGTTACCAAATGTGTATGGATCCTGAAAATACTCCTGTTATTGGGATGGTTATATGTTTTAAAACGGCTTTGAGAGAATGCAAAGAAAAACTGCATTTACAATTGCTTAAAAGGCCAATAAAGGGAAACGGATTCAACATTTGTTCATTTATCAATAGAAAAAATCCTGTTTAAGTTGTCCTGTGACTTTATTTCGACACTAAACTGTTAAGAATTATTTGTCTAGATGTTGAAAAGCAAATAAAAAAATAAAAGAAATGTACTTTTGATTCAGATAATGGACGGACAGTGGATAATATTTTTAGACTTTGTCACAGGAACTGCTAGCCATTTTTTTGGTTGATGTCCTAGCCATAATGATTATCTCTCACTCTTACATGGGAAATGTGTTTGTGAGTCATGATGCATTAGACGGGAGACTGAAATCTGTGGATGGTTGATAATGAAGCTCTAAAAACACTAAAAGAATGTCACACCTTATAATCTTCCACCGAGATCTTGATTCGTCTAGGCATGTTCAAATGGATAAGTTCAAAATGGCTTGAGCTGTGATAGCACAACAGAGCTGTTTGTCCTAACTGAAAAAGTTCCACTTGCTGTAAACCCCCTTTAAAAAGATACTATTTTAAAGGATGCTAATTACTTCCCAATTACAAAAAGGAGGTGCAGCCCAGTGAACTTAGTTTGTAAGAAGGTATGATTGCTCTGGTTAAAGTCAGAGAATGGCACATTCCTTGTGGAATTGTATATGCAATCTCTTATCAAAAGAACACATAATTTCAGAGGACTTTTATTTTTCAAAACACTCCTAGATCCAGAATATAAATTGCTCCAGATAATGCTACATACTGCTTGAACATGAACTGCACTATTACTGAAGGGACTGAAAGTATGGCTATTTTCTGTAGGTCAGCAGGACCCAGGAAGATCAAGGCTGCATTTTAGAATGATGTTCAAATGTGTCTGTTGTGTGTGAACAAGAAAAAGATTAACTATTCACTGGCTCCAGTTATGTCCTGTGTTAAACTGCACTCAGCATGCTTTAAAATTCCAGAGAGGTTTAAATTGAAGCCTAGAGAATTTTAAGCCATCCTTTCTCAGTTGACTTCGTATTTAGCTTTCACAATATACTGAAATGCCTGTCAATCAAAGAGGATTCTGCAATTTTCCAAGTAGTTAATGAGAAGAGAAACCCTTAAAAATTGAATTTAAGTTTTTTAAAGATGTTTAAAATGCTTATGTAGAAGATGAGAAAAAAAAACACAAGTATAATTGATCATTTGTTCTTTGTGCATAAAAAGATCTCTAAGGGTTAGCTACAGTATCTAATGATTTATTGATTATTTAAAAATTGGAACTTCATGCCATATATTCACAATTGTTTTATGATTTTTCTTTTTTTTATATATATATACTGTTATAAAAATAATTATAAAAAGCTTATGCCTACAGCTACCTTAACCATGACATTTGACTGTGGCTTTACATTACTGGTATTCCTTCTGTGTTTCAATCAGTGGTCTTTAGGCAGTTGATTGTCCAAAATCTATATTTCATCTCTCCTCTCATTGCAGGTTGTATGTGTGGAACTGCTTGCTGATGAGATTGTATTCTCTTAGGATATCTCAAATGCCTTTCAGGGGATGACTTTCAAAGGGTCTTCCTCAAGATAGTTGCTTACATCTTCAGTAATGGATTCTGGGAAGGTCAATGCATCAGTGGCCTTTTTCTGAACTTGCCTTCTTTCCTGAGGGTGCCTGTTTTTTTTCAGTCCACAGATGTGTGTGATCAGATCCTGCGAGTTGTGGCCCGGTCAAGCAGGCTGGAGGAGCTGGTTCTGGAGAATGCAGGCCTCAAAACGTGAGTATCTCTCATTGGGTTGAGTGAAAGAATGACTTGGAAACACTGCTGTCAGGAGATGTCTGCAGCAATTTCAGCTATAGCTAATGCCGTTGCTAATAGTGCTGCAACTTCAACTTTGGTAATGCTATAGATTAAACAAAATTATCTGAGGCTTCTGTACACATGCTTTATTTTAAATGCTCATACAGAAGTGTTTTCTGCCCATGCTGTTTCATTCATCTGCTTTGTTTCAGATAAAATATTTTTATTGATTGGAAACTTTGCATTTATTAATATGTTTCTGCACAATTTGCATAATATATTAAGTTCAATAGATTGCTGCTAGGATTTGTATTGTGTAGAACAAGGCTGGACAATCCTGCTACTAGAGGGCTGCTGTCTCTGCAAGTTTTCTACATCTATTTAAAGTACCTGCACCTGAAATCTGGAAGAAGCTGTTAATATTGGTCCCAATGAGCTGATTGAGGTTGTTATGAGGGAACGTGGGAAGAAACCTTGTAGATTTTCTGACACTCCATGACTAGGACTGCGTAGCCTGGTTTAAGGAAAAGTTTAAGGCCATGCTTGAAGATAAAAGGTGATATTGTTAATCTGACACCACGTTTTTTGATGGAGTTTAGACTACAGTCTTTATTTAAAGTGCATATGGGTGGGTTTAGTTTAGCTGAGTGTCAAAATAGAGAGAGGGTTCAGGGTGAGTGACCAGGTTCTCTCGTTGGTGATCTGTTGACTTAAAAAAATCCTCAACTATTACTCTGTGGGGGGAAAAAATATTTCAAAGCCCAGTAGAGGCCCCTCTAGAAAAAGGGCAGAAGCAAAGACACCCAGTGATACAGTGCCAGCCCATTCTTATAGCTGAGACTCACAGTTCAAGAGATCTAACTAAAGCCAGAGAATGTACTGTATAATGGAGGGAAGACAGGTGCTGTACTTAAACATTGGACTCCAGTATATCCCATTGGTTGAACCTGCTTAAAAATGTATTTGAAGATAAAACTCCCTAATTACACTTTTTAATGTAAAAACCCCAAATCCTTAAACAAGCATTCTGTTGTCTTCAAATGTAACATTTTTTCAAAACCCTTGAGTTAGAGGATGTGACTGAATGAATTGTTAGAATTTTCTTACAAGGGGTTATTCTTTAGTTGCCCCTTTTTTATGTGCTGCTTTGCATGCAAATGCAATTGATTTTATTACGATTTGAATTTTATTTGATTTAGTTTGTGTTTTATTTTATCAGCGTTAACGTACTGTGGAGTACACCATATAACAAAGGGGGTGTGGGATGGCATTGTGTTTGGGGATGAAGAGCACTCTTCACGACTTGACAATTTGTGGATATGTATTCTGGATATGGGTCGGCAGGTTTTCTGACCAGCTTAGTTCTTAACCAGGTAAATCAGCTAGGTACTGTCTTAACAGCCTCTCCCAGCTCTTGAGATACTGCAATCACATCAGCTTTCCAGGGCTAGGATTGGAAAGCCATGCTTCGGATCTTAATTAGGCTTTTTCCTGAAGGAGATACTCTTAACTTATTGCCATTGTTTTTTTTCCTTTTTCTTTGTAGAGATTTTGCACAGAAGCTTGCCAATGCCATTGCCCATAATCCTTGCTCAGGACTTCACACAATAAACCTTGCAAACAATGGACTTGAAGATCGAGGTATGGAGAACTTGTGCAGGCTTTCATTAATAGCTGTTGGCAAGTGAAGGGGATTAAGGGAGCTTCGCTGTCACTGTTTTGAAATTAACTGGCTTTATTGCAAAAAAGTTATATGTCTGGATATATCAATTTACCCTCACAGCAACCATTGATTGAATTCTGCTCTCTCCAGAGTCACGCAGATGAATCCTTAAATGAAAAGGAATGTTTTGAATTTCAAATTATGTGGATATTCTGAATATTCCCAGGAGTGTCCAAACTGTCTCCTTTATCCAGTAGAATTTTACAATTCTTTTTGTTCAGCAGCAACTTAATTTGGACACCATTGTTTGCAGCCAATGGAGAAAAAAGTCCTTAATGCTTTATTAAAGTGATCCTTTCCTGTGTCTTGCAAAGCGTATGCTTTCTTATGAAGCTTATGCTTTGTCTTTTGAAATATACAGTATACACAGTAGCAAAGCTATTGGCTAAATGTTTAGTTTTCTGCAAAAAACCTTTTGATAATTCTAATGTTTCCTTAGATGTTTCATATTTGTTATAAGACGATTACATCTGAGTGTCCAAAATAAAATCTAATAAACACATTTTTCTATTTTATTGGGTTATTTTCAAATCGGTAAATTTAAAAAAAATGTTTTGACGTGTTGGAAGTGTTAATGATTAATTACTTATGCAGCAAAAATTATTAATACTTGCAGTATCAGTCATTTGATGGCATTTTACTCATTGAACAAGTCAAATGATTACAACAATGTTTTTTAAGTTCATCTTCATTAAATCTTTAATGTAATGAACATCACTTGACTTTCATATTTTCAATTTCTAAGGATTTTTACATTTATATTTACAAATTACATAGCCATAAAAGTCAAAATTCTACCTTTTAAGGTTGAGACTTTCAACACATACTTAACATTGCACTAGTCACAGTTCCTGTACTAAATTTTATTTTATAGAATTAAAGTGAGTAGGTTCTTTTTGGGTCTACATCTTGCAGCACAATTGATGGGTTTGGTTTTAAAATCCCAGTGAAATGCACCCTGTGTGGCTCTGCCTAGATTGAGCTTTATAACTGGGCCATCATGGCTTTGAGTCGGGGTTATGTCACTAGCCGACTAGTGACAGAAGTAGCTTAAGTGACAGTATGTAATTGTCCGAGAACTACCATGGGTACAATAGGAACAGTCTCTTACAGTCAACTGTAGAGTCTCAGCAAGTCTCAGCAAGGTTTGATAACAGTCTAATTGTGCAAAAATGGCCATTTCCTGAGAACACTGAAGGAGACACACACAAGGTGTATTTCCCACCGTGTCCCGAATTACAACAGAGTTTACAGAGCCATGTTCACTCTGTGCTATTACTCTATGCTATTAATGGGGGCTTATGAGTGACCATTCCACTTACTCTATGGCCTAGAGGCTATTCCTGATGATGTTATCTGGCCTTTCAGCCAATTCTGAGAAATTGTGTATAACAGCAGGTGTCTGGTTAAAATTCACTCAAGCCAGACCAGATGTATTGATCACAGGCCAGTATCAGACTTCTACACTCTCCCCTCTGGCCTGCCGTGTGCTTGAAGACTTCTGGCTCTGTCTGTGAGGGACGTTAGCCCTTCTCCAGTCTGTGCTGATGCTCCAGTACGGAACTGTGGTGCCTGTGATGTGCTGCAGGCTGATTGCCTTGAAGGCGAGTGGGTCAGAGGAGTCTGTCTGCTCTTCCTCATCATGCCCCGTCCACGGTCGTGGGGTTCATAGCTGCCATGCCCTGATGTGCAAAACACATAGTTGACTATTCCAAATTGAATGGGTATAGCAAAAAAAAAAAGTACAGATTACAATTAAAAAATACAGTGAAGTCATCAACATTTGCAAATACTTTCAGTTTCTATATTGTACTATATAATAGCTTATAAGGTGTTCAACACCTTCAAATCTCAGCAAAGGCTATGATTTGTTCAGCAGAACCTTTTATGAAAAGGTTTTGGAAAGCAGCAGAGATTCAGATGCATTAGTAGTGAGGGATCCTCTACAGGAGTACTTGTTGTTTTCGAGGATGTATTAGAATGAGCAGACAATGAAACATTTGTCCCACTTGTCTGTAGCAGAATTACATAACTGCATGACAATGAGCTCAGTACAAAGGCATTTTTGTGTTCACACACTTCTTGACCCAAACACAAAGTGTTGTGGGAAAGGTAAGAGACAGCTCAGATCTCTTTTAGGGATTTCCCATCCATGGAGCTCTTCAACAACAGTAACCCCTCTTTCTAATTATTTTCTCTTCTGCCTTTTTTGTGACAGGTATTTCCTCTCTGAGCACACAATTTGCCAAGCTCCGAAAGGGCCTCAAACATTTAAATTTGTCAAAAACCTCATTATCACCCAAAGGTAAAATATATTTTGAATGTAAATATTATTTAGAAACTTTCTGTTTGTCTCGATTGTATGGGTTTGCTTCGACGGTTGTGCTGATTATTTGCTTGTTGGACCCACATGGCTGTTCATGTCAATTCTGGTGAGCTACTGTATCTTGTACTCACATTTAGAACTGAAACACATCCCGCTATGCTATTATTAAGTGGATAGTTCTACTATTATAATGCAAATAGTGTTGTTTTTATTTCTTTCAAGCAAAATGTTCAGCTAGAGAAACATAAAAAATGTAGAAGAGTAGAATGGCTCTGGAATCCCATTGCGGGCAAATGCTGAAGCACAGGACTTTCCATTGTCTTATATGGCTACATGTAGTTTAAATTATTGTTTTTTGATTGTAGTTATAAACTCTTCTGGATTATCCAACATAGATGTAATGTAAAGTATTTGCATAAGAAAATAAAAACTGTTACACACTAGTGGAGGCCTTTTGATCCACCCAGCTTGTTTGGTTGCTAATACCTAATTGGTGGATCTCATCTACTGTTTCTGATAGAAGCCATTGTAATGACTTTTGCTGACAAAATGTCCAGACTGCAAAAGCCTGATATGTAAAGAATTACCATCTGTTTCCTTCTTAAACACACACACCCTACGTTTTCTGGCTTGTGTTTCACTGTTGATCCTGAGCATGTCCATTGGGTTAACTGTGTCATGGACATTGATGATTTTGAATACATAATTGAGTCTTCTCAAAATGTTTTGTCCAAGATATTCAATGCTTTTACCCAGCCTGTGTAAGACATCCCTTGATGCACAGGAATGCCCTTTGTTTCTCTCCATAAGACCAACAAAATAACAACAGTACTTTTTTTTATGAAGTGGTGAAAAAAGGCATCTACCTTTCTCAATGAAGCCTTACTAATTGTACAGTTTTAACATATCTGCTCTGACCTAAATTCTACATTGTAGTTACATACCCTAAAAATTAATATTCCAATTGTTAATCCTTTGATTGTCTAAAGGAGGAAAATAATTTACAGCAAAATAAGAATGGTATGGCTTCAGTTTGGAATTATCCCTCTTGTAAAAATGTCATTTAATAAAAAACAAATATACAATCCTCACGTTTTAATTTCTCATTGTTGAATACCTGTCCAACACTGAGTTTAGAAAATATTATTTGTATTCAAATTATTAGATTAAAAATCAAAGTTAAATAATTTGTCCCAAAAGGAGATTCTTACACTCTTTTATGTACTAAAAAAAGGGAAATAAGTAATAGGAAAGGGTTTTCATAGTGTCCCAATAAATGGCAGTCTCCACAATGTCTTCTGAGGCTTTTGCTACTTTCATTGAATTCACAAACGGAGCTCTAATGCTAATTTTAGACAGAGTACTCCTTAAGGGGGAGTATTGGGTTAAGAATCATAAATGTGCTTTGCCCTTGATAAGATAAATACATTCAGTGGTCTGTGTTGAATTGATATGTATATTTTCTTTTTGGTTTTGTTAGTGTTCGCACCCCTTAATATAAAAACTCCTATTTCTCATATCATTGATTGCATTCAAGGTAGCTTTTCAAGTTGTAGACTACTTTATAGGCCTCCCGATTTTTTGCTGACAGAAACCTTCAATATGTACAGTATATTTTTGATTATGCAGATTTGATACAATAGAAATACATACATTTGGTTCAGTTCTGAGAGGCTTGCTTGTGGAAACCTCAGAGCCTGCCCCTGTCCAGTATTACTACTGAATACCAATGCCAAATGAACAAGGGACTAGCATAACCATTTCCACAGAAAGGACAACAACAGAGAAATATCTATCAAACTAGATTTTTTTCACTTCATGTGTTAAGATTGCAAGCAGCTATATCTCCCTGCAGCTCACAACTGGCAGCCCACTGAAGCTAAGCAGATGTGAGCCTGGCCAGTACCTGGATGGGAAAGTTAAGATTGCTGCTGGAAGAGGTGTTAGTAGGACCATATGGGGCGCTCAACCTGCTGTCTGTGTGGGTTCTAATGCCCCAGTATAGTGACAGGGACGCCATACTTTAAAAATGGTGTAAAACCAAGGTCCTTGCTCTTTGGTTATTAAAAATCCTGGGGTGTTTCTTAAAAGGAGTATGAGTGTTGCCCGTGTCCTGGCCAAATTTCACCCTGGTCTTTACCAATCACGGCCTCCTAATAATCCCCATCTATGAATTGGCTTAATCTCTGTTCTCCTCCCCACTGCAAGCTGGTGTGTGGTGAGCATACTGTGTGCACTGTGGCTGCTGTCACATCATCCAGGTGATGGCTACACACTGCTGGTGGAAAGGGTTGCACATATATAATGCTTGAGGTGTTTCAGGGAATTCCACATGGAGTTAGGTTTCTCTTTCTTCACCTTGGAATTTAGAAAACAAACATGGTCATGGAATACGTAATAGTAAAAAATACAGAATGATTTTAGCAAGGAAGCTCCAGGCTCGAAACGATTGACTGATTTCAAAATAATTTGTGCTATCTTGAAGTCCTCATCCTATAACAAGCTGAAGTATTTTCTCTAGGCAAGACCTGATATAATTAAGATGTTGTGGTAGATGACAATAATCCCTTATCTGAAAGACATCTGACCAGAAAGAAAAACCTGTCAGTGTGAAGCACATGGCATCATTAATTCTCCCATAGATAAAACAAATCTTGAGTAGTTCTGACAACTCACATCTTCTTACCAAGATTCCCTGACAACAAGCTTTCATTTTATGGTGAATCGTAGATTGTGAAAAGAAAGGTGTTAATGCTCTTCAAGTCAGTGGTGACTCAAGCTAGAAACTACTTCAGTCTGCCTCTCCTGGGTATGTCTCAAGGGCTTGCATGCCTCAGATGTTAGGAAGGCCATACAAGTATATAACAGATGCACTCTGATAATGAGTGTGGTGTACATATCTTTTGCCGTATTTTCCCTTAATTTGTCTGTGTTTAATATTTCTTTTTATTTTGCCAGATACAGTTATTTTGTCATTTTGTTATTTTTCATAGCGGTTGCTCAGCTTTTCCTTAGATTGAGGCATCTCCTGCCTTGCCCCTGGTCCATCACACTTTGTACGCAGTCACTAAATCACCTATTTCTGAAAAAATAGGTCCATCTCATTTGTATGAAAGAGTTACAGTCCTTAAATACAGTAAGTTCCTTAATTTAACAAACTTTTTAATCAGTACTCCTCATAGTGTTCTCAGTTTTCAAGAATAAAATATTTTGTGTTACAGTATCTTTAAAATTTCCTGGACCTGGGGTCTTAAGAATTAGAGTTGAAGACCCTTGTGGTCTAAGACATAGCTGAAACATCAATATCTTACAACAAACACTGCTTGGTGAAAACACTTTTGCATATTTTTTTCCACATATAGGAGAGGAGCTCACAGAAGTTTGTTTTACTCCAGTAGTACTCCTAGTCAGTCAATATCTCTGAGCTGAATCAGGACACCAGTTCGTGAACATTATTTGGAGGGCCTAATTTTTTAAGGTTTTTTCTCACCTCTGGAGTCTACCAGCAGGTCCCAGAGCTTCCACCATGCTAGGGTTCAGCCATGGCTTTTCGTCGTCACCTTGGTGCTTGACCTTGATCTGCTCAGACTCAATGTCCAAGGCCTCAGCTGAGCTACAAGAGAAGTTAAAATCATTCCATGCCAGTTCACTCATGAGACATTCCCAAGTCACTTGCACCGATTGTTTGAGCCTCCCCTGTCTATCTGGCTGATGCTCTGCACAAATGATCCAAATTCAACAACGTCGAAACCTCTGTTAAGTGGCCTTAGACCCAATTATATGACTGACATGACTAAGTTCTGAAAGGGTTTTCTGATTATTGGGTTTTAAATTATATATTGTTTTCCAAAAATTGTGAGGATTACCCAAATCACTATCTTTTCATCCCAAAAATTATGCAGAATTTGTCATAGTGATGGCATCTTTCTAACTTCTGAATCGATTTTTCTGTAATTGTCCACCCCCGAAGAAAAAATGTGCATTACAATACAACTCCAATGCCTAAATAAACTGTTGATTAAAGTCCATGCTTAAAATACATGTGGTGCTGTGTCTTTCATTAAAAGCATTTGGTTTTCTTTTCTGTGATGTTGGCATGATACTGGAGTGACAGCCCATGTTGTTTCAGGGGTGAACAGCCTTGCCCAGTCACTGAGTGCCAACCAGCTGATCCCCAACACCCTCGTTCATCTGGACCTCTCGGGGAACATGCTTCGTGGAGACGACCTTGTGGCGAGTATTTCAGCCATTTGAACTGCAAAGTGCCGCTGTTCTCAACAACAGCAGTTTAATTTGTGTTAATGTTTCTATCAACAGCACAAATTGGCTGCACATGCTTCCTCAGCCTCAACTCAGTATTGATTTCCATGTTTTTTCTTACTTATTTCATCAAGCAATGTTAAATCAAGGTGATTGACATGGACTACATTTGTAGATACACCCTTTTGCCTCACTTTATGCTTTAGAATGTTTGAGCTGGCTACAATGTATAGTCATTTTATAACTGTTCCTCTAGAAAAAGAATTCAATGCCGGCTGTACCTGCAAAACTAATTATGGCCACCTGCAAGATCAATTTGAGCCCTCCTTTTCCTGGAGACTTCTGATGCTTTTGAAAATATGTAACAGCAAGAATGAGAACTATAAAACCCCTTTACAAAGCTATGCATTTTGGAGAAGCCATTCCTTATCTTTTCAACAACAGGCCATATATTTAATCAAAACCAGAATCTTTTCATCTTGGCTGAATTATCCACTTAAATCAGTTTTTCAAACTTCAAAACGAAGGTATGAATTTATATCATGCACAAATGAGGTTTGATTTTAAAAAAAGTAACAATTGTTACAGGATTTTTGGGGTAAAACTCAGTAAAGGTATACTCGTGATCTGACAAATGGAGCTGACACCCACACACCTTCTAAGATGTAATAGCCAGGCTCATGACTCTCTGGTCATACTGACTCCATGCCACATTACATAGGCAAATATAAATCTGAATTTAGTATCACCATTAGAGACTGAGTGTTCTGATTAATGTCTGGTATGGAATGAAATAGATTGAAACTTTGGTTTTCAGTTTATCTGATTAATCCTGCACTCAAGTTTTATTTTTCAGGTATCAGTATGATAATGATTTGCTTGTCAGGTTGATGAAACATTGTTGCACTTGCATGTAGGACTCTAGTCTTCAATGAGGCTCTGCTGTTATTGCGTTAGAATAATGTAATGTGATTTGAAAATGATGTGATGGACTGGCATCCCGCTGGAGTGTGTCCTGCCTTGCACTCCTTGCTGGGAGAGGCTCTGGCTCCCCTACAGCCCTGTATTGAATAAAGAGGTTAGAAAATGGAAGGATGAATGGATGGATTCCAAAATAGGGGGAGGAATATACTGTATACCAGTGACTGCTGCAAAAATACATATAGTATACAGACTATATGGGGGCGGTGCGGTGGGTCTGTGGCTAAGGATTTGCGCCTGTGGCTGGAAGGTTGCTGGTTCAAATCCCGCGGCCGGCAGAGGAATCCTACTCCGTTGGGCCCGAGCAAGGCCCTTAACCCCAACTGCTCCAGGGGTACTGTATAAATGGCTGACCCTGCGCTCTGACCCCAAGCTTCTCTCCGTGTCTGTGTGTCTCATGGAGAGCAAGTTGGGGTATGTGAAAAGACAAATTCCTAATACAAGAAATTGTATATGGCTAATAAAGTGATCTTATTTCTCTTATACAGGAATATTAATATATCAAATAGGTTATCTGAATATTAATATATCAAATAGACTATCTGAACTTAATGAAAAATCTTTTCTGGAACTATTTATTAGAAATATTTCTGAAATGGAATTAGGCATGTTGGTGTGTCTTCATCAAGACAAATTTAGGCAATAATAAAGAGAATGCTTGGATAAATCATACTGTAGAAAGAAGACAATTTTAAGTGAGGACGTACATGCTGTCAAGATATAAATGAGGTATTACAAGTAAATATTTTTTTTAATTTCATTTGCCATTCTACAAAAAAGGTCAGTTGTATTAAGGGGGGTTTAAAGTGTCTCTAATAATTAGTGCTGCTTATTTTAGAAAGGGACTTCTGCCACAGTCCAAGGCTCCAGTGTGTCTGGGATCACTAGATGATAAAGCGAGTTTAATCTCTTGAGACAGCTGCAAGTGGTAGCTAGCTAGATAATAGACTAAAATATAAGAATGGATACAAGTGAGAGGAAGCCATTTGGCCTATCTAATTCGGTTTCTCAGTAGATACTTGATGCCAGGATCTGCTCGCACTATTTCTTGTAAGACGCAGTGGCATCAGCTTTAACGTGACTTGTTGCAGCGTTTACACACTATGATCGTCGGGCACGTCATAAGGTTTTTAAAATAGAAAATAGTATGCTTTATTTACAGCGAATTTACAGGCATTAAAAAAACACAACAAACAAAGCAAACACCAAAACAAAAACCTTAGCTCCTTTCTGAGTTATTAACTTGTTGGAGTTCCTCTCTATTACAGCAGAGAAGCTAGACTGCTTATTGGCCTCAAACCTCAAAAAAGCCAATATCGCATCTCCCCTGAAACTCTTTTAAAAAACGTCCTAATGTTCAAAACTCAGTTAAGTTTAGTGGGATCCTTAAGTCCACAGTCAGTCCTTCTCCTTCCAGTGAATGGTGGACAGAGAGGTTCTGCCCTTTGCTCTTTAGGTGGCAGACATTAACTGACATGGGAAGCCTCTGCATCCTGCAACAGCCACCTGACCAATTGTCTTCCTGCATTTGGTCAGGTGACAGAGAGCAGCAGCTCATTCCCCCAGAGGTTTCTGGGGAATGTGGTCCTGACAGTTCTGTGCTCCCACAATACCTTTCTGTTCAGTTTTAATAGGCTTTGCCATAAATTGTTGTATTTCATATTCCACATATTCTTCACAGCTTTTAGTATGGTTAATTTATTTTAGCCTCTCTTTTGTAAATCCACTAGATACTAGATTCTGGTGTATTTTGATGCAGTTTGTTGATGAACATAATTTAATATTATGTTAATTAATTAACGACAGACTACTGTTCTTTTACATTTTCTCCATTCATTGGAATTCATTTCACACCTCTCTGCACCCATTCTGACTTCACACCTCTTGATTGGCCTCTCTTTCTGTCCCCTGCTCCCGCCTCTCACTCCTCCTCCCTCCCAACCTTTGTTCTCCCGCTACTTTACCTTTACCTTTGCCTACTGCCCTGTCTCTCTCACACCTGAAGAAGGCTCCACGGCCGAAACGTTGTTCTCTTTCTTCTTTTTTTCAGCATGGAATATACCTATTACTTGTTCCTTTGCAGCCTACGCATGCTGACGCAGCTACCCACCTGAACTATAATTTAATATTGTTTGTTCAATTGGTTACATTTTCAATAATTATCAGGGTAGACATCAGTACTTTGTAACTATCTGATTTGTGTGAAAATGAATGTTTGAGATTTTAATTGTTCAGGTTTTGAAAATCATTGGGGTGTTGAGATTTTTTTTTTCCAGTTTTACCTTGACTCCAGTAATTGTAGTCAAGCACTTTAATCTGTATTGATGTCTCAGGGGAATGAGAGAGAGGTGAAAGGACATGAATTGCTTTATTCTTCTACACAGGGCAGAGGCTCTGATCCAAGTTTTATCATTCCAAGAGGTATTGAGGAAGTCAACCCAAGGGATTAAATCAAGCACAACACTGAATGGAAAAAAAAACAGAATCCCAAATGGAATTTAACAGTAGATCTTTCCTTAAAGTAGTGGCTGGAGCACTGAAATAAGCTAGACGGTTGTTGTTTGTTTCCCTTGTTGTGTTCAAAAGCTCAAATACTTTATTATACTCCAAGGAATTAAAGACAAGGACAGGAAGCATGCCCTGCAGCATCAAAAGGCTTTTAATAGTTTTTGACTATGCTTTTGACACATGAGAGTTACTAATTGTTTACTAAGGTCCTATTTCTCTTAAAATGACAGTACCTTTTTTGCATCCCACAGAATCTGTACAGTTTCCTGGGCCAACCCAACAACCTCTCTACCCTGGATTTGTCCAATTCAGACTGTCCGCTTGACATGGTTAGTGAAATTCAAAAACTGTTCTGTTCTTTGTGTCTCTGATGAAAAGTATATTGATTCAAATAAAATAAATCAGTACAGAGAAACTGGAAAGAATATAAAAAAACAGAAAAGAAAATATTGTAACAAGACACAAAAGTATGGTGAGAGAGAAATGTGATTAATTTGATTTGGAATGCATGAAAAATGCACGCACTCCTGAGAATTACAAGAAACTTAAGAAGAAAATTTGAGATTTTTTTCAGGTTACTTATCAACAACATGAATATAGGCACTGTATTTTTCCCCAGGTGTGTGCTGCTCTTCTTCGAGGCTGTCTGGAACACCTAACTGTTTTGAACATGTCAAAGAGTGTCTTCTCTCATAGGTGAGCTTTACAATTGCATACTTGGTAGATAATAGTTAAACATTTTAATCAGTAACTGATAGCTTTGACAAAACGAGCATTCACAATACAAAAACTTGTTCTTCATTTCTGTATAATGTCAGTAGAACACAGTGGAACACAATGATTAAACATCTACGGAAATAAATATTGCCATGTAATGAAAACTGATGATTTCTCTGTCATTTCACAGTCCTGGTGTCTTTTTTTTTCCTGTTATCCTTAAAAGGATTAGTTAAATTAGAAAAAAACATCTGAGCTGTTGTTGATAAGGTTCAAAGAGGCTGCCGGCTCTCTTTAGTAACAAATCAGGTTAAGACTTGGAACAAAAATTCACTTTCACTAGGCATTGCCAAACTACAAACAGAGCACAGTGCATGGTGGTTAAGTTTTCCTTATCAGGGAAATAAGAGTGAATTAAAAAAATTCCACTTATATACTTGTGTGTATATTAAGAGAGCGATTCTGTCTAATGTGGCAATGCTTTCTTCTGTATTGTAGAGTAAGCAAGCCTCGTGTTTCATCTGCCTCATTTAATTAAATTAATTTTCCATGCGCACTTCATCTAAGGGCTGGAATTTCTGTAGTGTATACAGTTTGTACCTACAGTCTAAAGACATTTGAACTCTCTTGTTTAGTTTTTTGTTTTGTTTAGTTTTTTGGAAAAACTAAACTTTTACACAAGTTTTTCACGTGTATGTTTACTGGTGAAAAATCTGTAGTACAGTCTGGTAACACATCACTAAGCAAGCACTAAGTTGATCAGAGCCGAAACAATCTATTCTGAGGGAAATCATTTTGCAGCAGTAAATGGTATGATTGTAACTGTGTTGTAGTTATAAATGGTTAAATTGATTTAGGACAGGAACAACAACACCCACCTGAAGGTCAATCGATTGCCTCCAGTCCAATGAGTCCCACCACTTTTCTTCTAGCTATATTGTACATACTGTTTTTTATCTACTACATGTATTTTTTAGTTTAATATAAGCTTTTTTATAAATGTGAGCTTATTTAAAACCAATATTTTCCTTAACTTGTTAACTTAAGGGTAGTGTTTTAAGTCATTGTACCTGAGTGAAGACAGAGAGCAGCTATCAGGATATAGAAAGTACTGTTAATAGGGTAACTGATGTGTGGAGGCTCGTGTATGGCTCCTGGACTAAAATTTTATAACTAAAAGTTTAAGTAAATACATTTGATATCTTATCTGTGGCAGGGACCCCACTCCAAAACAGATTAAATGATTAATCTCCCACTGTAGTGAAACCTTACACATACTTAGGTGACAGGATAAACCTTTCCCATTTAATTACCACCCAACAGACCTCATGGCTATATAGTACACATTTAAGCAGAATGCAGTACAGCACATTTGCTGTATCTCTGTTGAAACAGGACCTTGCACTGAATTTCATGAATTCTTTGTCAGTCCTTTGTTTCTACTTAATAATTAATGAATGGAGCTTTAGATCCCAGCGGCTGTTCTGGTAGATTGATTTTTACATTCTTTGTTCTTTTATTTTTGTACCCCTGTTATGGGATTTAAATAACTTATCAAACATGTATTACATTATTCTAATGTGCTGTTTCATCAAGGTTAGAGCTGTTTATATTTCATTTACCATAGTTTATACTTAATTCTCTAATATTCTTCAGTATATTAAATTATTTTATGAATAATAGGTTTTGGGGTGCTTTTCATCCTTTTATATTATTATAGGGGTGCAAGTCTAAATATTTTTTTTATTCAGATATCGTAAATCCTGAAATTTTTAACATGCATATTTTTTTACTGTAATGAATAACGTTTGTGAATTTAACCCAACATATATTATAAAACAGATATTTTTTGCAAAAAAACTGGGATTTGCCGACTTTACAAAATATTCAGATAGTATCTTAAATGCTTTAGTTTATAGTGTTCTTGTCCATAACGGCTCTCTTAAACATAAAGATGTTTACGGTTTTAGACTCAGTTTTTACAATCAAAAGCATCTTGATAAGCTTTGTAAAAGTGATTTAGTTCCATAAATGTGTTCTTTAATTTAAACTGCAGTGAGCAGTGGCATAAGAGGGTATAGGAGGGGTGGTTAATCAAAACACAGACAGCTGTGGGAGGGGCAGAATATAATTCAGATTGTAAAAAGGACTATTGAGTGTGGATAACCTGACAAAATACCTGTAGCCTAGAATTTGATCATGCAACAGTTAAGCTGGATTTTATTCATTTATAATTCAGCACATACTATATTTATTGTTCATCATCCTTATTTACCTGAAGAAGTGCATTACAGGAATAACAATGTCCATAGTTATTTTGAAACAACACATTATTACTGTGCTGTTAAATTTTGGCAAGCCTGCAGAGTGTTTCCAATTGTAACTGCAGAGTAAGGCAAAACACAAAATTTGTATTATCTACATTGTGTCACTTTGTATTTTTAAATTAAGATAGATTCGTCATAATTCCTGTTGTTTAATGTAAGAACTACAGTATAAACATCAATCACATGTCCACAGTATAAACATTGCACCACATTTGTCAGCTCCAGAGGGGATGAAAAGAACATTTACCTTAACTGATTTTCTTTTTTAGGAAAGGAAAAGACATTTCTCCTTCTTTTAAGCATTTCTTTAGTAGCTGCTTGGCTCTGACCAGCATTAATGTATCTGGAACCAAGCTTCCTCCTGAAGCACTGAAGTAAGTTTTTTTTTATATCCTTTGCTACTCCTTTTCTTTTTTTAAACTTGTCTTATTTGATGGAAATACAGTATTTTATGTCAGACGGTTTCTAAAATAAGGTTTTTAAATTTACTGTGGATTCTTCTAGGGGTGTTTTTCTCAATGATGAGGTCAGGTTTGAAAGAAAATGTTTGCTTTCGTTCTTTCTATTGTTGCATTATAAAAAATCACCATTGAAAAAATTGCATTCTTAGCAAAAGGTAGGTGTGAGGTTAAAAAGTAACTTTCTTTAAAATACATTCAAACAAACAAGGCAATTGATTTTTGTTTTACCCAGAGCACTTTTGCTTGGCCTGGCAAGCAATCCCAACCTAAAGGAAGTATCACTGGATCTTAGCTGCTGTGAGGTAAGAATAATTACATCATTGTCTAGACTATGCCTTTTGCTAAATGCCCTTTCAGTTTTGAGTTTTGAAATGAAATTCTGCAGCCCGTAGAATAATGTTTTCCTGCTGTTTTCCCTAATATCCAGTTCACAAGCCTAACGCCCAAAGGGAAAGACAATTTTTGCAAACAAAACCTGAACTACTTTCCAGGTCCAGGAATGTTCCTAACATACTGTTCATATTCCCTCTGTCTTTATGGGGTACCTGTTTTTGCTGTTTTTGTACAAGAAAACTAAAGGGTGGTTAGACTTATAACCACATCCCTCAATGGAGAAGGCCAGTCTGCAGTTCACAGTGAGGCAACTGGTCATGGCCAAAAGCCAATCCAGGCCCATCAAGTGCTTGTTGTTTTTTGCAATGTGTATTGGTGGGGATAATCTGGACACTAAAAGCACAAATGCTGCAATCCTTTAAATGCAAAGCAGTTTGTGTGGGAGAAAAAAAGACATATGTAAAGGAGGAATGAAAAGCTAGCATTAATATTATTATTAATAATCATCATCATCCTTACACTTATACAGTATATTGCTTTTCTCGACACTTTACTCAAAGCACTTTACAGGTAATGGGGACTCCCTACCATCATCACTGATGTGTCGTAGACAAAGTGCACCAGTACACTCACCACAAATCATCTAGTCATAGATGGGGATTATTAGAAGGCCATGATTCATAAAGGCCAGAGGAAATTCAACCAGGACACTGAGGTTAACACCTCCACTAAAAGAGTTTTAATAAACATGGATAGTCAGGACCTCAGTTTTACATCTTATCTGAAAGACAGCACCTTTTTACAGTATAGTGTCCCCCACGCAATTCTGGGGCATTAGGACTGACACAGACAGCAGGGTGAGCGCCCCCTACTGGTCCCTCAACACCTCTTCCAGCAGCAACCTTAGCTTTTCTAGGAGGTCTCCCATCCAGGTACTGGTCAGACTCACACCTGATGAGCTTCAGTAAATTGTCAGTTGTGAGTTGCAGGGTGATAAAGCTAGTGGATAAACTGCTAGTGGATATAATCTGCCTGTAATCTATCTGAACTATGAAAATAATGTCTAAAGCAGCACTAAATCAGGTGTCTTTCTGAAAAGACTTGTAGGCTCAGAGTCAAATGCTGTTATCTTTAAATTGTGTAATGCTTCATGTGGTATGAAAGGAAAATTGAGTTTACTTTGCTCAGAATTTTACATAATCTCTGTATGTCTAGGCTGTGATTTTGAGTTGGGGATTAAATGAAACTGTTGACAGATACTGCTTGAATACTTTTGTCTGGCCAAATTAATTAGATATCTTGGTAAACTGATATTCTATTAAAGACACTAGCACAGTTGATAGTGGATGATCCCCTGTAGGTTATTATTGTGTGCAATTCCTCATTCAGTGGTAGTGATCTTTTTATTTTAATGTTTTAGGTACATACATTTGTTATTGCTTCATGCTTCTGAACTTTAATGTGTTTTTAATTCCTCATTTGTCTCTGATATGCACTGGTGCCATTTTCTTTCCTATTGCTTTCCTAAGCTTGGCCACTGTGTAAGTATTGGGGTGACTTCACTCACTACATTTATAACTTTCTAACAATGAATCCATAGATACACACAAATCCGCAAACCTTTGTATTTCACTGATGTTAGAATTATACTTAAATGTCTCACATTATTTTTTAGACATTTATAACCTTTCATATGATGGTCCTAAATATAGGCATACAGTATCTTATGTATAGGAAACTCCGAGCAGATTTTATGGTAAACGTATTCTTTTAAGTCATTCTAGTTTAATGTCTATAAAGAAATTGTCAGTAACTAAAAGGAAATATTATTTACTCTCAACATGACTAGTTCAAATTGGGAAATGTATGCAACATATCTAAATCTAAAGACATTAGGAACTGTTGTTCGATCAGGACTGTTGCATTAGAGCTAAATGCCTTTTCTTGGAATTATATTCAGTACTGCCAGGATTGCTTTCTTTTTGGGCAAGCAGCCTGGGTAACACTTTACATAATATTTTTACTTAAATATTCATTTATTTTGTAATATAGAGTGATTTGCATATAAGCTATGGATTTGGTTTGCTCATATTTGACATTTTAAATAACATGTTCTGTCTTGTTCATAACAAGAACTTTAGTTTAAGCAAACTTTAGTAAAGTCACATTTTATAAATAATTTGTGTCTGTACTTACAGTATATAACTTTATACAAGCAGTATATGAGATATTTCATTGAACGGGATTTTAGTAGTCCTCATTTATAGCTGTTTACATTTCCTCAGCATTACCAGTAGTTCCTCATGACTTACTGTGAGGAAAGGTGATGGTGGGACATGTACTGGCAGTACTGTTCTAAACAACATAGAGACACTAATTACCCCATCACTGAACACCTCCTGTGACTGACTGGAACATTTTTAAAATTATTTCCTTTTCTTGTTATAATTAGTAATTGGCAACTTAAGCAAAAACATTTGTTTGAGTTGTGCATACAAAACACTGGACACTGCAAGTAAAAACGTTAATTCAAATGTATATACAAAATATTATTTTAATGCTATTTAAAAAGAAAGCCAAATGGGGAAGATGTATTTTATACCCATGTTTATTCACAAACCTGTATCAGCACTTTTATCACCACATTTCAGAAGAATAAGTATCTTAGAATGTGATATTTTTCCTGTTTCAATTCTCTGCATCTAATAGCTGCTCTTAAGAGTTCTGTCATCTTTCTTCACTAGTGCCCATTCTGACTGTATTAGAATTTAATTTGCTGATGAATTTGTACAAATGTTTTGGCATTTTATTGTACCTTTCATATGGTCTGTATTTTGGGTAGCCCTTATACAGTATAGGTGGTTTTTCAGTGGTTCTGCGGTTGGAGAAAAAAAAAATTCTAGTAATGTTATTAACAAAATAATATTTTCCCCCTTAATTTACCAAAAAAAGCAAATTATATCTAAATACCCTAAATTTACCTCTTAACCTGTTTTTTGAATATCCTTTGATGTCAAAACATGTGAAACAAAAATTAGTAACCATGATTCTTTTCATGTTGTATAATTTTCTTATTTCAAGTTCTCTTCATTCTAATTCTAAATTCATTAATAATATCTCCTTATTTTGTTTACTTCAGTTACGGTCAGGGGGATCACAAATTTTGGAGGGCTGTATTGCAGAAATTCCCAATATTTCAAGTCTGGATATTTCAGATAATGGTGAGAAATTCATTTTTCAAACACTAATTTAGGCCACTGAAATTCTGTGATCTTCATGCAGAAAATATGCATTGTTTGCCATCTACTACAGCAGCATTTATGTTCCTTGGCCTTCACATAAAACCTATTTTTGTTCATATAATAATATTTATTTTGTCAAGGTTTGGATTCTGACCTATTAACACTTCTGGTATGGCTGGGCAAAAACAGATCAATAAGACATTTATCACTGGGGAAAAACTTCAACAACATCAAGTCAAAGTAAGTGTTTTCCCTCAAAAACAGGCAAGAAATTCAAAATGTATTTTTTTGTGCAGTCACATTATCCTTTTCATCCAGATGTTACACAGTTTGATAATTCCCAGCAGGACAATATGCAACACACGTGGCATTTATCAGGTAGCCTGCACATTTGGTTTGAGTCACAGCTAATGTCTAGAAGATCACAAGAAGGCCACAATCGTTGTCTGTACTTTTAGGAGCCTATGGAGAGATATTTGGAATGGGCCTTTTTACTCACACTGGCCACATCCAAATGAGCTACTTGTATAAATAGAAAAACTTGAGCAGAGTCAGTCTGTGCTCTGTATCACAAGACTCCAGACAGTACTTCTTAAAAAAACTGGCAGTTTGATGTGATCTTTGTTTGTTTTAATGTGTGTGATAATGTGGTCATAATTCTTGTGAACAAGTAATGTTATGACATGCATAATCATGTAAATGTATCAGTGTATAATATTGTACTTGCTGGGTGTTCAGCACCTACATTGCGGGATACGCTATTTCGTTTGTTATGGCAGCCAAGATGAGCTCAACTAAAGTTTAAACATTTCCTTTTTTTTTAAAAGAAATCTAGCACCTGTTCTAGACAATCTGGTACACATGATTCAAGATGAGGAATCGGTGAGTGTTTCACTCTACATCAAAACTTTTCTGAAGGTGTTTAATTTTTTTGCTGCTTGCTACCCTTTAAACACACCAAATTCCTTGATATTACAAAAAGATCATTAGAAGTGGATCTGGTTATGATCTTTCCTGAATGTGTACAGTAAATACTGTAGGGAAGGTGATGAAAGAACAATTAGGGAAATGTTCTAATACTTGCTAGACAGCCAGTCCAGCACATCTGTGATAGACAGTGGCTTGCAAAAGTATTCACTCATCCTGCGCAGTTTCCACATGTTACCATCTGTGCTTGCAATCCTGGCACTTTCAAAAAGGAATTAGACTGTATAGTTTGAATTTATTTGATTTAGCCCAAACTGGTAAAGCTAAAATACTGGGTAGGAAATTGACCCTGAAGGGAAGGCAATGGGGGGAAAAAACAAAAGTTCTGGAGGTGGCTTTGATAATGAGTGCAGACAGGGTGTTCTAGAGTGAGAGAGGCTGTCTGTGTCTGAGATGTTCGCTAACTGAGTGGGTTTGAGATTAAGTATTCGTGAGTTAGAGCGTGAGGATTAGAGTATAGGGTGTAGTAAAGGGGCCCTCACCCTGGAAATATGAGGTTTGGGGTGGCAAAAGAGTACTTGCCACTACTTTGATTCCAAGGGTGTTGCAGAGAGCGAAAGTTATCGAAAGCAGGGGAAGGCTCACAAAGAGAGTAGCATCCTAGGTTGTTGCTTTGTTGACCCACTGGTAAGGTAAAGGTGGCGAATGAAGGATCTGACCAGACACGTACGAACAGGAGTCAGGGCTCTTCCACTGCTACTCCCTGAAAGGGAGCTAGGGAGAGTAAGAAACAGAGGTGTGAGAGCCCACAAATGAAGGGCTGTGATGTGCTGAACCCAAGAGGATCACTTTGGAGGAGGTCATGAAGGGATCGTGTGATGCATCATGAGTTTAGGGCCATGCATATTAAGATTCTGTTATGACACACCCAAGGAGGTGCCACAGTCTTAAGGAAATCATTCTCAATGTTCATTAATTTGCCAATTGAAAGAGCAATGAAGAGACATTATTCTGGAAATTTCTCAGATTGTACGCGGAATATAAGCATTTAGAGTTTACATGTTGGAAAGAACAGTCTGTCAAGTTATTTTTTTCCTATTTTTTTTATAATTCCATAATCAGTACTGGTTGAATTGGGAGCAAATCTAAGTCAGAAAGGAAAAAAAGAGTTTCATTTTATATAGAATAATGAATCAAAACTGCCCTCAAGTTTTGATTGAAGAACTATAAGAAGAATTCAGAGCAGCTGGCATTCATTTGGAACTGCAAATGTGGAGAAAACCTGCAACCTTCGTACAGAGTCCATTTATATACAGTACATACATGATCAAATACTGAAGGAGCACTTTACACTTCATTCACTTTACATTTACATTTCAATTCATTTTGATAGTCTTTATTAATTAGTTTCCCATTATGAGGCTTCAGTATAGTAGGATGCAGAGTTTCATATCTCAAATGAAACGTGTCTTATCATTTATGTAGCTGCAAGTTGGAGTTCCTTTGAGCTTTAAACCCATTTAAGCTCAACCTTCTGCTCTTCCCCTTTGACAGTTTTTCAATTCACAAAACACGTTTTAGATTAAGCTTCCGTTGTAAAAGAACTTGACAAATGGATGTTTACGGCATGGCAGTGATTAATAATAATTTACAAGAGGGATTTTACATTCTTAACTTATTCTTTTTAAAACAACCGGCGAAGACCCCTGAGACAAACATATGGCCTTTAATATTGTATTCTTGAAATTGCTGGGCTGTAGCAGTTTTAAATTTGCCAAAGCTCGGCATGATGCACAGCTCTTTCTGCGTACTGACCTGACCTTTCAGCAAATTACATGCTGGGTCATGAGGACAAACCAGCTGAAGGGATGGGAGGAAGCTGATAGCTGGATTTATAGAGGAGCACTGTAATGAATTAGGCAATTTTAGAGAAGAAGCTTGCATTGAAAATCATTTCACTGGAGAAAAATGACACTTCAGCCTCCCAGAGATAGCAAAAATATATTTTAAAAAATCTTAGAAAACCATCCTTGTTTTTCTTTTGTTTAACGTTCTGTTAAAGTTTGCAATATCCTTGAAAAATCTCATTGACTTTAGGTTGTTTTTGTTATTATTTTGTTCTGAGAAGGAATTGAATGCATTTTATTTAAATCCCAGGAAATTATAGTACACTATAGAGCTCTTTTAAGCCAAAGGCTGTTCCTTTATTTCTATTTTTACAGTATGCCATCATTAAGTTTTACTTTATTTATGACTTGAATATCCAATAATGGATGGAATTCTATAATTTGTCCTGCACAGAACACTGTTACTGGTTCAATATCTCTGTAAAATACATTCTGAAAAAAAAAACTTCCCAATGGTAAATGAGAGGAATAAGAATGTTAGTTGAATGTTATGATATCCAACTCATCTTTCCCTTTTTCTTTCATTAAAATGGACTGAGATATTCCATTAGCTTTATAATTACATGTTTCCTGAGGCATGCCAAAAAGATTAATTAAAATGAGCTAATATAAACAGCAATAGCTATAAAATTAAATATTGATGTAATATGGTTTAGGTTTTTACTCTGCACCAGTTCCTTAGAGTATTGTATTTTTTTACTCTGGATTCCTTTTCATAGTATAATGTTATACAGCACATTGTTGTATTGTGAGGAAAACAGTGGTATCTAATTGAAAGCTTCTGTGCTATTTTTTTTCTGATTAACATATAAGCAGGGTTTTAGCATAGGGTCTCGTAAAAAGAAACTGAAGATAGAAAAAAAATCACCATGGAATGGCAACAATATTGTGTAGAGTCACATTCTGTTAAAATGATTTATCTGTATGGGGTTCTGTGTTTAATCAAGACTGATGGGCCCCAACCATGGTCATGTTAAAAAGGTGACGTCTGTAGTGAAGACTATGATTATTTCTCATCTGTTATAAGACACTGATTTTAATGCTTCTTATAACAGATGAGAAACCTGCCATGTTAGCCTAACATTTAAGTGATGGAAGTTTGTTTCTGAAGCAATGATCTGAGGCATATCATTATGGTAATATGTATTGTGCAAGAAAATTTTAGACTGACAATAAATTTTGTACAAAGGAAAAAGTATAAGATGTGGTGGACCTAACATTTTTTTAGAAAACAATTACTAGAATGGTTTAATTATAGACATAGTATATACTATTTTTGATCAGGTTTCTGTCCTTGTGGGACTGACATTCCAGTTAAAAGTAATTAAAAAAATACTTGTTTTCAGTGTATCTCAAAAGCAATGGCTATACAGTATATCAGATTTGTTCTGATTTGCTAATTTGATCAGTTCCTATTCTTACAGTATATTTAGGGTATTCTGTGTAATTAGATGTACAGATGGTCGATAAAATAATGTGAATACCAAGAAGCATGTGAATTTATTAACTAATATGGTGTTGGGCTACCCTTTGCCTTCAGTACAGCTTCAGTCCATCTTGGAATACTGTCCTTTGAGAGACAAATGAGATGGCAATCTATATCTGGAACTTCCCATAAAGGTTCAATGATGTTTAGATCTAGTGAGTGGGGAGACATGTTCTTAAAACCTCTGTTACAGTATATATGTTTCTAAATATGAAAATAAGTCACTGTCTTCTGACTTGGCACTTTTAACATTGATTCATTTCCAACAGCCTCTAACCTCCCTGTCCTTGGCCGATTCCAAACTTAAGACTGACCTGACAATTATCTTGAACGCCCTGGGCAGTAACACGTCTCTGACCCGAGTGGACATCAGTGGCAATGGGATGGGTGACATGGGTGCGAAGATGTTGGCCAAAGCTCTGCAGATCAACACAAAACTCAGGTAAGAAAAAAAAGTTTTTCATTTATATATTTTGTTTTGAGTCTTTGGGATTTAAATATAATGTGTCGGTTTTGACAGTATTTATGAGATTTGTATTATTTAAATGATTTGGAGAGAGGAAACTGCAATATCTAGTGCACCTGTCAGATGGTTTTTGAATTCTGGAAAGTAATAAAGTTCTGAATCCTTCCTTTCCAATTATAAGATGATGCATACATTTTCAATTCAATGCGTCATTAAAAATACATTGTGGTATATTTGTGGTTTAACATTCTTTTAGAAAGGGGTTCAGAATGCATGAGATTGATTGTTTGACACTGAGTTAATCTGTGTGTTAGAGTCTGTCATATGAAACCGCTAAAAACATTTTCTTTTTTAGCTGTATTCCATTAGAATGATTTTTTATTTTATTTTTGATTGCCTGCTGTTTTAAACAGGACAGTTATTTGGGACAAGAACAACATTAGCCCTCAAGGCTTACAGGACATAGCTGCAGCTCTAGAAAAGTAAGTCTGAGAATCATGTTTCATCTACGTTACCTTCCTATGCCTAAATGCTTTTTGATGTACAGTATAGTGCTACGTCTTCACCTCTTCCACCTTTCCTATCTTTTTGGTATGATGTATATTGCACTGATGTTATACTCCTCACCAATCAGTCTTACTGTTACATTTTCTGTTAATGTTATACCTGCTATAACAGTAGTGCAATAACTTAAGTTTCTCTTTTGTTCCTAATACTGCTTGCATTTAGATATAATCATTTAATTATTTGGTGCTTTGATGTTTTTGCCTTTCTATTTTTGACTCTACTCCCAGTATGTTTCCTTTGAATTTCTTTGGATTCACCCCCTTCTTTTCTAGTTTAATTGCTTTGAATTTTTGTTGTTAATCCTTGCCCCAGGTTGACTTGCACCTGACTTTAGATGTAATCCATCTCATCTATATAAATATCCTTTGCTATGGTTTCCAGGGGCTGAGAAATCAAAAGCCTTTTTCAGCACAACATGACCTCTATCATTTTTGAGTTTATGGATCTGAAGGAGTTCACCATTGCATGATATGGACAGGATACCCGAGAAAACTACTTATTGAATCCTACTCTTCAGTTTATTTCCAGTGTTAAATTTGCTAGATATGTAAAAAGAAGTGCTTATCTCAGTGTCACTGTCTTGACGTGAGAAAAAAACATCAGGTTTTTACCCATGTTTTGTCTTGTAGTCTTTGGACAACATTACCCTACACAGCCCCATGCAGACAGATAACTGTTGACTCAGGATATCAGGAAGATTCGGGGCAATTGAGATCTGTCTTGCACTGTTCCTGAGAATCTGTTCTCCAGGAACCACTATGTCTTCTTGCATTTTTTGTGGGCACTAAATAGCTTTTGGTTTTTCTTACTCTTGCGAATCCCTGGATGATGTCGTTCAGTTAAAAAAAGTACACTCATACCCCAGTGCAAGAACGTTTGGTATACGAATTTTCACTAATCCGAACATGAAGAATTTGTACCTTGTAATTTGCTATTAGAAGTAAATTATGCAAATCCGAACTTTAAAGTTCAAAAGTGACTGAATTTGGAAGAGAACCTTCCGTGATCATGTGAATCAGGCAGCAGTGCTTTAATAATAGTTGATAATTGCTTGCAAATATATCGCTTTTCTGGACACTGTATGTATGAGTGTACCGTACACACCTTACTCTTACCCGCAGTTCCAAATTGAAAAACAAATTGAAAATAATATAAGAAATGATTGAAACATATATAATGTTCAATGTGGTTGTATAATTCCATTTATCAAATTATTTAGACATAGGAACCATTGGTTTGTGTAACCCGTGTAACATTACAAGAAGGGTTTATAGATTTTTCCTCTTTACTGCAAGTTGATGACTGCTTTTATACTGTATTATTCATGAAAGAACAAAAAACACCAGATGTGCAAACAGACCTGCCTTAGACCTTAAAATGAGTTAAATAGAACTAAAACACACTCTTGCAATCCAAAGATTATATTTGTTAGCTTTTTAAAAACAATCTTATATATTATCGATATATCAGATGTTCAGGGCACCAGTAGCTAAACTCCCCAGAGATGCTGCTAGCCTCGGGTTTATTCACTTTCTTTCCTTTACTATTCAGGTTTTCATAGTGATTTTTCAGCTGTAATCTGAGTGTAATGCTAAGAAGGAAATAGCAGAGCTGGTAGTCTATAGAAAAGAAGTAGATGAAAGGTGATGCTGAAGAAAGAGGTGAACTGCTGGACATGGAGAATCACCAGCAGCTTCGGTACAAAAAAAAAGAGGCTTGCAGGCTCTTCCTTTTCCATTGGGAGAGCTCCACTCGCCAGATCTTCTTTCATGTCCTCATTCTGTTCATGCCAGGCAGCCGTGTGAAAAAGAGTGTGGGGTTTGACATAATTGTGTAGAGTTTCTCAGTGTGTAGAAGAGCATCTACTGGGATTTATACAATATTGTGTTCAAAATAGACTTCTTTTATATATCTGTCATCTCCTTTAAATGGCCTTTACATGTCATAATTACTGCATAGCTGGCACCTTGTTTTAGACCTCCTGCAGGCTGCAGCTCTCAGAAACGCATACCATAGTGACTGGTAATTGCCTTCTCAAATGTACTGTACAATCCACAGGAGCTGTGGCAGGGAATACAAGTGGGATTGGAAGATCTTGTGTACGTGCACAGCATCTCATTTAGTCTAGCTGTTTCACATGTCTGTGTCTATCCCTGTTTATAAATATGTTCATGTCCACCCTGCTTATTGCCTGTCATTTTTCTTTTAAATTTTAAAGCATATTTGAGGTTATTCATTTGAGACAGCTTTGGTTATCTGCAAATTCATCAAAAACTGAATTCACTGTGAATTGCGAGTTGCAGTTTGTTAATCACTCAGGGCTGTTTTATGTACAGTAAGTCACACAGTTCAATGTGGCAATAATCACTAATGTCCTTACTAATGCACAGGTAATGATGTAAGTCTAGTTGGCATGAAACTGTTTGTGGAGGGATTTTATTTTGTTCCTTCAGTGCTTCTTCTTTAACTGATCATATCTTGCCTTTTGTTTGAGGCTCAAACAGGAGTTCTGCTCTTTTTCAAGTTTCCCAGTAACTATCATTAAGTATAGGAAGACTTGTTTAATCAGCTAAATTAGAAACTCCATCACCTTTCTTTTGCTGTAAGCAAAAAGAGTCTTCCAGATTGACCAATAGAATTTGATGACCTCATCAAAGGAAAAGATTGTACCCTTGTGTTAACATAATACTGAAAATGTTTGAGTGATGCTTATGCACTACAGCATCTATCACAGAATGCTGCTTGCTGTATGGTTTTGATTAATAATACTTTAAACATAGTTTATTTGTAAAATAAATCTGTGTTATGATCATCAGTGCTCTCTAACGTTACATTATCAGGTTAATTCACTGCAACATTTGTCCACCTGTAAAGTGGCTTATGTGGATCTCACTGGGTAACTAGGTTCACAGGAGTGAACTTTTACTTCATGGGTAAATTCCTCACATAGACATTGTATTAAGAGGATAAAACAGATATAAAAATACATTAAAGAATAAAATGCATGTAAAGCCCAGTGGAAGGAAGATTATACTGAGTAATTTACAGATACAAGGTTGACTAATTTGCAATTCCCTGCTGTTTTGAGGAGTATTCATACAATGTCATAAGCCTATTTTTCATGTCTACCATACAAGCAGTGTAATCACTTTTGTAGAGGCACTGTTCCAGAAGGCTTTATGTTGCTCCAATGAATATTAATATGGTTTTTGCATTAGCACAAGATGAGTAACCTACCTAATGATGTCAAGTCACAGTCAATTAGTGTGTGGGAACAGCTTGATTCAGGCATGGCCTTTAGGACTGCCAGCTCTGAAACAACTGTTCATGTGCTGCTTGTCAATTTTTGGAAACTGTTTTTCAAAAATATCACCCGAGAAGTTGTTTTTAAAGCTTAAAAACAAAAATAAAAATCTCACCCTGTCATTCGACTGTGAGGTATTGGTTTCATTTTTTTCTGTTTTCGATTTTAGCAGCTTAGTGCAGAATCAGGGTAGCTGTTCCCATGGCAATTACTGTAGATTTATCTGTTTGTTTTTTGTAACATACAGATGCACAGTTTTTATGTATACTGTACTCACTAATATCCAATATCGGTACCTTTGCAGACATTGGTCCCTCCAGTCCTTATTGTGTCAACTTGCTGCTGCAAATTCACCAGTGAAGAGTGGGGCATATAGCATGTCCATGATTAGTCTCCTAGTCTGAGCTTTGTCCAGTTGTAGTTTAAAGAACATCTTCTGTTCTTTCCCTCAAGAAACTTCACTATCCGTTTCATGCCTATTCCCATCATCGATGCCTCTCAAGCTCTGAAGGCCAGTCCAGAGAAGACAGAGGATGCACTGCTAAAGGTGTGTGGCTTGTACAAGAATTATTTTACCAGAACCTACAATGTGTGGAAGTTCATTTTTGACTATTGTTGAGCACTATAACAGGAAGATGCTATTGGTTGACTTTAAGAAGAGTTTGTGAAGAAAGCCACACAGTATACAATGTCAGTACTATTTAACAGCAAGATTTTTCTTAGTGAGCTTTATTTAAAATTCAGGGTAGCTACCCAAACATTCTCTTGCTACTTAAAATGTCAACAAATGTTTTAATCCACCGAAGCAAGTTAAGGCAGGCCAGCTCTTTCTGTTTCCTTATTTGTTTTTCATTATTTATTCATTTGATCTGTGAACTGACAACTTCAATAATCAAATGTAAAAACATGGGGTGAGATAGTATTTCCTTCTTGGACTGCCGCAGTAGAAGCTGTTTGGCGTAGCAGATGCCATTATACACATTACAGCTATTCTATACAATTTTAGTTTCTGACATCTATCTAGCTCATTTCCTCACCCCGGCAGGAAACTGCCTTGTTAATGAAGTGGAATTCAAGTGATGCTTTGAGATGCCTTGATTTTTCAGATTGAGAACTACCTTCTTCGGAATCATGAGACTCGTAAATACCTGCAGGAGCAGGCATACAGGCTGCAGCAGGGTATTGTCACCACCACCACACAGCAGGTCGGTATTAAAATAGTAGCTGAAGATGGGGGAATCAGTGGGCATCATTCTTTCAATGGTCTTGAGAAGCGCTAATTGTGCAGGTACACCAGTGAATAAATAGATGTACAGCACTCTATGATTTGTGGCTTGATGATGTTTTTTTTATTTTTAACTTTGGCGTGCATCAATTTTAACAGTTCAGTACCAGAGTGAAAACTAAAATATCAGTAGGTCACTTGTGGTAAATTGGAAGTTGATATCAGTGGACCACAGTAAGAGATTAGAGGTACAGTAGCTGCAAATATCTGCCAGGATAATTAGCTTGCAAATCGGTATGAGGTCTCTAGAATGAGGTATCTAGGTCTCTGCTAAGTTAGGGATATGTTCCTACTGTATTATCAAATAACACCCTTCCTCAGGCTGGTAGACTGAAATTAATTTTGGTGCATTAATGTCTAACATAAGTCCTCTTTACTTCTGTGCAACACACGGATTGTGGTGTAAAGCACCCAGAGTCATTTTTGAAGACATGAATACAGTTCTTAGTATTTAGGTTTGAGTAATGTCATGCTAAAAGCTACATATAATTTGATTGTATGAAAATGTACAAAGCCATTCATTGAAAACCTGAGAATATAAACACTTGATTTGGCATGTACCGTATGTCTATAATAGAAAAATCAAATGCTTATATAGGTGTTCTATCTGTATAACAGTATATTAAATGTTTAATTGTATATTTCTGGTTGTATCTTATTAATAACATAATTTACTACTACTTTCAGTGTAGTAAATAATGCATGAGAGCAAAATCTCTTTTTTTTTCTAAATTGTCTAAATTTCGAAGTTTGGAAGTACCTACTGTATGTGTATTGTGGTGAGTACTTTATATGCAGTACATTGTAATGTTCACTGTGTTTTATTTTTTTTTTACAAAATAAGTATCATTGTTTTGATATTCTCCAAATTGTTTCATTTTGGTAAAGGAACTGAAGAAACAGGATTGACTGATAATTTACTTTTAAAAACTCTTTGTGGTGGGTAAATGCTTGAGAGCCTTGAAGGCTGTATTTATAATCCCTTTAATTTCACTTTTGGCTAAGAATTATAAGAGTCTTATATTTAGAACTGTAGTGTGGTATTTGGTATGCCTTTTTGTGAAAGAATGGTGGTCTCTTTAGCTATTAGTGTATGAGATCAGTAAAATGAAAATCATGTTATCATTCTTTAAAGGTGGTATTAAAATGCAACAGTTTTAGTATAAAACTATTTTAGTAACTGCAGTAAAAAATCCAATAGATTTGGCCTAACCATTTCTCTTTGTTTCTGTCTTTATTTAGATGATAGACAGAATGTGTGTTAAAGTTCAAGACCATCTCAACTCTCTGCGAAACTCTGAGAATAATGCCATTTCAGAAGACATTAAAATGGCAGAAAACTTGATAAGGGATGCCAGAAATTCAAAAACGGTGAGGGGACAGTTTGGACTGTTCTTAAGGTTTGCTAGTGTCCTAACTTCTGGGTTGCTACAGTGTGCACCAATGTCAGCCTGTTACGAGTACCTAAAATTAAATAATCATATACAAATGTACTGTACTAAGTATAAAAAGAAGAGTGTGTCAGACACATTTACAGGAGATGTTGAGTTGATGTTTGTGGACAAACATTTGCATGTGTTTCTCCATTCCCATTCATAATGGTTTTATAAATTATAATTTTATTACCTTTTAAGAACTCTTGAATTTGAAATGGCGAAGGGACATGTCATAATTAAAAAAGGGCAGTATTTAAACTACAGTACTTTATTTAGACATTATTTTAATAGTAGAGGGCTTTGTATCTTATACAAATACAGCACCATTTTATTAAGTAGTAATGTCGGTAAGTTGCAAACTATTCCAATTTAACATCTTATGAAAGTCTTGGCCTGTCTCTCCTGAGCTGCTGGAAGCTGAAATTTGAAGTGGGAAATGAGAGACCTATGTGATTCTAACACTTGTCATGTTGTGAAAGCTCTTGCCAAATTTGTACCACCTGGGAGCCACTTCTGAGAGCGGGTCTGGTGGCTCATCAGCTGGACCTATTGAAGAAAAGCTGGAGTCTATGGCTGGGGAGATCACATGTGTTATGGATGAACAGCTGAAGGTAAAAATTAAAATGAATAATTGAAGGAGCTAACTGTAGTTGGATTAAATGAACACAAAAAGGACCCGTTTTGTCTTATTGAGTTGTTAAAAGCTTAGAGATTTTGTCTGATTAGAGTTCTTGAAGGACCTGACAGAAATACACTTCAACTCCATGGCTGACTTAACTCAAGCCATTTTTATTGGGTAATAAGTATTAGGTATCGGAAGATACTAATCAGAGCTTAAAGCTGTGTTACTTGACTGCATGTAATAAAAGGTGTTTTGTAAAAAAAAAAATAATAGATTATGGTTTTATAAGTTAGTCATTGCATAAATTCCTGTATTGAATTTTCTGTTTTTTTGCCTATGCTTGGATGTTCTTTTTAAAAAGTGATTGTTCAGATCAGATGATTTTTTTTCACTAACCACATTGATTACATGTATTAACATCATTTACATTAGTTTACAGACTAGTATATAAATTATATTGTTGCAGTAATACTGTACAATTTTGTATATTCATTTTGAATTGACTAGACTGTACAGTGTATTGTCACTTTTTGTATGCAAATTCAGTAGGGCCAGAAGGAATAAATCTGAGAATGTGATTCCGAAGAGAGAATAACTCATCCGATTTCTCATAAGATGCCATAGCAGTCTGGGACAATATCTCTATCAGCACTCAAGCATCCTTGTCATAAGTGTATCATTAACAGCACAGTGCCTGTGCTGTGCTGTATAAAAAGAGATAATGGCTCAGTGTGTCAGCTTCGATTACACACCTTCTGTCATTCTGCCGGCCCCTCTGTTCTCCTTGGGTGTGTGCATCACAACCTTGTTTGTCTGTGCCACACTTATCTATCGATTTCCTCTGTGAATGCATGGGAATGGACATTCTCTTCAAAGAAAAAAAGCTAATCTTATATGGCTTATTTTTTAGGATTTTTTGCAAAGGGAAAGTGGCTGTAAAAGTGAAGGGTTTTCAGAGATAAGTGAGGGTATCAAGCCCATGTATTATGTGCAAAGGTGGATTAAATATCCAATGTACATTTTTTAACATGTTGTTCTTACACATTTATGGTGGGGGAGGGGACATTTTCTGTGTGGGACAAATGGTTTCCCAGGGCTCTCTGCTTCAGACATACTGTAGCAATGTAATGTGAACGGTCTCAGTGGGAAGTGCTTCTGAGTGCTGCAGCAAAAGTCCAATGAAAGCTTTTTTACCAACTTAGATGTTTTTAGAACCAGGTGGTATACAGTAACAGAACTCAATTAATCCTCAGATTTAAAGATAGAAAAAGACATTTCTATTCACAGAATTTCTGTATTCTAACCCTTAAGTGCTCCACAAACATTTCAGGCTTCCACCATTCGGATTGCTGCTGTAATTGGTTTGGTGTAGTTTTTCTCTGTATCACTTGAAATTCATGAGGTATTTTAGCATTCAGATACAGTCAGTTCCAAAGCATCTGTCAGCTGTGTGTCAACCAAAGATTGAATTGGTATTTTGGGAAGCTATCTTGACAAAAACGAAATGACTGTGATATTGAGAGAGTGAGGTTGCCACAGTTATCACTGAGACAAATCCTTTCAAAATACTTTTGGGCTAACATAACTATTATTCTGCTCTCAGGCTGATCAGATGATAGTGTATCCAATTAAACTGTCTTAGTTACTTAATATCAAATAGACTGTATTGTGATACAGTAGAGTGAAATACACTGTACAAGTGGCTGGTTATTTTTAATCCTTTTTCACTCTTCACAGAATCTGCTGGAGTCCATGGTGGATGTGGCAGGGACCCTCTGTCCCCATGTGATGAAAAAGGCCAACATCCGTCAGGACCTTATCAAAGCCAGTACTGGAAAAATGTCTGTCCCCCGAAACTTTGTGAAGAACGTCCTGTTGGAGCAATCTGGGGTTGACATCATCAACAAAATCAGGTGCACCACCCTAACTCTTTACATATCCACAGAAAATTTGGGTCATTTTTATTCTGATCATAACCAACACCTTGAAGTATTTTAGAACCTTGAATGCTTTAATCCCTATCTTTGCCCAGGCTGATGATTATTAGATTCCTACAGTATATATTCATCTACAGAGGATTTTGACAAAAGTGTTTACAGTTGCTGTTTTAGGTAAATGTTTTCTCATAAATGACTAGTTATCAACTGGTCTGTAAAACACACTGGTCTTCGTGGTGTCCTCGCTTGCAAAGTTTAACCAGTTAGTCTAACTTCAGTCTGACTCTTATGGTTAACCCAGCAAGGATTCTCACATTGATTGTATGTTATATGAATTCTTTGTATTTTGCCTCTGTAATTGTAATCCTTAACTTTTAGGATTAAGTGCAGTTTAAACTAATATGTTTGAGCTTTCCACCTGTTAAGATTATGAGGAAGTCGTATTGTAGGGTCTACAACTTCTGCAAATTTAACATTCATGAATCCTACATCCGCACTCCATCTATATTTCCAACAAAGAATAATATTTGGGTTGATGAAGTATAGTGGCAATTGCATTTCCAATAATGAAAAAAAAAATTAACTGTATATGCATCATTATTTTAAAAAGGTGGGTAGCTGCGTCAGCATGCGTAGGCTGCAAAGGAACAAGTAATAGGTTTATTCCATGCTGAAAAAAAGAAGAAAGAGAACACAACGTTTCGGCCGTGGAGCCTTCTTCACACCTGAAGAAGGCTCCACGGCCGAAACGTTGTGTTCTCTTTCTTCTTTTTTTCAGCATGGAATAAACCTATTACTTATTATTTTAAAAAGGCATCTTAAAAATACATTACTTAGATAAACAGTGGTGAACAATTTGGGGCTCAGAATGGAGCAATAATGCAAGTGACTGGCTAAAATTTTGTCAGCTATCATTTCAAATTGATCCCATGTTCAAAGCAAACCCTGATTGGTTTAACTCTGGGACGTGGTATTTGTCTCAGTTGTTTGTATCACACCTGTTCTTTGGTTCCCCATTACTTCATGTTGGTTGTTTGCCTGTGGAGTTTCAGACTCCGCAGGTATTGCCCGGAGTGCCTTCAATTTCAAACCTGTATCACACTCTCATTCTTGTTGTAATTGTACATACAGTGAAGTGAAGCTGAGCCTTGCCTCCTTTCTTTCTGACCGAATTGTCGATGAGATCTTAGAAGCACTTTCCAGTTCTCAGCACGTTTTGGTGAGTGATATTTGCTTGTGTTTTTTTAAAAATAAACATGTTTTAAAACCTTGGTAGTAGTAATAGTACTGAATTAGTTGTTCTATTGAAAATGGAAAAGAAATGTAGTTTGAACAGCACAAATTAAGCATTGAAACCCATTACAAAACCTACTGTACATTATTTTTTGGAAACTGTTTAGGTTAAAGTTGTTAGTATGAGCAAAAGTGTGATTGTTAAAGTGAGATTATTACATAAAAAAAAAATTCTGCTGAGACACTCTCAATGCCCACCAAAATTAAAATGTGTTCTTTAGATAATATGAAAACTGAATTTGAGTAATTTAAGCCACAGACCAAACTTGCCTTTTCACAGGCTGTGCAGTAGAACAGTAAATGTGGGTACCCTCTTGCATGGCATCTTCATCTAGTGGATCTACTTCACCCAACCTGCATCAGTCTCCATAGTAAAGGCGTAGCTTGGTTAACATATAGTTAACATGTTTATGTAGAGGTGCATGATAGGTTATGCTTTATTGAGTATCCTACAGGAAAGCATTAGATGGGTGTTGTGTGTAGACCTGTTATTACAGTAAGGCATAGTAGTGTTATCTTCATAACACATGCTTACTACCAATAATTACTAAGAGTATTTCTAGAAATAGTTTACAATTATAACAAAAATATTACTATGGAAATGCTTGTTTCACCAGCTGTGGAACCCAACCCTATTCTCCCCACAAAATATTAAGTCCCACAATTGCAAATGTTGCTATTCAAGGAGACTTCAAAGTAAGAAACTTTCATGAAGACAAAGGTTTCACTATTTTCCACAAGCCTGGATGCATACTGTATTTCGGTAGTGATCAAAGATACCTGTCCTTTGTCCACTGTGAATGCCAATAAACAATATTTTAGGGTAAACAGCAGATTGCAGTTTTCCATACCTGTAGATATTGGACATTTTAAAAAAATCTTATATTGAAGAAGTTGTCAGACTATGATAGGGATGTACAAATCTCCCCAATGTGCGGTACAGCACAAATGTCAACACCTCCCCCATTTGAATCCATTAAATGTTGCCGTTGTCCCTGCAAGACAGAAAGTCGATTTCTGCTCTCATGTTCATTTTATCATGGACACCTACAGTGTGCCTCTACATTTAGCACAGTTAAAATGCTTGTGTCTTTTTTCTGTCTCACCAGGCACAGCATTTGAAAGGTGGGGGTAAACCCTTGGTTCATCAGGAGTCCCTGGAAATCGAGGTAATAGAGGAGAAGGCCCCCAAACGATCTGTCTCGACAGCAGAGGATGTGACAGAGGGAGAAAGAATCGAGGATCTGGACACATGCATGGTAGGACTCCGTCTTCCCAGCTTGAAATAAAAATGTGGTTTAAGCAAACAGTATACACTAGGAATATAGGAAGGGAAGAAGACGTGTCTAGGAAGACTCTTTGCTTTGTAACTCTGCTCTTTTCCATTCTGCACCTTAACCGTTGTGTTATGCAGTATGTTTGAAATAAAAAAATACCAGTGGAGGATGTTTTGTTTTTTGTTCCCCAAATTTAAATGTCTGATTCCCACTGGTTATTGCCACTTTGACTGTGGTTAGAAAGAATAGGACTAGAACTTCACGTTTATGTACTGAACTTATAGCCATGGTATTGAGACCTTCTTATGTATATCTTATGTACATATCTTAGTTTTGCAAGACATCTACTATAAAGGATTATATTCCAGTGTAGCGTAGTCTGACCAGAGCTGCGTTTTGCAATAGTTTGCAAAAATGGTGCAATATTATGGCTTAACATGTTTGTTTTAACAGGTTAACATGTGTACAGATTTATGGGCAGTGCTACTTAAAAATTGTTTGTTGCAGTTGTTAGATCATCAGCAGGTTTCAGATTTAAACTTGCCAATTTGGACAGCAAGAAGAGTAAGGTAATGAGAATCAAAACAGAAACCATTTTAATTTATGACACATTTTAATGGTGTATTTCCAGTATTTGATCATATTGAAAAGATTTTTATTAAACTTAAACATCTGGAACTGCAAAACCAGCTGTTTTTATGTGAAGTGGGATGATAATCAAATATGGTTTCAGTCATAATACCAGTGTTTTTTAACAATATAATATAAAAATATATTTTAAAAAAGAATTGTAGATAGGAACTTTTTATTTGACTGCTTTAAAGAACCAATTAAACATTAAGATATAAAGAATTTCAAGTCATGTGAAAGTGAAGTCCATGATTATTATTTTAAGAATTGTCCTTTTAATTAGTTGAATTAGTGAATAAAGGTATCAAGTATTTTGGGTTTTATTATGTACTAAAGCACTATGAGTGTATATTTAATTATGATAGGAAAAAAGTGGGCCAATGTATTGAAAAAATTAAACAGACCTAAATGGATCTCTAAAGCTTTTAACTTGAAGAAAAATGAATTCTCTGAATTGCAATGTTTTTAAAGGCTTTTTTATATCCTAACGGATTATAACAACATTAATAACATGATATTCATGACCATTTTCAATTAGACCCTGGTAACTTTCACACAATTGCAAACCTAAAGGATTTTTTCCAAGCTGCAGTGAGCTGTCATTATCACTGGCCAAAATAAGCAGTTTTTTAGCATTAGAAGTTTAATCTTTTTAACCTTTTTGACTGGAAATTAATGCCACCTTAAAAGCAATTACTGTTTAAAGAAGAACAATGCAGAGCTTTTTGCTAATCTCTGCACATGCCATTTATTTGATAGTCAGATGTAAATCCTTAAGCCTTAATTTAGGTAAAGTAGTATGAAGTCAAGTCCAACAACAGTTCTTCCTGTGCCCCTATAATTAGTGTTTATAGAATAGTTTTTTTGTGACTTGTACAGTATGTAGAGGAGCTCTGTTCTTGATATTGTTTTTTTTGTCCTCGACAAAATTTGTCCTGTTTATTTGGAATCCCTTACAACATTGCACACCTGTAGTAACTTAAGAGAACTGACCACGCTGACATGCCCACCCCAGAATGTTTCACTAGTGTATTCTTTTACCTAATAACCCTGAAAAGAAAGATAGCCACCTACTGTAAACCATCAGAGAGAAAACAAGAAACAAGAAACCAGATTCCTTGCTGGTCAGCAAGTGTTGACTGTGGTGTGAAAAGCTACGTTTTGAAGCTTGAACTGAAAGACATCCATAGCAATTATTTTACTCTGTGATTATATAGTAAATGAAGATCAAAGCTTCTGAAATGAACAGTGTATGTCACAGTATCCCCGTTAAATGGTTATAAAATGTAAGGAAAACAATACCACATATTAAAGGTATTGGAGTTAATTATTTCTAAAATAGAACTGTGGCGAATCAATGATTTTTTTAAAATTGACCTAGTATCCACTTCTTTAGCAAACACCACAGAGTCTTTCTTGAGATTAATTGAGCAGTTAACTCAAGTAAAGGACTAAACGCTATCGTGATCTTTTAGAGTCAAATTATATATGCACCTTCTTTGTGGCTCAGACAGCTGCAATGAGGCAATGTCTGTTTCTCACTTCACTCTTCTAGGATATTTGATTTTAAAGAATCCAATTTTAGCACAAAAATAAAACTTAAAAACTTAAAAATTATTAAATAAATATTTGTGGTTGATCCATACATTTATATATAAGTCTGCAATTATTATTTTTTTTACCTTCTAAGCAAAATCCTTATATAATTTAGTGTGGTAACTCTACTTATGTTACCTTCAGTTTTGCTGCTAGTCCATTAAATTATGTGTTTGAATACCTTGATGACCCTCTGATTGTTTTTGACCCTGATTGGCAGAGATTATTGAAAGAAAGACATTATTGTCCCTTAGCCGCATGTCTTTAATGAATTTTCCTTCCTTTTAAGTGCTATATTGATTGTCTATATCCATTAACCGAACTTTTCCCTGTGCATTAATGTGGTAAAGTGGACTGTTAATGCTTTCCTATTTTGACTGACAAGTAATTTTTCTTAAAAAAAAAGGAATTTAAGGTTAATATGTTGCTACATGGTCTTAGATTAACACAACTCCTGGTATTACTCATGTCTATTCATTTTTATTGTTTGTGACAACAACAATTGTTGTGCTGAACCATTAATTTTCTAGGATGCTTGCGCAAGTCTGAAAAGTCAGGAACAGTATGGAATTAAAAATTACTGATTTCCAGACCTGGAAAAGTTTGGAAAATGAGAAGTAAGTTTGGAAAAAGTATGGAAATCTTACTATCAAACAAATGCGGACCAAATGAAGTTCTCTACACACAAATATTTTGCTGTTGAACAACAATTCATGTCACCTGACCTCCTCTGTGTTTCCAAAAATGACTTCCCAAAATACTGCAAGCAGTTATTGATGTTTATTTGAGACCAGCAGTTGTCTGGGTGTCAGAAAATGGCCCAGTCAATCAAACTGAAATCTACCCATGTTAAGATAACGTAAGAAGGCAGAGTTGATTTCCAGTTTGAGATTAGTTGGATTGGGTTCATATGTATTTAATATTTAAATTATTAAAGAAACGTTTGACATTCAAACGTACTGTACTGTGTGTGATCACAGTGGACTGATCCCTACAGTGCGTCATCACAAATACAGCATATGATTGGGTTCTTAGCAACAGAATGTTATCATGGTGGTGCAACAATTCCATCTCATCTTCAGTGTTTTCTGTTTAGCTAGCTAATATAAACATTATTTGCAATTACATACAATAGGTCAGCACGGCTGTCTTGTTTATTACATTTTACACTTAATAGCAGATTATAAATGTCAGTTTTAAGGTGAGCATAAAAATAGAATTCAGAAACCTATACGGGACCAAACTCAACTGTACACTGAAAGTCAGTCACGCTTAGCAATTACTATTTTAAAACCAGCATGTAATCAGTAATTACATGTAAGTAATTAGTGTATGTTGTACACTTACAAGACATCTAGCTAATAATTTATGTTTTGACACTGGCAGATTTGTGACACAAATGGTGTAAACATTAATTATTGTTACAGTAAAACTTCAGTGTGTTGAATAATCAAATGCTGAAAAAGTAATAATACCTAACAGTAAAACATTTCATAATTAGCCAGATAATTTGGTATAATAGAAATAATTTGAATAATCTTCTTTAGCCATAGCTAAAAACAGGAGTGAATTAGAAAACTTGTGATATAAATAATTTTGTCAAAGACAAATAATTTTCACATTGTAAAATGCAGTGTAGCTATAGCTATATACCACTATAGTCTTCAGTTAAATATCAGATCACGATGATCATAGCCTTTGTGCTGAAGCAGAGCGATTTCTACAACTGACATAATTCTAATATATTTTACAAAATAATGTCATGCAGCTTGGGCCTTTGTTAATGATGCAAACTTGAACATTCAATGTAAAGTTCAGCAATGTAAAGTAAGATTTGTCTGAGCAAATTGTGTTCTCTGACTCATGAACATGTGTTTGCAGTGATTTTACTGTTATGGACCATTACCAGCACCATGTAAATCGAAAGGGATTAATTTACTTACACTCTGTTCTGTTAGTTTTCTTACCAAAGCAACAGAAAAAAGCAGTAAACTGCTGGGAAAACTGCAGTGCTTATTCTGTGTTCATTAATTATTTGAGGTTTTATTAATTAAATGGGTAATTACTTGCAAGAAATATGTCAACAAAGCATGCACATGTCTAACATAAGGACAAAAGTTATAAATGGGTCTTAAAAAGTTTAAAGCTACCTGGAAGAAGTCTGGAGAAGGTACAGAATTTGTTTATGGGAAAAAGCAAACACTATTTTCACCTAAAATAAGTTTTTTTCTTCATTTGTTCCATTCTTCCTTATAGAACTGCTTCAAGGCAGTGACATTTGAAACTGTCCTTGCATGCTTTCAGTCCTGCCATAAAATTTAGTTTAGGTCCAGATTTACTTGGCCAATCCAAAATGCAAAATTTCTTCTTAAGCCATTCTATTGTAGATACGATTGTATATTTATGATTGTCTTGCTGCATGAGAAATTATCAGCTCAGCTTCGGCTGACAAATGAATGGCTTGACATTCTCCTTCAGAATGTGTTAATACAGCACCAGATTATGATTTCTGTCAATGTTGGCAAGCTGTCTGGATCCTGAGGCATCTAAAAAGCCCAAAACCATGATACTCCCACCACAAGACTTGACATTTGGTGTCAGGTTCTTCTGATGGGAGGCAGTATTTATCATTAAATATTTATCATTACAGCCAAAACAAGGGTATTTTGACTTTTCTGTCCAGAGAACATTCCTTCAGTAATCTTGTAGATCATCCAAGTACTCCTTGGGAAAGTTGGGATTTTTTTTTTTAAGAGTGAACAATAGTTTCTTCCCAGCTGTCCTCACCACATGAAAACCGTTCCTGTTCTTTTTCTGATGATTGAGGTGTGAACACTGACATTTGCCACAGCAAGAGAGACTGTAACTTCCTGGATAATTTTCCAGGTTGCTCTTGGGGAGGTCTCAGCAGGATGACTGGTCCTGGGTACGGTATAGTCACAGTGGTCTGTTTTGTTTGACTAACACATTTCATACGTAGGATATAGTTTACATAAATTTAGTTTAGAATTAGTTCTGATGGTAGATCTAAACATCTAAAATAAGGCAACGTGCCTTCCATATGTAGGAAATGTGCCTGCTTTAAAACAAGTATATGAGAGGATTAACACATGCCCAAAAAATACTTAAATTTTTACATTTCAAATGGACCATGTTACCAACTAAAGGACAAACATATTGCTTGGGGAATATTGACTCTATGCACTGCTCAGCCATTGATGAAACAGATTAATTCAGTTTGGTATACAGTATACTGTACACATGTTTAAACACGTTTAGACAAAACAGAACAGTAAGATGTACTGTACGGTGTTTGATACTTTCTATAAGAATACCTTCAGTATTGCTTTATGTTAAGTCAGTTATATAGGAATAATTCAGCACAATATTGTTCTTCAGCTGGAATAGTGCCTCAAAAAGAGCTGTGAACTGTGAACTCTGCTTGTTCTAAATCAGTTTCAAACTTCTTTGGAGACATACACTCAATAATGGGAAACCTTAGACAATGTTAAGCATTCCAGGAATGTTTTTTTTTCAGCTTAGTAGTATAATAGCTATAGTAGAACCATCACATTGAAAACCTTGGTTCTGTAACTTCATAAGAGCTGAGCTACATGATTTGGGTTTTTTTCCAGTGCCATGAGAATTTCTGTCACAGAGTTCACATTTTCATAGTTTATTCATATTGAAATAGGGCTCAAAGTGACTTGTGGAAGGTGCTGCAATAACTCTATAGTAGCTGAATAATTTTGTGTGACTTTTATTGTATGACAGTTTTACAAATTATGTGTTCAGTATGGACTAAGTGCCAATTTGTAGTTGACCAAGGACAGTCATCAAAATATCCGTCAACATGTCTATAGTCTCTTTATCAAACTATACTCAGTTCCACGGGTCTTTGAAAATATATGTCTTCAGTCTTGCCAATGAGACTTTATCAGTGAGGCTTTCTTTCTATACTTACTGTCTCTTGCTTTATTTCAAGATATCATGACTTTTGGATTTATGATATAACAAAGCATTTCCTTAATCCAGCATTCTCATTTAGCCAATCTGCATAATGATGATCTCTTTCTCATCACATCCTTTACTCATTCGTATACCCTTATGATTATTTTTTTAAGTGTTTGTGCAGAGGGAAAAATTTTAAACCTTGGTTCTTAATGTGGTTCTTTTCTTTTTTTATCCTGTTTGACAAAATCCTTTGCTCCAATGAGAATGTGTATGATGCATGCCATGTCAGTGTACAGTACTTACTGTGTCTTTGGATGTTTTCTAATTGTGAAACTCATGGCTCATCCTGATTGTATCTCTTGGTGACATGCTGCAGGTTTTCCTTCTCAAACCTCTTCCTTCATCGTGCTTTTTTCTGTGGGCCCATTGATCCTCACTGTGTCTTCTCTCCCTCTTCTGCTCTCTCTCTCTCATCCCTTTGCTTCCTGGAGACTCTGTGCTGCACCAGTGTAAGTACAGCTCTTCTCAGCCTCCCTGCTTGCTTGCACTGTTGTGACTAATACTACCCACTATGCCACTATCTTTGCTTGAGTCCATTTATGATTTCATTCAATTATGTTGTGTGTCTTGTCAAACGTGACTGCAAGGGACAAGGGAAATCTAGTCAACAACTGCTTCTAACAGGGAAAATAAAAGAAGCATCAGGCTTACAAATTAATTGAGTGATCAGAAGCCTAGAACGAATTTTAATTCCAAACATACTACAGTTCGGATTATTTCTTAAAAAATAAGGAAGCTGTGTGAGGACAGTTTAAGGTAACAATTTACATCATTTGTCTAGTTAGAGAGGGACATATTATTTGCTTAATACATATGTGATTGCCTGTAACAATAATACATTACTTTGACACTTTACACAGTAGCATTGCAAATATGTGTAGGTACATGTGTGATTTCCTATGTAACTGTATATCTTATGTGTCTGTATCTGTATAGCTGTATGATTAACAAAGGTTACTAAGTTGTATCTCTTAGATGACAGAAGTACTGTATATTGCATATTATGTTAAGAGAAGGAGACAATATGCATCTTAATTTTGTTTTCAGATTTTCAAAGCAAAAACCATGATTGCAAATGTTTAATTTCTTAGATTAAAACCATTTTTTCAGACTGAAATCCCATAAAAAGTACAGATGTAAGCAAGGCGATGTTTTGGGAAGGTAGCATAGGTCGAGATGAACAGTCAGTTCTCAGTGCATAAGTACAGTAATTAAAACTCAGCATGGAGAGCTCATCTTCAGGGGGGCGTTGCACATTGATACAAGGAAGGATTATGTCTTTGCAGAAAGCTGTCTGAAACAATGCATCCTTGGTTTTATACTGTGTGATGTGCTCACTGATTACTTAGAAGTTTTATATACTGTAGATGAGAATATTTGTATTGAGGCTCAGGGCAAAACAATTTTACACATGATTTTCCAAATATTGACATTATTAATTCTTATTGGCACAAATTCCTCTTTCACTACTCTGCTGTTAAATTCCAAAATGTATTATATGTTTTGAAATCTTAGTTACCAGGTGGTAGACATTATATACAGTTTGTCTGTTGAGTTACGTTTTCTAAACGCTCGATATTTAAGATATTTAAGGCAAAAGGGCATTCTTGTTAAATGCTCTCAACAGTGATCATCATGGTTCAATTTTAATTTTAATCTGAGGTGATTAGCTGTATTTGAATCAATTCATTTGAATCACCTTAGTATTTGGCTTGCAAACTCATGACACCTGTGCTGACAGCTTTGATTTTGGAGTATTGGCTTCTTGAGCCAAATCACTACTTTTGTTTAGTTGAATATTTGGTTATGTTAACACTGTTAAGTTCTGCAGCCAATAGAATTCTGCTTTTAGGGAATTCCAGGGCACAGTGCATGTTGGTTCTGATACTCTTGTTTACACCTGATCTGCCTGATTTTTCTCAGTTTTATGAGACTGTTTTGGTCTCGCACAGCATGGTAACATTTCAGCACATGACCAGCGCCATAAATTACATCTTCTCGTTACTGATGGCCTGACTGTTTTCAATATTTACTGTATGTTCTTGATTTAGACATGTCAGACCATCTGGCTGTTATAAGTGAACTAAAATTTCCATTGCCTCCCTCCAGGACTAAGTGCAGCATTATGTTTCATAGTCTGAAATCTCCGACTCCTGCCAGGTTCACTAACTCATTTTCTGGCTCACACTTGTTTGATGCCTGATCCAAAATTCCGGATGAAATGGTGAAGTTGTTTAGTAGTGTTGAATATTTTTGAACTTATAGCCTTGGAGAAGATGTATTCTGTCTCTTCTGTCTTCTTCTTTACTTCTTATACAAAGCAGTTACAGTCTAGGAAAGCTGCAGGTCACATGTTCAAATGCAGGTGGAGAGAAGCTGGTCTCACTGTTCATCAGTAGGCTTGGAATCCCTTTAAAATACAGTATATATAGGATGCCCTTTCACCTGCAAAACACAGCAGGCCTGCACGGTTTGTATCTAACCTTGTTGAGAAAGGCTGTGGTAATCCTAGACAGCTTTTGTCAATCATTAATATGATAGAGGCAAAACTTAATATTTCGACTTCAAATGCAATATATTGCATTATTGTTATTTTTTGTAATAAAGCAGAAAATATAAGGAATCTGCTTCCTCCTATGACCCATACTGTGTGCTGAATTCTGTATAGTAAATTATTGTCCTTTCTTCGCCCTCTCATGTTTTGATAGGGTAACGCAATCCATTTTTGATTGACAGTACATACAATGTGCTTTGTATTCCTAGTTTTCTGTTGTGTTTTGTTTCAGCTCTCCAATTTATCACACAGTTACAATAGTTATTACAGCATCACTGTGCTCTAGTGTTGTCCTATTGTCAAACAAGTTGCATTACTCCTCTTAGGAAAGAAGGCAAATTAGAAACCTGACATCCTGTGTAATAACAGGCTATTTTTCTTCCTTTTATATCTTCAGTTGTAGAACATGTGGTGACATTTGTTACATTTTAAATGAGATCTTCAAACCCTTCATGTTAGGTTTTAGATGAATATATTGTACTGAAGTTTATCAGTGATTTCTTTATGGCTAATGCCATACATTTTGACAGCATCATTATCACGTTGTTACCTGATATGAGCAGATCTGAGAAGCTAAGCAAAGTTGGGTCTGTTTTTTATTGAGAAAGACTTATTGTATATTCTCTTGTATAGTAAGTGGTATTAGTATTCTAATAGGTGGCACTTTACCCTCTGGTCCAAGATGTCTGTTTTAGTGCCTTTAGTACAGTATGTTGACTGGGTACACTGAGCTATACTGTAGGTACAGTACTGTTCTTCGGATGAGATGTTAAACAGATCTTGGCTGCTTTGCAATTAAAGGTGCCATGACACTGTTCAGAACTGTAGGCATTCAGACCTTAGTGTCCCATTCTAAAATTGTGAAATCACTATTCTATGAAAATATTTTCTAGATTCTATTTTGGGCTTAATCTTTGTGACCCAATAAAGTGTCCACCATAAATAATTTTGGGAAGCAATTTTTCAACCCACTGTGTATGGCGAGGCATTGTATGGGTGCAGAATGGCGAATGCTTCACTTTGGTGTGCTGGATGATGTGGGCACCTTCGTACAGTACATATAACATGTTTTGGGATTCTTTGACAAGAACAGCACTATAAAAATGAAACTTAATATTATTGTTGGACCTTAGTCCTGCCTTTGTCACATCTTACAATCACAAGTAATTTAGTGTGCCTTTGCCTACATCTGTTTTCCACAAAGCTCAGTTATGGATGCTTTTATGTTCAGTGTCCGTGTTCTAAAAGTTGAACAGATTGTTGATCTGTTGTCATGGAATTAACTCCCACTGTTATGCTGATGGTCCTCAATTTAATTCCAGGGTATATCTGATGCTGGTCTAGGGGTCCCCTGACAAGGTGTTAATCATGTATTTAAGTTTGGAGGTATTTTAATTATTTTAGTCTAATAATAAGTAAATAATAATAATAATAATAATAATAAGTCTTTACAATAAAACAATCATGTATTCCATCAGCAGACAGGAATTCAAAATGAATCCAGTAAATTAAAGAGCGTTAAACAAGCCAGACTCATAAAGATGAGTTTTAATTCTGTATTTGAAATGACTGAATGGCTTGACCTAAGCTAAGTGACCTCTCCCTATAAAGGCCAAAGAATATAAAGGCCAGTCTTCCATGGCTCAGAGCCTAGTTTGACTTCTTTCTTAGAGCAATGCTAATGCACTTACCTTTCCTGCTCTGCTTGCATTCAGACTTCCCATTTAGAAGATCTGAGTAATTGACTACAGGCTTGCTCATGTCTAGATTTGTTCAGATTCTGAAATGTAAGGAGCAGTTTTATCAGGAGTGACAGTTTTATGGGAAGAGCTGAGCTAAAATACAAGTAAAATGCATCCATTGTTAAATTATTTAAATGGCAGCCATTTCAAATAACCAGAGCATAAGCAAATGATTTACAGCAAGAATATGTTCCTTTCCTAGCTGGGTTTCAATTAAGGTGTCCAAATACTTTTTACTGTCATATTTCTTTACAGTATATGCATATAAATATGTGCCATTTTATGTATTCTGTGAATGCCGAATTGAACCTTTAGATTTGTTTCTATATTCATGTATGATCTAAATAAATTCCTTTAAGGATTTACAGAAGAACTGCAGTACATTGTGATTATGTCTCAAAATAGTTGCATAGGAATATGCACCTCCTTTTTTTAAATTGACTTAAAATACAAATGTGGCATTTTCTCATCAATTGTGGGATTTGTATCCATTCCAGCTTTTCCATTTGGAAGTTGTGTTGTTTAGCTGTGGTTTGATGGACAGGTGTAATGCTCTTACAGATAAGAAAATCTTTGTTCTTCCATACATTTAGAGTGGCATAATTAGCATCCAGTAAACACTATCGACCACTGATCTCTAAGCTTTTTCCTTCACTACAGTTGGTTTTCTTTTTAAAAAGGTCAACATTGTAAATGGAGGAATTAACATCTGGAGCAACCTGTCATTCTTTACACTAATCTTGAAGTTTATAATGGATTCTGAGGAAAAAAAGATGCAAAATAAATACAACAGTATAATTACATTGAATATTTTAAACATGGGACACATTTTCTTTTAGTTTAACTTCTGGATTTGTTCTAATCAACAGTTTGTAATGATAATTGCTGTTAATAAGAAAACCAAGAAAATGATGACATGAGTGTAACCATGTTGTTTTCAGCCCATCTTTCAGTCGCGGCTCAGCAAAGTAACATCTTTCTGTTTCTGGTTGGTAGATGACGCCCAAGTCAAAAAGAAAAAGCATTCACAGCAGAATGCTCCGGCCAGTCTCAAGGGCCTTCGGTAAGCTAACTGTTGTTTTGCACAATTAAGCCAGCTTCTAGAATGAAGTGTCCTTAATCTCCTTGGTTTAATTCATCCAAATGTGATGACTGACTGGTTTTGAATTGTGTGAGGTTTGGTGCACTGTAAAAACAATTAAATGTCTTTCCTTTTAATCCTGTTCATTGTTTTTAGGCCCTCTGAATACATCATATTGCTAAACCATTATGCCTGTAAGGGCTGTTGTAGCAGGAGAGGTCATGGTACAGAAGCTCACGTGGGCTGAATTCTTTTCTCTCCCAGGAGGAGGCATGAAACTGTACCTGCTTGAAATGCAAAACTGCTAGAAAACCAAAGCCTCCCGTGCTCATGATGCACTGGAAGTAGCAGCAAAAAGCAACATGATCTCTTTCAGCTTTAAGAAAAATAACCTTGCTTTGGCAGAGAAACAGGAAAAATAATTGAAGCTAATATAATGTGCCTGCTGTCACTCGATAGGACTTTGTGCAGCATCATTGCAGCATTCAGTTTATTGATGAAGGTGATGAGGTGTATTGTATTGGTTTCTGTCTCTCAATCGTGCCAATGTCTTTGTGTCAGAGATGGAGTTCGACCTGGATAAGGCCCTGGAGGATGTCCCCATTCACATAGAGGACCCCCCTCCAGCTCCTAAACTGGAGAATAGACCATCGGCAGTCATTGCTGAGCTTCCTTCTGAGGAAGGCAAGAAACTTCAGCACTTTACCAAGCTCAGACCCAAAAGGAACAAAAAGCAGCACTCCAGCAAGACTGCTGTAAGTACCTCTCTGGCGAGCACAGTTACACTTCCCTTTCAACTCTTGTCGTTTCTACAGTTATTCTTAAATGTAATTATTTTATATCTTCAGGTGTACAAAACAGAGACCCTAATGTTTAAGAGACAAGAAAGGGATAGTGGTTTTGTTGAAAACAATGGAAGAAATAATATAAAAAACTTGAGTACCCCAGATGTTGACATAAAAAAAAACAAACAGAAAGAAACATTTGCAGATAACTAGACAGACACTTAAATATTGGTATCATGATGTAAACCCAGAGAACGATTATTTTTATTCTCCAAAGTGTTTTGCTTTTGTTTGGCACATCTCGCTTTATTCATGTGACAAATTAAAATTGAGTTTAAGTTTTTTATCAATATGGTATTTTTTGGGATATACCCTTGTGGACTGTTTTATTTTTATATAACTTAAGAATCGACAATTGTTTTTTTGGTTGTTGTATCCACCTAGTTAGGCTCAGACCCTGCAACCAGACACGGGAGAATGTGGATATTTAGGCAGCCTCATCTGACCCCACCCCCAACCTTCAGCCATTCTTCATTTTACAATTCACATGCTCCATGCCAATTGGAGGACAGGCACGTTCCTCACTTAAAGCACCATATTTCTGCAAGCACTCGGGAGGCAGCAGGTGTAACTGCAGGAGCAAACAGAACCTTGACCAACTAGTTCTATACTCGGTGACATCTGTGCATCACTGTATAATGAATCCCAGTCACAGTCGGCGAGTGTTGACGATTTTCAGATCAGCACTTGGGTTTACAACATAACTTAAATTAAACTTATACTGTAAATTGAATGTAGTTTTAATGGTGACATTGGTCATACCCTTTTATGTTTTTGCTCCTCTTACTGTTTGCATTTAGTATTATTTTAGTTTTTTTTTTTTCCCTTTTTAAGGATTTTTATTTTTCTCTATTTTAAATATTTTCTTTTAGCTGCTTATAGCGTAAAATAAACTATATAAAGTGATTTCCTATTAACAGTGTATGGGATTATGCTTCTGAATTTCTTGCCTGTTTTATATCATGCTGTGCATGTTGTTTTGTTTGTTTATTTTTGTTTTTTATGTTAATGAGCTGTTCTTGGAAAAGTGTGGTTTGAAAACTGTTATCAAAGCTTACTGTCAGTACCTGAACAGGGTAAGCCACCTGGTATGGCACTGAGCTTTTTCACCCATTGCTGAGAAATTATGGTGCCACACTGACATTCCTTCCATTACTTACTTTCTTTATGCTTCAAACTCTGTGTGCTGCATCAGTTACTTTCTTTAAAAAATATCAGTACAAGACACACACAGAATACATTTAATTAGAAATGTAATGTAATGAAAAATGCAACAAATAAGAGTTACAAAATTAAAATTTGTATTTTTTATGTATTTTATTTTAAAACTGCAAACTATTACATTTGCTTCAGTAGCCCCTTTTCTGTGGAATTTAAATTAAATTGATTTCAAACTCCAAACAGCATCCACTTACTGATAATTGGATGAAAGTGTGTTTGTTTGTTTGATTGTTTTTTTAATTCATGGCCTGGAGAAAAACCTTTTCCAATATATATTTTCCCTGACATGTTTAAATTGCATTCCGAGTTCTTCGCAAATGAAACGCAAAATGAAACTCAGTTTGGCTGCAGTGGTTGTTAGCTGGTGAAGCAGCTCTGATTTTGTTTTCAGCAGGTCAGTACTGCGGCATTGCAAGAGGGTGAGCAGAATGGTCTCATGGGAAGAGTGGATGAAGGGGTGGATGAATTCTTCTCTAAGAAAGTCACCAAGATGGAGCCCAAGTATGTTTCAAGTCACCGAAGATGCGAAGTCATTCACCCTTTTTTATTTCCAAGGGCTTGCAAAAGTTTATCTCACCAAATCATTAACTAGTGGTGTGAAAATAGTACTGTAAAAAGTAATATGAATTTATTTTACAGTTATATTATCACATAACCTCTTCATAAGCTTGCAGTGTCATCATAGTTTGAAAGTCTGGTACATTTGGCTCCTTTTGTTTAAATCCGATGTATTTGCTGTGTTTTCTTTAAAATGCAACCTGGCACAATACTAAAGGTTGACCTATTAAAACCTGAAGAAGCAATTCAATTACAAAAACACTTTTTCTACACATTCTAGTGCCACTTAAACTAGATGACAAACGGAAACACAAAAGCACTCATGCAGAGTCATACAGTACATGTTCTACAAGAAAAGAGCCTTGGTCTTGTATTACAGTCATGGGAGAGCCTGAGAGGTATACTTTTCAGACACCAGCTTTCTTTCAGGGGTATATGCTGTAAAGGAAGTATATGTTCTGTTTGTTTCCAGGCGTCCTTCTCTGAAGAGTTCCGACTCGCCGGATGGGAGCGGCGAAACAGACGAGAAGAAAAAACGTGATTCTCGCAAGAGCGGCTTTCTAAACCTCATCAAGTCCCGCTCCTCCAAGTCTGAGCGGCCCCAGGCAGCGGCAGCAGTGGCAGCGACCTTGAGCGAGGAGCCCTCCTCTCCCAAGGGATCGACGAGGAGCCCAGCAGCGGAGCCGGTCAAGAGCAAAGAAGCCAGGTCAGCGGCCACAGACCAGAGCAGCAGCTCGGATCGCTCCGAGGAGCTCAAGACGCCCGACTCCATGGATGAGCACTCTGAGGATTCCCTGAAAGGCGAGAACAAGGCCGAGGGCAAAGGCAGTCCCCAGGGGGGAAGGCGCTATGGCATTCAGGTTATGGGCAGTGGTCTGCTGGCCGAGATGAAGGCCAAGCAGGAGAAGAGAGCAGCTGTTTCCCATAAGGTGGGTACTAACCAACTGCCTGAGTGTTTGAGATGTACGCAGTTGCCATCTTGGAAAGGATTCACAGGATTTCAAACAGTAGCAGTCAAGGCCTAAAGCTTATGTAGAAAAACATGGCCATATGGGCGACAGTCATTTTTTATTTAGCTGGAAGTATGTTTTTGTCAAATCTAGGCTGCCGTCCAAGTCTTCCTTGTGTTGTGAATGATTAAGTTGTAGAGAACTGACATTGTCTTGCAAAGTATCTATCCAAATATGTGTGTAATGTTATAGAAAAAATCAAGCCAAAATTATCACCCAACATCTCATAAAACTGAAAAAATAGCTCTCCATTAAAACCAGCTGGCTTTAGCAAAGACTCCGTCCTGAATTACATAAGCTCAGAAAATAATGAGAAGATGCTGTGCTATTCTTTATTACGTTTTTGTGATTTTGTTATTTAAAGAGCCATTAAGCTAGTCTGGATGTCTGCTGTAATTCCTGACTTAATTAACATATATTTTTAGAATCCATTATATTGCGTAGAAATCTAAGATTATAATGTGCCTATATCAGTCTGAATTGCACACATGGTAAAAGTGGTATAATTTGTCTTGAACAACAGCTGGTTATTTCAGTGTATATGTCTCAGTGCTCTCAAACAGTTTCAGGCAATTCTGTGGAAAGTAGCACCATCTAGTGCAAGATAGTTCTCTGCATTCAGGGTCAATGATATTAGTTGTCATTACCAGATTCAGATCTGGGCCATTGGGTAAAGAGAGATACTAAGAAAGATACTTTCAAACTTTTTCAGGGAAGATATCTTTTTTTATTACTTTCGTCTTAAAATTAGTGAAAATATTTGTTTTATTTTAGGGAATAGTATTGGAACATGGATTGATATTACTATCAGGAGCTGGATCAGTAACATGCTTGAGGTGTTCTCTCCCAGAGCCCTCATTCCCTGCACTGAGGAAGCAAGTCTATCATTTTGTGGCTTTTTTGTATAAATCGAGTGATAAACATACTAAACAAATAAGATTAGTTATTTTTCATGAATAACTTAATTCATTTATTGACAGCACACCATTGAAGACCAGCCTTTATTCCTTATGCATAACCGAGTGTTTGAGAATCCCATGGCTCTCCTTGCTTCTTGCTCTTCTATATGTGCTAAATAAAAATAATGAACTGAGCATTTCAGAACAATGCAGGAAAACAGCAAGTAAGAGGAAGTATGTTAAACATTCAACAGCCTGTGTTCATATTTTTACCCCATGTGTTAAATACAGTATGCTACAAAACACTTAAAACAACCAAAAATGCAACTTGGGGGGGAAAAAGCAAAAACTGAAACAAAAACCTTTACAACAGCAGCATTGTAAGCCTGTAATATTTTTTTGTATGGTGCAAATTCAGCTGGAAATGTTACTATTACAAATTCCAACTGCAGCACTAAATGTTTTTTATGGTGTTTTCTAGGTCCTTACTGACCTTGCTTCACTGCAGAAAGCTGTGTCCACCATCTGTTTAGAAAGTGGGTGAAATACAGGGCAGTGTGCCATTTCTCTTGGTGTGCACCATGTGCAGCAAGGAATCTGTCAGCGCTTATGAGTGTCATTCACTGCAGTGACAAAAGTCAAAAAGCAGAAAGAGTGAGAAAGGAAGAGCCAGAGATAAGATGGTCACATAGCCTGATTCTAGCATTCAAACAATTTCTATGTCATCTGAGGTGGCTCAGATTCACAGTTTGTTACATTTATAAAGCTCAAAGTCTTTTTAAACAGTTTTGTCCATATTTGTTTGTACGTTAATGTAATTAATTTACAGAATTAATAGAACATAATTTTCAGTCTGCTCTATTGTGATGTAAATGTGTAGAAAGTGATATATTTTAGACCTCTACCACGTCTTGCTGTATTACAACCCCAAATTGCAACACATTCGAACAGGGTTTTTTTTTGTATGATTAACAAAACACTTGACATTTCACTGGGGCATAATCATGTTTATTGTAAAAGAAAATGTTATGAAAAGTGGAAAGTTTTATGAAACCTTAAAAATCCAGCTTGGACAAGTATTCACCCCGTCACCTTGCACATTTAACATTTAGTCTTTTGCCACAAGTCTTTTGTGGCATGTTATAACCAGCTTTTCACATCTTGTTGGTATAATTTTCACCCACCCTTTCTGACAAAATTCCTCCAGCTGTTGCAGGTTACTGGGTACTGAGAGTGGTAGTGTATAGTGATCTTCAGTTCCCGCCACACATTTTCTATGGGATTTAAGTCTGGACTTGAAATGTGAATCTCCATCCCAATTTCAGATCTTTTGTGGACTGTTCCAGGTTTTCCTCCAAGATCTGCCCATATTTTGCTTAATCCATTCTGCCCTCTATTTTGACAAGCCTCCGCAACATTATGCTGCCAGCAGCCGTATCACCCTGCAACTCACAACTGGTAACCCACTGAAGCTAAGCATGTGTGAGCCTGGTCAGTACCTGGATGGGAGACCTCCTGGGAAAAACTAAGGTTGCTGCTGGAAGAGGCATTAGTGGGGCCAGCAGGGGGCGCTCACCCTGCGGTCCACGTGGGTCCTAATGCCCCAGTATAGTGATGGGGACACTATACTGTAAACAGGCGCCGTCCTTCGGATGAGACGTAAAACCGAGGTCCTGACTCTCTGTGGTCATTAAAAATCCCAGGGCGTTTCTTGTAAAGAATAGGGGTGTAACCCTGGCGTCCTGGCCAAATTTCCCATTGGCCCTTACCAATCATGGCCTCCTAATAATCCCCATCTATTCATTACTTTGCTCTCCTCCCCACTGATAGCTAATGTGTGGTGAGCGTTCTGGCGCACTATGGCTGCCATCGCATCATCCAGATGGATGCGATGGTAATGAGGGGAGACCCCATTACCTGTAAAGCGCTTTGAGTGGAGTGTAAAGAAAAGCGCTATATAAGTGTAAGCAATTATTATCTGGGGATTTTGCTTTGTGAGTGATGAACAGTTCTCTTCTTTTACCAGACATAAGACTTCTACATTGAAGCCCAATTAAATTTGTTCTCATCAGACCACAAACTTTTTTCCCACAAGCTTTTTTCCAAATATGGCTTCCTGTTTGCCACTCAACCATAGAGCCCAGATTGTCTGAGCTATCGCTGATCCATGTTTGTCCAATCTCAGTTATGAGACACTGTAGGTTTTTGAGGATTGTTTTCAAGCTGTTGACTGTTTCCCTGACCAACGTTGTTCTTGTCCAGCTGCCGAGTTATGGAAGACGACCTGTTGTTGAAGATTCCGAGTTATACGTGTACTCCTGATGATTGATTTAACAGTGCTTCATAAAATACCCAATGCCTTTGAAATCTTTTTGTATCTCTCATCTGGGTTGTGATTGTCCACAGCTCTGTACCTTAGTTGTTTGGGAAGCTTCTTTGTTTTCTTTGTATGCTTTGTCTATTCACACAGACAGGTGGATTTAACCTTACAAAGACAGCTGTGTTTGATCTGAATGGTTAACCAATTTAATTACACACAGGTGGATTTCAGTCAAAATATTGTGCAAAAAATTCTGAAGACAATGAAGTGCTAATGCTAATAGGGTGAATACTTTTCCCATGAAGATTTTTTAGCTCAAAACATTTTAAAAAGTTATATTTTAGAGGATGTTGTTTAGGTAAAAATGTATAAAAATAAGTAAGTCTATCACATTTTCCAGCTGTAACACAAAATGTTGTAAAATACAGTGCAGGTTAATATTTTCTACGGCCACTGGATTTTTTTAGCTGCAATACGTGGTACCACTGTAACTCATTTACTGTAAAACCAGATATTCACCTGCTGCTTTCCCCTGCTGACATCTGGCTTGGAACTGACATTTCATAGAGTGTATAACCATCAAAGTCTGCTAGGAACTGTTTTAATGAGCTTATATTGCAAAGATGGAGGAGGGTTTCAAGTTACTCTATAAACACATAAGAAATCTGTAAATAATTGAGATGTTTTTTTTCCTGCATAAAATATTAATTTGTTTAGACTTTGTAGTGAATATTCATTTGACTCAGCTTTTTCACTGCAGTGTGATTTGTAGCTTTAATTGAATCTATCTGGCTTTAACATCAGATTAATTTAAAAAAACTTAAGGTATAGGACAGTTGTCTAACATAAATTGTTTAAATTCTGCCCTGCTTTCCTTGTTCTAAACTGAACAGAGCTGTTGTTGAAACCTCATGGATGGATCTAATATTTATTTTTCTCTTGTAGGACAGGAGAGTGAGAGCACAGTTCAGCTTAGAATTAATTATCATGGAAGGTCGATAACAAAAATAAGAAATTTCTGCTTTCCTAAACTTTTCCTTTAGAGGTTTGCTGTGTTACATTAAGTGTTCAGCTGTTCCTGGGAGCCACTGTACTGTTCACAGATGTAATTGACTGGGCTTTTAAATTATCAATTGTTTTGTGTTTTTTGATTAATAAGGACTTTTGGAAGCATGTGCAAAGATATTAGTTTGCTCTGCTGGTCTGGGTTTAGACTGAGAAAACCTAAGACAACAGGTGGATTCCAGTCAATGTATTATGCTAAAAATTCTAAAGTAAATGAAGTATTCATGCTAAGAGGGTGAATACTGTTCCCATGAAGATTATGAACATAACTCTTCAGGATTCGTTCTAATGCTTTAAATAGCATTAGAATAGTTAGTTGAATTGGGTAAGAAAAACAGAGTGCTAAAATATACTGCTACAAATTCTCAAATAAATTTTAATGTAAGCAAGAGTTCTATTTATTGAATGAATTAGTTCTGTTAACAAGTAATTCTAGTGGATTCCTCCAGAGAAAATGCTTTGCAAATGTACAATACAAGTGGACAAAATTGATTATAACACTTAAAAGATCAAATTATTTTTAAATAGCCATAAAGTCAGAAAATCCAGAACAGAAATCAATAGGATGAGAATAATTTCCTCTCGCTTCAGTGGCTTTTAATCTCCGCTCCTCAGTTTGTGCTCAATTAGATCCATCTTCATGGGTTTGAAAACAGAGCTGTCATGATTTCTGCTTCATCAATTTGATAATACCTTAGCATGGTTCCTTAACATGAATTGGGTTGTTAAGCTTTATTATATTACATTTAAATGAATGGAGCATATAATCTCAACAAATTACAGTAAGTACCATTCCCTGTTTTTTTGTTTTATGATTGATTTTTTTTAATTCTTTGTTGTACAGTCAACAAAGAATTAAAATATTCCAAATAATAGCCAAATATTACTGTTTACAGCTGAACACTTTGAATGAAAGTAGTCCTTGTTGTAAGAGTGGCATAAAGTAATGCAGATGCGTCTGCTTTTAAAACTTTTCAAATGTGAATTATTCAGTAACAGAGAAGTCTGGACTTCAGAATTTTGTTACGCTTAGTGCTTACAGTAAGTATGCAGGTACTTGGCTCGTGCCAGAAAGTAACCTCACCTTGTTGAAGCCTGGACAGTGTAGAATTCTCCTGCAGCTGGAGACCGGGTTCTGTGGCACAGAAGAGATCATAGCTGTCAGGGGGAGCAGAACTTATTATATTGGTACGTTTGCAGTAGAGGAGGTAATCAAACTAAGCAGGGATCAGGATTTTGGTTCCAAAATCACAAACACATTTTCATTACTGTTATTACTTAGAAAAAAATGTATTAAAAGTAAAAATAAAAAAATAACTGCAAAATTCAGTCATTTGATAACATCCTGCAAAACGTCAAAATCTTCGAGAAGACAAATTAGCAGAATTTAAATATGAGTGGTGTTTATTTAATGACATCCCATATCTACTTGAGCATATAGTCAAAATGCCTTCTGTCTGTCCTAAACGAAGGATGCTGATTAATGATGATGAAGTCAATTTTATTTTTGTCCTATGGAATTGTTTTCCAGACACATGATACCTCATCCAGCCCGGATAGAATGGACGGAAATGTGTCAGGTAAGTGTGTACGTCTCTAAAAAAGAACAGTTCTGGGCCATGAGGCTCTCATTGCTGTTATATACAACAGTTTGATTAATTAGGTTAAATGTCATCCAAACCATTGCCAGTATCATACATGAGGATGTATACAAGAGAACAGAATAGGAATAGATTTGATTCCTATTACCATATACTTAAGCCAGTATCTTGACATGTCTTCTATATCTATGAGATCTATGAGAAAACAATGCATACATTTATGATAATAAGTCAGATTATAAACAAGAAGTGGCAAATTGGCCCATCTTGCTCACTTTAGTGTTAGTCTAAAGATCGCATCCAGCCATTTCTTGAAACTTTCTAGGAAAGTTTCTAGGAAACCAGGGTATCAGCTTCAACAAGGTGGCAGGGTAGCCTGTTTCTTAGTCACACGTCCTTTCCATATCAAAGTGCCTCCTGTTCTGTGTTTTAAATGCTCTTCCACCTAATTTCCACTTTTAATAATTCCTCCCATAATTTCCTCTCATTTAAGTCCTGGAAAGTATCTGGTAGATTTTTTTCTGGTTACAGAGCATCTTTTTTTATAGTGTAGTGTAGTGACTAAATTTCTACACAATTTTTACCTAAATAAAATAATTTGCTGTATGTATTGTATCTAAATCATCATTTATTGTTGTAAAAGAAGGCAATGTGAATATATTATATTTTTAAAAATGCTGATCTCTGTAGTATACATTAAATATAAAACCCATCCTCTACAATGACTGCAGCCCATTACACACAGAATCTGTTTAATTGTATATAGTTATGTAATACGTGGCACATAATTATATACTATCTAAAAAAAACAGCAATACAAGATATTAAAGATTAAAAGAAACATTTGTCTATGTACAGTACCACTGTACAGCAGAGAAAAGACTTGTATCATCAGTCTGTTAAGAATTATAGCTAAAACAGGAGAAGGGAGAACATGTCTGTAGCATGATTTCAGACAAAGGCATCTGTTGTGTGATTGTTCACTCAGAACATATGAAACCTTATAGGTTTTAAATTGCTCCATGTCTAGGTTCGTGTCATTTAGTATGACAATAGGAAAATTGTTGAATTAGAAGTGTAGTCAATGTAATGTACATGGCAGGGTCACATAATATTTTAAATATTTTAATATAATATTTTTTTTTACTACAGGAAAAGATATAATGTGTAAAATACATTTTACAAAATTAAACACAAGCAAGTAGCTACAAAATGATGTTTTTATTCACAACCTTTATCTTTTCAAATGCCTGTTGTTTTCTGTTTTTGTGGTTGTAAATTATGTTTACAATCCCCTGTTCATCTCTTTTCTTAAATGTGGTGTCCTTCTTTTAATATTAATTGGCTTAATTGGCTTTAACGTTAATTGGTAAAACGTGTTCATCAGTAAAATTGATATTTTCTCTGTGGCTATAATTCTGTTTCTGTACTAAAATGGTCCAAATGAAAAGCACGAAGCACAGCCCTAATTCCCTGTCTTCAGTTGTGTATTATTTTATCCTAACATCTTCTGCTGTGTAGCAAAGGGTCACCACACCCCAGCAGAGAGCCGGGTATCCGGAGCGGCCAAAGGGGAATCGCCCGCGAGTTCCACAGAGAAAAGCCTAAAAAGTGAAAGAAAGCATGAAGCTGCACAGAGGAACCGCAGCTCTTCTTCCACCCCAAATCCCACCAGTCCCAAACCGCCCATACAGGGTCACAAGCCCAGCCTGAGCGCGCGGCCCCTAATCCCCCAGAAACCGCGCACAAGCAGCAGCAGGAGCATAGGTAGGTCCAGTCGCTGTCTAAGTGTAACATCCTTTTGTCAAAAACAGAATGAAACACCCTCGGTCGATTTGCCTCCGATAGAGGCTGCTGCCATGTCTGTGCACAAAAAGTCTACAGTTTTATTTTAATTATGTTTTATTGGTTTAAAACTGAAGTCATATGTTGCCTTCTCCAAATAAAAAACAGTTTTAGTTTTGAATTCTTCTTTTTTCTTTAGGATTTCTCATACTTAGGAAAGCAACCCATCTTTGCAACATGTAGGACATATGGAAATTATATGAAGTTAATGGACTGAAATGACAGTTGAAATTTGCCTTCTTCCACACATTTTTATTTTTTTTATTATAACTTTATTTCTTAATGAAGCATAATGTTCATCGTAGTGTGAATGCTCCAGACATTGACTCCTTTAAATGTATTTATTAACATCTGTTAACTGAGACAAATGTTATATCTTGGCATACACGCCACACCCAATGTGAAGAAAATTCAATAGACATGCTTCCAGGGGATAAATATTCACATTTTTTTCTGATGTCTGTTCCATTTCACTAGATGAAATCCCCGATTCTCCAGCTGGAAATATTTCTCCAAAGGTAGCTTTGCTGCCACATGCTCTTAAGAGAGCCCCATCTGAAAAGGAAAAAGATGGGCAAAGTAGCCCCCTCCTCAGTGGGTCTGGCAGCTGGGCTTCAGCACAGGAAGGTAGGTTTTGGGGGCCCACCTTTTCAGTCCCCTTTCATACTCCTTTAACTACAACTTACTGTAGTTAGCTACAGCTTTAACTTGACTTGACAGGGTCACTTTAAGTGGAAAAGGTTTTGAGGACCGCACACCCATATCCCCATATTTTCCTATATCCAAGTGAGATGTTAAATACAAAGAGAACAGCAGAGCTTGAGCTGCCAGCCACAGAAGGCACTCACTGCTAGAGACAGGGGTGTGACAGTGACCTCTACAGAATGGTGAGCAGGGAATCCTCGAGTGGGCACGTACTGGGGCAGCTACACCCCATCTGCTCAGCTAACTGGAGCGAGGGGCACAACTTGGATATGACTTGGGGCTGAGGTTAACTGAACAAGCCTCTCAGGCCCAGCTGCAGGTGGGTGCTTCTCTCACTAAATGTTTCTCTGTTAAGTTTGTAGACGACTGGCCCACCTGTTTACCTCAGAAGGGCCCTTTTACTAGGGGTTCAGCAGGGAACTCCCACAAAAATATCTCAGTGTTGAAACTCATTATCACTGTGCCTAGATACCAAAGACGTAGTGGAAAATTATGTAGAAGCAAGTGTTTATGAGGATAAATTAACAAAGTTCTGCTGGAACTTTGTTAATAGTGAATTGAATACGTGTTACATGCATTAATATACAGTACAGTGCAGTTCTTTGAATAAGGATGCTGTTATAAGAAGTGCCAAACCACACAAAATCTGTTGTGTTTAAATTAAACTCTGGAAGAGCACAATTTAAACCAATAGAATTGTTGAGAGGATAAGTGCAGTAGGATTAAATCCAGGATAACACTTGTAGTGCTCCCCATCTTCTCCAAGACTTGTTTAGATTTCTCCAGACCTATTTATAAGGAAGAAGCAAAGTAAAGGTTAATTCCACACTAAAAAAAAGGAGAAACAGTATTTTAGTTTTTGAGCCTTCTTCCAGTGTATTGAAATGCTCTTTTGCTTATTTTCAGTGTGGAATTAACCTTATCTTCCTTTGCAGCCAACGCAAGCTGACTCAGGTCTCCACTCGAACATCTTCATAATGAATTGCCTTTTTGTGTCTGCTCTTATCGCTGATGTAATTAATTATCACTGTTGTGGATACTGCTCTTTGTAGTTGATGTGAGTGTTGTAAAAACTGTTGAGTTCTAATTCAGTGTACTGCTTAATATGTTGCCTCATGTGAATCTCTCTTGCCTTCCAGAATCCCTAATCAATGTGTATGTTGCTGACCTTGTCCGTATTGCATGTTGTGTTAGGCTTCATGAGCTTTCATTGATTCATGTGACGTTTCTAGCGTTGGTATGAGGTTCAATGAACTATAAAAAAGGCCCCATAACCCAGTTTGTGGGGCTATATTGTTATTACTAAAGATGACCATGTTATACTGCAATTTAGTATAATTGAAATATCATGCTCTCATTTCACTATGGACTGTCAGAAGTGAATCAGAGCCAAACTGCAAATTATTTCTTCATTTACTTGTGAAATTCCTGTTTAACACTCAACAGACATGCAGGTCTAAATATATCATCTTCCTTTAGAGTTTTCTTTGCAAGAAATTATACAGTATATATGTGAGTATACAGCACATATATTTTTTCATAAAAAGATTTGCTTTGCCAGATGTCAACAGTTTACCCAAGACTGTCTTATAAATGATTTGCAAAAGCATTGAAAATAAAGAATAGTTTATAATCTTAAACAAATTTCTAGAGAAAACATTAAAAATAAGACAAAAGAGAAAAAGCATATAGCAAAAGGGAACTCAAACTAAAAATGAGTGAAAATTAGGTGGACTAATTAAACAGGTTTTGAAGATAAGGAAAATGCCTGAGATTGCTGTCTGTATAATTTGCAGTGGATATAAAAAGGGCCACTTTGAAACTTTCAAACCCAACGCTAGAAACAATAATCATTCATTTTCAATTTGCAGTTCAAATCATACAAGTTACAACCGGGCTTATTTAATGAAAATTAAAATATGTGGTACATTACTTTCAGTCTAGGTTCCTGGTTATTTAAAATAATATTTTTTACATTCGGTTTCTGTTGTACTTGTGTCAACAGAAACAATATGAGAGACTTTAGACCATAATCCTTGGAACATTAGAACATTTTCTCCTGTCTTGTTAGACCCCAAACAGTGCAGGATTCACTAATCCTTGCACATAGCAGGAATGGACGCTTTCTTAAGACGTTTAGTATGAATGTTAATTCTGGGAAAACCAAGAGACAAACTGCAGTAAAGCACAGACATTGTTCCATTTGTGCGCAGTAAATTTAAAAAGTGTTAACTCTGAGATACAGTTGTTTATGTAATCTGAGCACATCGTTTGCTACCCGACTTAACCACACTGGTTATCTGGCTAACAGCTTGTGACAACAAAATATTATCGGCCAAATCCATTCTTTATTTCAATTTGAATGCTGGCGTAAAAGGCTAAAGAAAAGACTCCTTTTCCTCAGTGGAGCTTTCTGGAGATGATAGCACGTTTGATACAGATCATGAACCAGACAAGCCCATCGCTGCAAGAATGCGAACCACACGGCAGTACTCTGCTAGCACCGCTGAAGAAATGAGTGAGCAGGAGCGCAGGAAGTCCAACCCTCGACCCGGTTAGAGCTTTTCACCTTTCACCTTTCACCTTTCACCTTTCACCTGTCATATTCTACAAATCAGTAAGAAGGTGTATAGATTCCTTTAAACAGCTTTCTGGCACTTAAATCTGTTATTTTATTTTTAGTTTGAGCTCATTTCCTTCTCAAATGTGCAAAGGAAGCTGACTTCAGTGAATCTACATACTCTTCTTTTCCAAATGGCACTGCATACAGATTTAAGTCTGACATTTTTCAAGCTTTGAAAACTGGAGTAATACCTCCAAAAGACATATCAAAACCAATTGACAATTTCCTGTATCACAAACATGTTTACAGTGAACATTAAAAGTAATAAATGTGGGGAAAATGTATTCCAAGATGTACTGTAGAAAAGCACAAAAGATTAACGAGCAAATGACTAATAAAATGTCCACAATAATCCTGAATTGGTGCCAGCTGGAACAATCTGCTTCTCATGTCACAGAATGCACATCATTGTAGTTCAGTTTTTCTTTGCCCTTGGCTGGCTGTGAATTTCATACTGCATGTCAAGAAAGTTAATGTTTAAGAATAAGGATGTTGTTCATACTGTATATAATACATAATGACAGGTCTGTCTTTTTCACTTTGTGTTTCTGAAAAGTTAGATCTGATTATTGTAAATGTTCTATAAATCGTAATGCATTTTAGGGATTGTTATTGACACTCATGAAGAGCTCGAAATAGCCCTAGGCATAACTCTTCAACTTGTATATTTGTTTCTATTTTATTTAGCCTTTAGTAAAGACTGTTATTATCAATTGCCCTTATGCTCTTAGAGACTTAGAGAACATCACCAACATTACAGTTGTAATTAAAGTGCTAAATAAATGCACTGTATTTAGCTTTTCCTTTTTGGCAGTGGATTTTCAGAGGGCAGTGATTAATGTAAGCTTCCCACAGCAAACCTTATTCTCTACCAGGAAAATAGCCTACAGTTTGTCATCCTCCTTTTGGGGAGGTCTAGAATGTACTGATGAGCAAGTACTTAGCACAACTGAGACACCTTTATGGGTTAGGATTAGGATTCTTTCCTGTCTACTGCTTGGCTAAACAAAGTATTGTAGTTAGTACACTTCTTAAGAACATAATGGTGCAATGTTTGTTGTTTGAAGTGTTCTGTTTTATTTGAAATTCAAAATCATGGTTTGTTCATAGAAGGGTGTTATATCTTTAAAACATTCTTTTCAAAAACAGTCACATCTATTTAAAATAGTCTCCCCAGTCCATTTGTAAAACAAATATAAGCGTAATAGTAAATATGTTAAATACACAGGCTTAGATAGACCCTTACTCAGGCCTTCACATTTTGAGGTATGGTTTTAACTGGTCTGGGTTTAATCGGATTCACCCAGTTATAACACACTTGCCAATTGCAAGCTGCAAATCCTGGAAAACTACCATCAGTTACTATTTTGTTAAATCATCTTAAAAAACTCCTTATAACCTTTCGTCCTAAAGCAAAAAGATCTGTTGATTAACAATTTCAGGACCTGACAAGACCAGTATAAGTGTATGAAAATGTTTAAAAGAAAATGAAGATCAAGGGCGCCTCGGCCACTGAACTGATTTTACAGTAAATGTTTTCAAATTGCACTTCACAGTGCGGCCAGCCTCCATGACAGAAGCAGCCCAGCGCAGAAGCCCTAGCTGCCAGCACTCGGAGGACAATGGGTCAAAGGCAAAAGAGAAGTCCCCCAACAAAGACAAGAACCAGGGTAGCAGGTCTGGTGACTCTGGGGAGGAAGCAGACAAAGACTTTATTTTTGTATGAGAAAACAAACAGCACTGTCTTCTTGCATCTGACCTTCAGCACCCAATCAAGAATTTAAAAACCCAGTACAGGCATAATTTCCCAACTCTATTATTTCACTGTTTTCAAGTTGAATTGATTAGAAGAGATGATGATGTTCTTACTTTGGAAAGGTAGAGTTACCAGATGATGTACTTAGCCTTGACTAAACTTCAGCACTTCTTTCAGGAGACATGTTTCTGATATAATGGTAAAGCATCAAAAATTGGCTGATGGAGGTTACAGAATGGCTCTGTTGAGCTGGTTTATTTGACTCATATATTTAATTAAACTGGCTAAAAGGTGCTTCATGTAAATTATTTAAAAGTATCAGTCCAAGGATGGTGAATCATGGCTTACTTGTAGTTTTCTGACTACATATTCTGATAAAGTCAAATAATCCCACTATATGTACAGTACAGTAGCACAGATAGGAAATCCGCCAGCTGAGCAGTTTTATTGTCTGCAGCAGAAGAACTACAGTAAGACCCTTAAAGAGCTACTAAGCACTATTGCATAAAGCCTTAAAAATTACAATTAAATTCTACTTTATTACATTTGAAGTAGATTACACAATGTTCATAGAGTGTATAGTGAAAGCAAGGGATATGTGTGGGTTGGGAGGTAAAAATACTGTGCTCAGTGACGTCGCTGAATGTACCTACAGTACACAGAGCTTTAGAAAATTTTACATTTCTTTATCAGTAAATCATGAACTACAAAACATGAGGTCAGGCAGACTAATGGTGAATTTATTTTATCCGAAATAGTGAAATAAAATATCTGCTCTTAGTATTTCAGGTCTTATCATATGTTGCTGAGTAGTCCTTTACGCACATTGTGGAACCTTGCTTGCTGTTTTTTTTTTTTTTAGTTTTCATGCAGGGGCCTTCCATTATGCCACTGCTTCTACTGTTAAACATGAATTTAGAAAGTCTTCACTTGTGGAGAACACTATACTTGTGTCTTTCTTTTTACCTTATCTAGGGAATTTGTAGGCTGTTGTCTGAATTCTTGAAGTCTTCATCTACACATTTTACCTTTATTTGTATATTTTGTTATCTGTGAACAGCCATTCCAAAATCTATATAGTGTAGGGGTTCATTTTAGGAGTCGTCTTGATATGCAGACTGTCTTGGAGTTCACAGGAATACAGTAAAAGTTTCAGAGCCTTTCGTAACACCCTGCCCCTGCAAATGTATTCATTGGTGATCATTCACGGTTGAATCAATTTGCAGCACAGCTGACACTGGAATTACATGATCTATTATTAACATAGGCAAGTGATCATTGATCATCCCCTTGAATGGATTTCCTGACTTGACTTGTTGTGTGCCCATCAAGTCTGCAGTTGGAACAATGGATTTTGTTTTTGGATTCAGTTTGTTGTTTTTTGCCATGCCTCATATATCCTCTCAGCTGAGCGCACTAACATTTGTCTCTGCCTGCTTTCTTTCAGCTGTGAATCATCTCAGTAAAGTAGCTTATAAAATAACAGATCTTCGTTAATGATTTTGTAAAGCGAATAAACTGGACATAGTTTCTTAATTGTCTTTTAAAAAGCAGGCAATGAAATTACTGCTGGACGTCATTGTGTCAAATGCGCATGTGTGATATGTATTCATAGATGTATACATGTTCATGTTCACAGGCTCTGTATTCATATGGTACAAAGCACATTAATAAAAAGATAAAGCAATTTTTTTTAATAGAATTTATTTAAAAATGAATAAAGGGTGGCTTGGTGATGGGTTTTTAATCCTGTATAAGGAAGACTTTTTTCCATCTAAAAATCTACATTATTTAAAGGGCAGAACTATACTTTCTGAGGGGATTTGTAGTGCACTACTGTAAGCACAAAAAAGTGTAATTTAAAATATGGGAGATGGGGGTTGCAATATTTAAATACAGATGTATTATTTCTGAAAAATACTGGATTTTTTATTGTTAAAAGATGGGCTCTTGGTTCTGTTTTGTTTTTTAGATTTTTAATTGCAATATTTTACATATTTTTCCTGTTAAAATAACACTTTACAAATTTCATTAAACTATTCTACAGGTTGTGGAGTTTCCTTTATGTGTATATTTGTACCAATAAAATGATTTTACAAATTGAAAGATGGCTTGCATACTTTTTACCATAAAAGGTCATTATGGGATTATGGACTACTTTTCTAAAATCAGTTTCATAATTTGCTGTAATTCATCACAAACCTATTTTTTTAAAATAATAAAAAACAGTTCTTAACCCAAGTTTAACCATGGAAGTTTTATATGCTCTTTAATTTGCAGGTCATTTAAGCCATTAGTGTAAAGGTTTGGAGTCTCAATAAATTTGAGGTGGCACTAAAGTTTTTGTGAATGCAGCTGTCTTGGTAAAGTTACTCTATGGGATTATTTCCTGAAAACGTCAAAGTGACATGTAGCAGTTCAAATCCTCCACTACTAAGTTTAAGCATTTAATTTTTCTTTCTCCAAACACAGTTAAGAGAAAAACATGCAGTTTTGTACAGTAAACAAGAAACTTCTTATTGGAGGTCATATGCTTCTAATATTGCTTGGAATCGTTTTTCCCCGATTCCACATGCGAAGTTTAATTCACAGTTAGCCACAAGGCGGCGCAGTAGGCTAAAGGAATGAATTCGTGTAAGAAATGCCGTTGAACAAGAGTGCTACAAAAAACCATAGTTTTACTGTTATCTGCAAGATGGCAATGTTTTTTTTAATGCACAACTTTTTACGATAGCTGATATTGGAAATATTTAATTGCACTATTCTGCATTTCTGACGACGACTTTATTCAATTAACTCGGTGAATTTAACAATTTCTGATGTGATTTGAGACGATTTTTAAAGTTTGTGTTCCTTACTGATTAGAGTCCCGCCAACATTATCAACAACAAGCTGCTATCTCATTGTAAAGCACCTTCTATGCCCAGTTTTGCTCGGGTTTTGAAATGGGATTAGATCAGGCTATACCTTCATTCGTAAACCTTCGTAAACAAGAAAAACCTACATCACTGTTTAAAACGCTAGCAGTGTATAACACACAGTGTATACAGTACGTTCCATATGCTGTAGCCCCGGTACTGGGGAACTGTTATTTTCTAGTTTGTGCGCAAGCTGAGATATTTCTACAGACCTCTACAGATCGAAAAATGCTCAGTGTGAGAAGCTGTTACTGTATTTCACTGCCACCGCCACCATTCTCTGTTCATCATACTCTGATCACATATAAATAGGTATTTCGTCAGAGCAACCATGTTGAGGAGAAGCTGCCTAAAGTCTTATGTACTTATTACTGAAGTTGTTGGAATGAAGCTCAAGCATGGAGTTTACTGTAACTTTTGAAACTTGGCAGTGCAGGAACTAACCAAAAGTCTAAACAAGCAAGCAGATTGGTTAAACGTATCAATTATGACCGGTGCTTTAGGTCTTAACTAGAAAGAGACAACAGACACTTGGGGTTGTGAGCCACTGCTGTAAAGGACACATGCTCTACGGAAATGAAATTATAATAGACAGAAACTTCTGTACTGTCGTGTTGGACTCAATGTAGCCGCCAGGTGGCAGTCTATGTCCACATTAAAGTCCTCCGAGTATTTGCCACAATGCACCTGTTAAATAGAGAAGTCGTCATGAAATTAAAAACAAATGTCGATTTTTGAAACCCACTGTTACGTTTTATATTTGTGTAAGTATTAAGTTATATTAAAGCGTGCAAAAATATTTATCATGTAGATTATTACTACTTTGATACAATGCGCTCTGTAGCGGTTCTTCTGGTGCGTAATGGCTGCCGCGCGTCGCCCAGGACTCAGGAGGACGAACGATGCACTTTAATTGTGGATGAATAATCATTATATATTGTATCCTTTATATAGAAAGCGTTCAGATCATTTAGAATGAAAAACGCTGCAGACATTTATTATGATTCATTTTAACGGACACGAAGTAAAAAGGGACGGAACCACAAAGAACTGAAGACGGGTTTTGTGATATTGCACTTTAAAACCTCCAAAGACGATTTCTAATTTATTTAAAACCCCATGAAAAATCTGTATGATCTCTTAAAAAAACTAACTGAAAGATGTACTGTATATCAGCAGTATCTATCAGTTCATGTTTGTAGTGTCAAATCTTCAACTTCTGATTTAACTTTTATTTTTTCGGTCCTCTAACTTTGCTACCAACAATGGCTTTGTTACTAGTCGTGCATTTAAATGACTGTATATGTACAGTAAATGGTAAGTTGTATGGTAAAAAGCGATTTTTTCAAATTATATTAACAACCTTTGACGCAACTGTAGCGCAGCGTCCACGTGTTACATTTTGTGCTGCCAATAGAAAATGGCCCCTTTTAAAGATGCTTTTTCCCAATTATTCAGAATTCTGCATGTTCGTATTCTTCGTAGTAGTATGATTCGTGGTGTTTATTTTGAAGCCTTTTTGCTTACCAAAAATGAATAAATAAATAATATGATACAAATTGTCTCAGTGTCATGTGCTTTGAATAACATTTCTAGATTTTTGGTAAAATTATTATTTCAGAGAAATTTAGCAATACATGCAAACTACAGGACTTCCCTTCGATATTCCATAGAGGTCGCGATTTCAATCTCGGTCCAGAGTCTCAGTCCAAAAGGTGTTTATAAGTAATCACTAAATCATACATACAGTATCTGAAAACCTTGGTTTATTTGGTCGTGTTATTTGTTAGTTTAAGCCTACTGTACTTTAGAGATCATTTGGAACACAAATCACAATACCCTTCGGTTATGAAAGACCAGAGATCCCTTAATGGAACCATAACTTCCAAGTGTTACTATTAAAAAAGGGTGATTAAACTGACATCAAGAGACTAACTGTGGTGGTGCTCTCAAGGACCAGTAATGGAGACCTTTTTTCGATTATGAAAAGTAACTTTAAAGTAGCATAACAACCAGTTAAAACAATTACTTGTTAACAGAGTTAAAACAGAGCTATTCTACTGTAATCGTTACAATCTGAACCGCAGCAGTTGCCATATATCATAAGCAGTCTTTCGTTGAAAATAAAAGGTAATCCCTTTTGTACGCAGGCGTCATGAATGAAGTTACTCGTCCATCACTTGGAGGAGGGGTTTTCTGCTTATAAAGTACGAAGAAAAAATTCGTTTAACCTAATCCGTTGGATAGGTGTCGGTAACCACATCTCTTTTATCCTTAGTATCTAAAACAACGGTCTCTCTCCTGAAGTTCAGTGTTTTATATACTTGTTGATTTCCTTTCCGAGTTTTTTTTTCAACTTTTGTAATCACCATGGACAGCACCTTTGATAACCTGGACGCAGTTGGTTTTCTGAAAATCTGGCAGCACTTTGACGCTGATGGTAAGGTCTTGTTTTATAAGCAATCATTTTCAGAAAGTAACCATTTATGGATATTGAGTTTATCCGTATTTTATATTCGTTTTTAGACAAAGACGTCCACACAATGTTTTGTGTTCAGGTCAAATAACAGATACAGCTTTAGAAACAAATGCATGTGAAGTGATTGTACAGTATATTTTATTTAAAAATCTCTGGTACAAAACGCTCCAAACCTTGAGGTATCTCAAACGTTATTTATGCTTACAAACACTACTTATCATAACAGAAGTAGTTGTTCTGTTTAGCATGTCTGCTTTTAAATGAAACCCAATTTATAGCATATTTTTAATGTTATTTTAATTGATCCGAAACACTACTTTTCAAAAGTCATATTTAAACGCATCACTGCTTGTACTGATTTCGTTCGTGTAAAAATACTAACTGCTGTTTGTTACGTTCATAGATAACGGCTATATTGAGGGAAAAGAACTCGATGATTTTTTTCGCTATATGATGAAACAACTAGGTGCCGGGGTAAGTTCCGTAACTTCAGTCGTTTGATCCTCAAAAGAGTTTACATTCCCTTCTCTGAATGGCTGCAGATAACTTTCAAACCTTAAGGCAACAGAGCATAGCTTCAGAAAGTTCTTCTCTTGGCAGTACCCCAGCATTTGTGATTTTCACTTTTAATGTCCCAACTGATTTTAAAATGGGATTTGCAAGGACCAACATATATTTTGAAATGAATCATTTATTACAATTTTATGATTTAGAATGTGAAATGGGAGCTTGTCTCATCCAGCTAACTGTTTAATGCTTAGTTCAGTGCTAGAAAGAGCTATACAAAACATGTGATCCACACTTTTTCCAACACAGTATCTTCATATTCCTTGGCACACCTGAGACCTTTCCATATTGCTGCCTCACAGCACTGGGAACCTGGGTTTGATTCCTGGAGTGCTATCTTCTTGGGGTTTCTATGTTCTCCAGGGTTCTGTTTAAATAGTTTTACTGTGGGTGCTCCAGTTTCCTCCACAGTCAAAGACATATTGGTAGGTAAACTGGATTCTGGGATAGCTTGCGCTGGTGTGAGTGTGTGAATGTCTGTGCTCGTCTGTCCCCTGCAATTGATTGGCATCCCATCCAAGGTGTGTCCTGCCATGCGCCCTTTGCTTGCCAGGATAGGCTCCAGCTCCCCTGTGACCTTGAATTGTATGAAGCAGTTAGGAAATGGATGGATATTAATTCTCTTAAGTCTAATGTAAAATATATATATATATTAGTTTCATATAGTATTAAAGGCCACCAATATTTTGTATCCTTATCATTTTTCATCTCTTGTATGGGCTAAAAGCAATGGATCATTCAAAAGTGGGGGAGTATGACAACAAAAACCCAGAGCAGTAGCAAAAGATGTAAATGTGAGAGTTATGGACCCCATTTAAATGCCAGTTCCAATTCTGTCATGCAATACAGGATTGTAGTGCCCTTTGAAGCCAGAAAGCAAACATCTGTAAAAACAAACACCTGCAGCTCACTTACTTCTTCTACTTTATATTTCAGCCTAAACCTACTGTACATACATTTCTTCTGATAGTAACAACATTTCGCATATTGACAAATGGGGAGATTCTAAGATCATCATAAAGGGCTCTTATAGAGTGTACACTTTTTTTTACAGCCTCCTTCCTGATTTGAAAGCACAGATTTTCCAAGAGGAGAGAAGAAGGCTGTATTTTCAGCTGCAAGGAACATGATAATGCATTTCACAATTCAATTATGTTGTTCTGGTGTGTTCCAAATTAAGGATTTCCTGTTTTCCTGCTGAATTTATCACACACCAAAGATTCACAGAACTGTTTGAACATTTCTGTGAAATGTTAATTACAATTTATATGTAATATTCAAATAAAATACATGTCACAGTTTTCCATTTTTATAAAAGAAAACTCTCCAGCTGATTTAGATAATAAATTCAAGTATCACCAGTGAAGCTCTTTTCATGAATAGTGCTTCACTGTACTTAACTACAGCATAAGAGAGCCGATTTAATGGCTGCTAAAAATAACTGCAATTGTGTTATACACAATGTGTCTAAATAATGCATTTAAAAAGTGTGTAATATCCATGCATACTGTACTTTTCCAATCCTCTCTTTATTTAATAAGAATGACTAAAATAAAGAAAAACATGCACAAATATTACATAGAAGGTTTGCTATGCTTGCAGACGTTTGCTTCAACAGCATCCCTTTCATTGCCTGTTAAAGTTCTCACTATGAGAAGATTATTCCTCAAGATTTCATCACCTTCATCTTGTTTCACAAATTTAAAATAAAATGCATTGCCCAATTTTTATTTTATATTGCATCACTGTAAAAACTAATCCTTCTTTACCTTCTCAACACTAACGTCTTATATAATAAAACCCATGCTCCTGGTATTTTGATTTACAGTGCATTTTAATCACTTATGAAGTCATAAATCCCCTCACAACAGTTTGCCACAGAGCACTTTACAGAATTATACTGCAGGCATATTCATAACAAAATGTCAGTCTTAATAAAACTTGTCTGGGGGATGTGGGATTTTGAGATTTAACAGTAAGTCTCACAAACCTGGAGCTGCATCAAGCTTGGTAGGAAATTCATTTATTTTATTATATTGCTGAGTAAACTGGTTAGTCTTCTACTTATTGACTTCTGCTTGTAATTATACCTTGTGTAGCCTAGTTAAAATGTGGATGTTTTAGACTGACAAGTGGGAATAGTGTAATTTAATAAATATGGCCTTTTGTCCATTGTCTGCCGGGTTAGACTCCGGTCTACTGCAAATCCATGTAGTACTTAGCAATTATTGAAAACGGATAGATGGATATCAGCATACACAAAGGTTAAGGCACTAAAATCAGGATGGAAGTATAATGGTGCAGATTCCAGATGTGCTGTAAGTCTTTTATGTGTATGACACTATAATATGCAGTACAAGTGACCTAACCTATTAAGCCTATTTTAATCATTACATTTTTGGAACAAAAGTCTTCAAAACATCATGTGAACATTTATTTCATAAAACTTTAAAACAAATTAATGTTCACATTCATATCACTTTCATAGCCACTTATCTAATTCAGGGTACGGTGGCCCAGAGTCTATCTTAGGAAACAGACACAAGGTGGGATACACCCTGAACCCTAGTCCACTGCAGAATGCTCATATTAATCTTTCAAATACAATTCTAAAGCTGAACACCATGTTTCTAAATGTTTCACATACCATTCAAAATGGAGCAGGATTTCACTGAGACTGTCTGCATTATTCCTATTGTTTTTCCTGACAATGAAACAATGAAAAAGCCTGTGTTTTCCCCTATGCAGTATTAATGAGAAGGCAGAGTAGCCTATTGCCATAATGCATTTCTGAGAAATGTAGCATTGTCATGCCAACAGGAAATTGATTAGTTGATAAAGCTCATTAGGACAATTCTTACTTTAATAAAAAATATGTAGTAAGTAATGAGTGTCCAACAAAAATGTTCTCTTTGATGTCTTGTACAGAATGTATTCTAAAACTATACAACATCTGTTAAAAACGTTGTTCCATGCGGATTACACAAAGCATTTTTTGGAAAAATGCAGTCACACCTGTTAAAACATGGATATTGTTCTTTTTTTCCCCTTCTTTTAAGGCACACTTGTAGCTTTAGTGTTATATACAGTATTTAGTAGCTTCTTTTCTTATTGAAGCTAAAGACCTTCTAGAGCACTGTTTTTTGAAGGAGTCAGTCGACTATTCATTAAGAGTATATTCATTAGGAAGTGAAACATGATGGCCTAATTCTATGGATAGAGACCATATCACACAACAATGTTGTGTATTTTTACATATAATTTTATTTCAGTTTATCAAACAATAAATTCATGAAAGATGTGGAACAGTAATGCATGTTCCTGGGGATATTAATGCAGGCATTACCATTTTTGGCATTTCTCAGGAATTGTAACCTGTTTTTTACCTCTTAGTTTTTTTTATTTTGAAAACTTACTTGCAAACTGCACAAGGTTTGTCAAGGAGCAGTCCAAAGGAAGTTCATATCATACTGGAATATAGCACCTTGCAAATTCAGATGATTCCTATGGGTTTCCCATTTCATTAAAGTACAAAATAATACATGCCACTTTTTTAAACAATATTTTTTCCAATACATTAATGTTGAAACTGATGACTTCTAAGGGTAATATAGATTTCAGTAAATATCAGCAAAACTCAGATAAAAAAACAAAATGTTGTATGCAGAAGTATTAACACCCATGAACCCAATGTGTGGTGGAAGTACTTTTGACAGCAGTTGCTGTTAATTGTTTTTAGAAAGTCTATCAAATGTGCAAACATATATGGTGCACTGTCTGCCTATTTGTTTTGGCAGATGTGCTGAACCTCTTTCAGGTTGCTTGGGGATCCCTTATGCACAGCAGTTTTCAAATCTTTCCACGGTATCAATAGGATGTAAGGCAATAGGATTTAACTGGGATTCTCAAGGACATTCAATTTCTAATTCTTACGTCACTAATATTGTGTTGGCCTTGTGCTTCGGGTCATTGTCCTGCTGAAAAGTGAATTTTTGTTCTAGTTGTAGGCCTTTTATCTAGGTCCTCATAAACTTCTCAGTCCGTGCTAATGAGAAGCAGAAATACAGCATACCATAATGCTGCTACCACCATGTTTGACAGTATGGATGGCTTCAGATGTAATACTTTGTATTTACATCAAAATGTTAGGATTTTGTCTTTCCTGACCACAAAGCCTTTTGCCAGGTTGGTAGTAAGTGCTTTGTGAAATGTTTGTGTTGTTCCATTCAAACCCCTTTTCTGCAGTGAGCATGATGTTGTTGACCCATGGACATATTCTCCCATTCAGCCACTGTGCTCTGTAACTCTTGACCTACTCTGAAAAATTTGTGGCTCTTGAAGGTAATTGTGTGCACTTAATTTAGATTTGTCACAGCAAAGGGTATGAATATTTATGTAATTATGACTTTTCAATTCTTCTTTTGTTTTTCACTGAATGTGTGGAGTAGATTGTGTTCATAACAAATATTGCACTTTTTAAAGCAACAAAATATGAAAACTGTGTAAGGGTCTGAATGTGGATGGTCTACTTTGTCAAGGTATTCAATGTAAACACTCTTCACTTTGGCATTTTGAAAACATACAGAACTTCATAAGGTTGATCAACATAAGCCTCAGGAGTTACACATTTTAATGAAATAGCTGAACAAAATCCCATATTTTCCCAATTGTGTAAATGACATTATAAAATTTGGAAACATTTTAAAAAGAGAATCTATTTATGAATAAAATGTACTGTATATCCCATTTACATTGGCAGAAATAGCTTAAGGAACAGGTAGGCTCATGAACAGAATCACGTAGCTGACGAAAAAAAGTAGACATGATTGAAATCTGGCTCATATGAAGCAATCATTTTTCATTACAAAATAGTAATATGACATTATTGAAGGTTGTGTTCTTCAGTTTCCAACAGGGAATAATATAATAATTGTGTTGGCAGCATCTTGATTAGGGTTCTGATGTGAATGAAATCTGTTTTTAAAGATTCACCTTCTGTTCTCTATAATGAAAATAAACCATAAATGTGGCTTGTTTTTAGCATTTATTCTGCAGCATCGTCCTTATGGTCTTGAGTCTTTCTTTGCTCAATATACGTACTTAAGAAGTGATTGAGACTAAACATTGATTTTCTTATTACAGAATAACATGGATATTGACCAAATAAATAATCATTCATTAGCATCTGCTACACTACACTACACTACGCTACACTTGAAAGCAAAAAGATCCATTTATTGGATTTAAGATAATACATGTGTCAATATTTTTAATGTCTTTATACTGTAGAACCATCACGAGAATAGTGGCTTAGGAGAGATCCTTGGGTTGCCATTAACAGGGGTAATCAGAAGCACAGTGTCATGAATGGTATAGAGGAGAATGACAATATGGAGATAACACAGATAATCTTTCCATTCAATTAAAACATTATGATATGAGCAGCACATCCATCCAACCATTACCTAACCACTTTATTCAATACTGGGTTGCAGGGGAGCCTGAGCCTATCTCAGCAAGAAACAAGCACAAGGCAGGATACACGCTATACAGGATGCCAGTCCATCTCCAGGCACACACAGATACAAACATCCACACACTCACACCAGGGCAATTTTTTACCGAAAGCTAATGAACTTACCAGTATGTCTTGGGACTGTAGAGGAAACTGGGGTACCCAGAGGAAACCCACTCAAACACAGGAAGAACATACAAACTCCATGCTGATATCACCTCAGGTCTGGAATTGAGCCCAGGGCCACAAACAACGATGCTAAACCATTATGCCACCTTAAGATAATCTGTAAAAAAAAAACCTGAAAATTGATTTCATGCCTGATTTATTAACTGCACATTTTATTTCAAACAACAAGTTAAAAAATCCTTTGTGCTGATGTTTTCTTATTCTGGTTAAAACCTAAGTAAATAAGAACAAGAGTGTAAAAGTATATTCAAGTGTTACTTAAGAATGAGTATTTTGTGTAGTGCTACTTAAAATGTGAATATACTGTACAGTACAAAGTCTATTATGTGCTTTGTAAATAACCAGACTGAAGATACTTAAGCTATTTTTCAAAGCTATAAGCTACTTATCAAAGGTTTTATATGTACAGTTAGTAAAAATACTTCTTGAACTAAAATTTAGTTTTTCACTATTTGAGTATGAATGTATTGTACATCTGCCCCTTTAAATTTTTATACCTAGTGGTATACATTCAAAAATTTTCTGTACAACAGCATACAAACAAGTTATAAGAGTGGCTATTTGTTTTTCAATAATAATAAATTCATTAATAATAGTTTATTTACATTGTCATCAGGAACCATTGTTAAATTAGTCTTTGAACTTTTTTCATAGATTAGTCTATGAACTTTTACATAGTTGCTTAAGATTTAAATTGTCAACAGAAGCAAACAAAAAAATTAATCAATTACAGGTTTACATGGAAGTGGTTTGTAGTTGTCCTTTGGTTGGGCCAGAAGATAGTATATTTTCAAGTGGTAATCACATTTTGAGTACCTAGTTCTTGTCAAAAACAGGATCAGAATAAATAAAATAACAGAACTAGTAAAGCCAGCAGTATGGATTGAAACAACAATTGAAAACAACAGACTCTTCTCAATGTCCTTGTGTACTTGTTTAGCTGATTTCTTTCTTTCTGCTCTTTTGAAGAATAAAATAACAGAAGAGAAGGTCCAGCGATTAAAAGAGAGATTTATGTCAGCCTATGATGCTACTGCTGATGGACGCCTACAGATCCAAGAGGTAAAGTTGATTGCATTCATTCCTGAGACTTTTTGAGTTTGCATGATATACAATATACTGTAGTTACTTGGCATGGCATCAATCATACTGTAAATACACTGTAATACTGTTCATGCAAGAGCTGCAGTGTTACTTAGACATCTTTTTAAGGATCTGCTTAAAATTGAAAGCAAACTTTCAGCATCAAAATGTAACTATTTATAATAAAAAACAGATAGAGGCTGAAAAGTAAAAAAAAAATTGTCTTCCATCAAGTGTGATGCCTCCAAAGGAAAATGTTTATTCTTTCTACTTTACTTTTCAATATGAAATTAATCTCTACATATTTTTACTTATGAAAAAGACTTTGATGATTATGTTGACATGTCTTCTACATCTTCAAATCATTGTGAGGAAGCAATTAAAAAGGCAGCAAAATGCTAGAATATATTGATAAAAACATAAAATTGAAATCTAGGCATTTTTGTATAATGCACTTTTTTAGAATGCTCTGGAATCAGTCAAAATATACAGTAACTAGCAACCCGATTCATTATAGGTCTTTAGACAATATCTTAAATTGATAGGCTTTTTAGTCTTGAACAGAGAAGATTAGGAGGAGCCTTAATACAAGTATTTAAAAGCCTCAAGAGCATTGACAACTCAGTTCAAAGCTCTTGAGGCCAGCAGAAGTCTTCATAATGAACAGTCAAACATAAACAAGAGGGCACAAGTGAAATCTATGTTGGAGGTGTACTTAAAACTAAGAACAGGGGGTGATCTTCCCCAAGACATGGGAGAATTTGGACCAAACTTTCCAGATATGTTGTTGAAGCCAATAACCTGACTTCTTTTAAAAAATGGTTGGGTAAGACTTTGGGATCAATTAACTACTAACTAACAATGAGCTACAGTACATGAGTCAAATATCCTCCTCTTGTTTGTACAGTAACGTTTTTTGTGCATAATTCCCAAATTTCAACCTCTAAAGGGATTAACTGACAAGGTGAAGTACAGAAGGTCTCTTTCAAGTGCTGGAAACAGACAGACAATGTACTGTACCACCAGGAATATCTGTGGCTGTGCTGGTGGATTAAGGATGCAGCACAAAGAGACCTCTAATCTTTCTCTAAACATCATCAGCATCAAACATTTTCATAATGATATGCCTGCAGTGATCCTCAATAATAGATCCATTATGGAGATTTTTAAAATTTGGACAGGAGTCATACATGGTTGTGTCATCACTCACATTGTATTGTATTTTCAGTATTTCCGAGCTCTATGCTTCATTTGATAAAGTTGGATTAAGTAAATAAATATAGACTCAAATAATTATCATTTCTTTTTGTGGATTAAATTGAATTCTACTTAGTCTCTATAGAGTAGTAGATAAGTGTTGTTTACACCAGTAGTACACCAGTAGGTCACTGATGAGAGGGGGAACATGTATCTTCCAGTGAAGGGAAGACTGTCTTAAGGCAATATCTTAAATTGATAGGCTTTTTAGTATTGAACAGATTCCCTGTCAGTTGAAGGGTGAGCCCAGTTGAGTGTGTCAGGTGCGCCAGGGGTTCCAGGGAATGAAAGGAAGAAAAATGGAGAACTAAGAAGAGTTTGACAGGAATTTGTCTGTATGTCCCGTGGATTAAAGGATTGAAGAACTGTTCCACAGGAGAAGGAGAACTGAAGATCTTTAGCTGACTAAAGACCACCCAAACACACACATGTAACCTGATGACATACTGGCACATGTGGCACATGTTTGTGGTCTGGGAGTCGACATTCCCACAGACTGTATGTACCTTGACAGAAATGAATCTTTAAGTAATGGTCAACTTATTTACAGATGCACATGAGAAGATGAGAGCAGAAGATTCTTCCAGTAACCACCAAAAGCACATTTGAACCATTGGTTTGGATCGGATAAAGCTTTATTTTTTGCTTTATTACTGCATAAAATAAAATTCATAGAATATATTTACAGTATAAAATAGTTTTTTTTTGTGGCACATTTAGAAGGTTTTAGAAAGTTTACAATAGAAAAGTTTAGAATATGCTATCATAATGCATTCCTTATTCATAACAGAAAATCAAGAAAGAAATCTGTTGGTTCAGAATATTTATGATTATGTCAGGAGAATGTTTGTCAAAAGACACAACCTATAAGCCAGGGAGAGTCCTTGAGGCCTTTTGTTCCCTCTGGTTGTTGAATTTTATTTGAAGTAAAGGGCAACACTGTTTTGTGTAAGAGGAGACCTATGTGTAGGAGTTTAGAATCGATCAAACAAGTTCATGTGTAAGCTAATGATCTTGACTGAAGCAAAATAATGGAGCACCTCACATAGTTATGAGTATCTTGAGATGATTTTTGAAAAATGTATAGAAGTGCACAAATTTCAAAGCACAAATCCCTGAATCACAGCCAGACAAGGTTTAAATGGTCGTTACATTCTAAGACTATTAAATTTTAGTAGTTCTATTCTTAAAACCTTTGTTAATTTTATCAATTTTTCATGTTTGTGCATGAATGAGGAAGTAAGCAAAGTTTGAAAATGCATATTGATCTCAATTGCTGTTACTCAAACAGATTATGTTGTGTATCTTTCTGTTTGATTGAGCCTGTGTTTTTATTTAATGCTTCTAACACATTACTTATTTCATATATTGAGTATTTTTCATGTGTTCACTAAGGATGAACAATTTCTTCCTTAGGTACTAGAAGAACAAAGTTCTGTATTTAAACATTAGTACCATAGAAGAGGCAGAAGTATTTTGGTGACTAGAAGCACTGAAGGTGAATAAATCCCCAAGTCATGATGGTATCTTAGCAGATGTACTCAAGGAAACAAAAGATGTTATTCAGACGCCATTGACACAACACTTCCATCAGTAACTCAAAACAAGAAAATCACTGGTGTAGTCCACATAATAATTCCTTACACTTATATAGCGCTTTTCTGGACACTCCACTCAAAGCGCTATACAGGTAATGGGGACTCCCCTCCACAACCACCAATGTGCAGCATCCACCTGGCAGCCATAGTGCACCAGAACACTTACCACACATCAGCTATCAGTGGGGAGAAGAGCAGAGTAATGAAGCCAATTCATAGATGGGGATTATTAGGAGGCCATGATTGGTAAGGGCCACTGGGAAAGGACGCCGGGGTTATACCCCTACTCTTTTTGAGAAATGCCCTGGGATTTTTAATGACCACAGAGAGTCACAACCTCGGTTTTATGTCTTATCCGAAGGATGGTGCCCTTTTACAGTATAGTGTCCCCATCACTATACTGGGGCATTAGGGCCCACATAGACTGCAGGGTGAGTGCCCCATGCTGGCCCCACTAACACCTCTTCCAGCAGCAACCTTAGTTTTTCCCAGAAGGACTCCCATCCAGGTACTGACCAGGCTCACACCTGCTTACCTTCAGTGAGTTACCAGTTGTGAGTTGCAGGGTGATATGGCTGCTAGTGATTCTAAACATTTGTAGAATGGGTGACTAAAAATGAACCACGTGCAGTAAATGCAAACCAAAATGCTGGGCTTCTATTTCATGTAAAGTTATGGAAACAATTGTTAAAACTAAATTAAAGTATCATCTATATGGAATTGAGATACTAGTGAACAGTCAACATGAATTTAGAAAAGCTAGACCCTGCCAACATAAACCAACTTATTTATTGAACAAGCAACTACATAATGTACTCACAGAAAGCATATGATATGGTGTATTTAGATTTTCAGAAAGCCTTTGATTAAGGTTCTCATTAATGATACATTCTCAAATTACAGGCAATAGATATCCAGGGAGACCTGTGTTTGGATTGAGAACTGATTAATAATACAAAGCAGAGTACAGATAAAGGATGAATGCTCAGATTATACTGAATGCTTATTGAGCTCAATTGCTGTTACTCAAATGGATTATGTTGTGTGGCTTTCTATTTGATTGAGCCTGTTTTTTTTTGTTATTTAACACTTCTAATACAGTACTAATTTCATATATTTTGGAAAACAGCAGCAGAGTTGTGTTTGTGTTCTAGCCCATTGAGTGTAACAGAAACTGTCACTATTGAAAACCAAGGTTTTCTTTTGAATAATTTTCAATCCCAGTGATGTGACTTCTAATACACTTGCAAATAACCAGAAGAGAAAATACAGAATTCAGAGGCATTGGGAACTAATAACAGCAATGACCTTAGAATTAAAATACACAATCTCACTTTTACATGTGGCCCTTTTGAAGGTCTTTTAATTAAAAAGGATTTACTTTGTTGAACACTGACATATCTGTCTGTTGTACACTGTGTATATTAAATTTACTTTGAAATTACATTTATATACATATCATACTCTACACATTCAAAGCAAAAAACAAAAATAGATAAAAGCTTTCAACTCAGACATAAACTCAGACACAACTCAGATATAAAGTTATATAAAGGCACAGATCAAAATAATTGTTTTAAAAAAGTTGAAAATGCTTTGTGAACAGTGAAACCGAACATTAAGAATGGAAGGTGTATTGTACCACCCAGAAACTGACTAGATAAAGGTGTTCCTCCAAACTGAAGTGCTGGGCAAGGAGATAAATCTTGAGAGAAGATGCTCAAGGGAACCAGATTAAGTAACTTAGTAAGAGCTACTGAGTTCAGTGCCTGAGATGGGAGAAAATGTCCAGAAATATTCCAGTCCCTCAACAAAGTAGATCTACAGTATATGGTCTTGCTCAGGGGCCCAACAGAGTAAGATTCCTCTGCCAGCCACAGGATTTGAACCAGCAAACTCCTAGCCACAAGTGCAGAGCCTTAGCCACAGAGCCACCGCTCCAGCCTTGGGTGAACTTCTTTCACCCATAAAAGTTTTCATTTGAGCATTCAAGCCTATACATTTTAATTAACATTCACTTTTAAAAATGTGCATATATATATTTTAATTCAATAAAATGGAAGGGATGAAAACTTTTAAAAGGCACTGTATTTATTGTTAGTTATGCCTTGTACTTTCTAACCACCAGCAAGCATTGTAAGGCTGTAAATCTCATTTCCTGTATTTTCACAGTTAAATCTAATAATGCACTTAGAATAATCAGTTCACAAAAGCACAGGCTGGGCTGTAATTTTGCAGTGTTGTTTTTCAGAATGCTAATAAAATTGTGGGTTAACATTATCATGGGCATACTCTTTGACAATGCACAATACCGTGAACTAACAGCAGAGCTGCACTTTGCTGAAACATAAATAAAGATACTTGTGGGCCAGAATTTAATTGTCTTGGCAGCCAAGGAAAAGTTAAAAGATAAAGTTCGCCCTTTATCTCTGTATTGGCGCCTTGATGCTGCTGTTGTGCCAGCTTGCTATTTTATTGCACTGCTGTCAAGTAAGACCCAACTGAGGCAGGTAGAGCATTTGAGCAACATTGATAAGTCATATACAGTATAACCACATTAAACACCATGAATCCGATCGTCACAGGGATCTCTGTCACTCCGATGAAGCAAGCTTTTAAGAATAACTGAACTAAAACGGGCTGAAAAACAGGTGCAGTATTTGGGGGATAGAGAGCATTTACAGTAAATCTAATAACTTTAGAACCTTCTAGGACAGCATGAAGAGAATGACAGGACTGTCCTCATGCAGGAATCCAATAGTGATTGATGAACTTCTGTTTTCAAATGGACTGAATGTGCTGTTCACCGGGTGTAATAAAACAGATACCCCTGATAAATGCTTTAATATATTAAAGTTAGTTTCACTTAACAGTTCAGACAGGGTTATCATTAATGCAGACCAAGTTATGAATACCTTTCAGTGCACAAAAGTTTGCAATGCAACTAGCTCTGATAATATAAAGGGATTTATTTTGAAATTTGCAAGAGAATTAGCTGCAGTGTGGCAACCAACTTTCCAGATGTCAGTAGACATGCATACTATTCCTGTACTATGGAAAACCTCCATTATTATACCCCTCCTAAAGAAAACCTGTCAAATAGAACAATTTTAGATGAACTGCTATTGCGTCAGTTACAGTATGAAGAAATAATGGGAGAGGATTTTGGTTTAGAATCTCAGTAAATGCTAAGCTAGATGCATTTCTGTTTGCTTATGTCACAGTACAGATACAGTAGTTACCCTCACTAACCTTATTTCAAAGCATACTGTATAAACAAATGAAAATCATATGCTAGAGTACTTTTCCATCAAAATCAGACCTGGTATTTTATTATAAAAAATCATCTAATTACAGGTTAATCCATATCTGACATTTTGGTATAATTGCAGGTATAATTTGGTATAATTACAGCAGGTTAAAGGCAATAATATACCTTTACCAAAATAATAACTTACTGTACTGTGGAGTACCCCAGGGAAATAAGTTCACCAGCGCTCTTCATTGTCTATACCAATCATTTAGTTGCTTGTGGTTCAATCCAATTCCTAATCAAATTTTCTGATGATTCCACCTTAGTGATTAACAATAATCATTCAGTTCTGTCATGTAAAGTGTACTGCAGTATGACATACAGTAACCATCAGTCTTTCTGTACAACACAAATCTAAGATAGTCTATTTGTTATACTCTAACAAAATGATTAATTCTTTTAGCCCATATTCCATAAGTGAGTTTACAATGAAAGGGTAATGGTTCAAGGGTAAGTGCAATCAGTGGATTATGTTCAGAAGTGAAGGGGTAATGTGGAATTATATGGGCTTAGTGTAATGCTACAGGGTTCTTGCATAGTTTAGTGGATTCCTGTAGGGGTGGTGTGAAATGAATATGTATGGATAGAAGTCTGTTATTTAGTATTATATTTATATGTAATGTTTACTTATATTTGTTGGTATGTTTTGTACATTTCTGTGTGTAAATCATAGCTGCTTTGATATACGAATTTATGCAAAGTATCATATTGTAAGATAGGTTAGTAATGAGCAGGAAGGGGAGAATTCCAGCCCGCATTTGCTTGGTAGCAGCTGAGCGACTGATTGGTCTGATGGTCTCGTCCAGCCACTTCTTTTGGGATTTGAAGTTACATGCTTCAGCAATATACTGTATGCCTGAGTAGCTTGTTATGGACTGCCACAGTCCTTTCTGTAGAGAAGTATCTCCTGTTTCTCTTGGTCTTAAATGCACCCTAAATTTCCATTCACATTGTCTGGTTTGGGTTTTACTGAAGATCAACATCTCTGTTCAGATCAAACCAATCAGTGTAGGACATTTTTAAACCACAAATGTACAGTACTTTGTCAGTCTTTTCAGGCCGATTCCAAACAAGCACCATCTTTTCTAACACGTCAACAATTGTTTGCAATAATTTTTAAAGGTTGATTTAAGATTGAGTTCTAATGGAATTGTCAGTTTTCAGTGTTTGCTCTCTGGTGATGATCATTGAGAGTACTGCATATTGCAAAAATCTAATAAGAGAAAAATAAGATACTAAGAAAAAATATTTAGTAACTTAATTACATATGTTCTGTAGACCTTTCACAGAACCATGAAGTTCTATGTGTCTTGTATGATGAACATTACCAATGTGATTTAAATGCATGCTTCCAAAGGAGAAAGGCAAAATGTTAGAATGCAGTTAATTCATTTAATAAGAATTTAAAATATTATTTGAAATACAGTATTACAGAACTATAATTAGTATTTTCAATCTGGGAGACCCACTGGTTGTATAAAACAAACATGTAGTGATATCTGCATGGAAGCACAAACCTTTAATAGAGCCTTTCAAATGCAACAGTCACTGAAACGTCTTCTCTTTGTCATATTTAGCTGGCCAATATGATGCTCCCTGAAGATGAGAACTTCCTACTGCTCTTCCGCAGAGAGACTCCACTGGACAACAGCGTGGAGTTCATGCAGGTACTGTAGGAGCCTAGTACTTGTAAAGCAAAGATGCATTCTCAGTGGTTAGATAACTGGGGACCCACATCTCTGTTAGCTATTAAAAGTGCCTGATATGCATCTCAGAGAAATAAGTTCTTTTGATTGTAAAAAAATGCAGTATACTGTATGTAATCTTACTAGTTTGTGAGTATACTGTATCACTGTGAGTTGACTAACAAGGATGTTGAGAGAGACAAACCTGGATAATGTACAGAAGATTTGAATGAAGCCTTAGGATGCTGCTATACCTTTAAGAACAATGTTTTTTTTACTGCAACATTTTCAGTATATATTTACCTCCAGTCTCCAGTATTGCCCTCAAAATGGACCACATCTGGGAAAATATATGGGCTATGCCCTGGGAAAAACTCAGATTGCTGCTGGAAGAGGTGTTAGTGGGGCGCTCACCCTGCGGTCCGTATGGGTCCTTATGCCCCAGTATAGTGATGGGGACACTATAAGAAGGCACCAGCCTTTGGATGAGATGTAAAACCGAGGTCCTGACTCTGTGGTTGTTAAACATCCCAGGGCGTTTTTCCAATGAGAGTAGGGGTGTCCTGTCCAAAATTTCCATTGGCCCTTACCAATCATGGCCTCCTAATAATGATTTGGCTTCATTCCTCTGTTCTCCTCCTCTGTGGCTGCCATTGCATCATCCAAGTGGATGCTGCACATTGGTGGTGGTGGAGAGGAGTCCCATTGCCTATAAAGTGCTTTGAGTGGAGTGTCCAGAAAAGCACTATAATTGTAAGCAATTTATTATTCTCTTGTTACATTTAAATATAGTTATGTTTTTCCATGTTAAACTCTCTCCAGATCTGGCGCAAATATGATGCTGATAGCAGTGGATTTATTTCAGCCGTAGAGCTTAAGGTAGAGTATGAATTTATTCTTAATTTCGTTAGGTATGTTGAATTTTGAATGTGTCAATTTCATTTTTTCAGTTGCGTGTATGTCAGTTTCATTTTTATTACTTTCCTTCAGATGTATTCAGATGTCTGGTTGAATAGTTCAATACATAAGTTGTCTCATCAGAACAGACTAAAATTTTCAGCTTCTGATGTATTTTAACTGCTGTTGGCAATATATGCAGTACTTTAATATCTACTCATCCACCTCCTCAAAAAGACTGCTTTAAACAGAAGCACAGAATGAAGCACAATAAATAGACTAGAAATACTTCACATCTTCATGACTGAATGACAGTACCATTCAAAGTGAAGGTCAGATACATACAAAACTGCCATATTAATATGAGTTACATTTCAAGAATCCCACTTGTTTAAAATATGGTCAGACAAAGAAAATGACTAAAGTAGAAGAACAGACAACTGATAAAGATGTCATTCATTTGTGCTCTTAACCTTGTGGATTTTATGGAATGTCTATTATACAGTATATCTGTCCTTGCACATGTTCCAAAACAGTACATACCATGATGCAGATTTTGGTATATGTGTTTAAATTAAACTAAAATCCATTCATAACTGCTGGAATGTAAAAATTGACATCCATCCAACACCTTATGGCAAGCTGGAATTCAAGCCTTGGTTGAATAAGTTGAGTGACTATTTTTTTAATGTAATTTGCGAACACTATTAAAATTATAAGCAGTGATACAAAATGCAGTTATGGAGGTATAAAAGATGTACTGAGCAAAGGCTTCATAGCAGGGTATAACCAAATGTTTAAATGAATGCAACCAGATGCAAAGTAACCAGTACAAGATATAGAAATTGCTACACACAAGGTTAACAATTATAATACAATTTACCTGTATAGCAAACTTTTTGCAAAAACACAAAGAGAATAAAAGATTCTTCAGACCTTAGTGTAACCCCATGTGATTGTCACATGCTTTTCATCCATTACCTTTTATCCTTGAAAGCAGTCCTGCAGGCTCTTTAAATCTCACGGTTTCAGGAACCACAAGATACAAGGCCTGGCCACTGGAAAGATATACATGTACTGTACTTAGATACTGTACACACAGTGGTTCTGCATGAACTCCTGAAAGAAAACCGTTGAACTGAACACTTGAAACGTACAGGATATAAAATGAAGGAGTCCAATTTCTCTCCTCCATTAAAGTTTTTTGCAGTGGATGAAGTATTCAGTATTTCAGCCTCATACAGTACCTCCATAGAAGGGAGCGTGTGTTATTGTGGCTGCATCAAGTCTGATGCACTGTGTAAATTGCTGGCATCCAGCTCCAGTCCTGAAGGGCTGTAGTCCAGCAGGCTTTATATTTCTCTTTAAAACCACAGGTCCTGAGAGCAAGTAAAACCTTCAACTGCCACCTAAATGAACTAATTTTCTTCAAAAGTCCATTTAAACTAAAACCTGAAACAGGACTCAAGTTGGGAACACCGCGTTTAGGGGTGGACAAATGACATCTATCATAGTAGGAACTGAGCAATTTTTTTCTTACCGTTTTTGTCTGTGTTTTGTAGATGGATTTAAGCACAACTTTTTTTTTAGTACTTCCAGGAGGCAAAAAGTTTACACACAAGCATTTTAGCACCTAGCTAAAGTACACAAAATCTAAACTGTTGAAAATGTCCTGTATTTTACTCCCTTCATCATTTTTTGCTGTCAAATTAGTGTCACGCTAAGAAATGGCTTGAACCAAACCTCAAAGGGGCTACAGTATGTAAACATTAGCACAACTTTATTAAACAGTATGTTTTCTAATTTACTTTATGTGCCACAGTATGTTGTAAACACTAAGGCCATTGAAGATTAAAAACAAAGCTTTGTTTTCTGTCAACATAATATTCTCATCCCTATTTAAAGACATCTATAAATCTATTATAAATAATTAATATAATATGACATAGACACATTATCCACAAGAATAAAATGTGACTGTTTAGATTCAGTATATGCAAAGATGTTCAGTATGTGCAAATACAGTACAATTAATGCAATATCTTCTGTACAGTATTTAGAATAGTTCTTAGGGCCCAACCCATAGAGAAGAAATCTTTTGCCATGACCACAGGCCAGTTACTGTACACAGTATGTGCAATTAAATGCCACATCCGTAGCCAACTTGTTCTTCAGGACTGCTATGAGTTAAACGCTGCTGAGACATACTGTATGGTGGTACAATGTTTTTTTTCAGGATGGTAGTTGGTCCTTTTTTTCAGCCCAAATCATATAGATTTTAAGTAAAACTGTTACGCTAAAGCATGTAGCATACTTATTGGCCAAAGCGCCACACTCATTTCAGAGTGATCTGTTTGCATTAACCACTAACGAGGAGAAAAATATCTCCCTTGTTTTTTCTCTCCACAACAGAGCTTCCTGAAGGACCTGTTTCAGAAACACAAGAAGGTCATTTCCCCTGAGAAACTGGATGAATACACAGATGCAATGGTAATTGAGTCCTGTTATTATATCTCTGATTTATCTGTGAAACATTCTCTTTAATACTCTATATCAATCTGTTAAATGGCTGAAGTAATTTACTTAATGCAGATCTCACTCACCAACAGAGTAGTCTTTCTGTGCCATAAATTTAAAATGTTTTCATGGTACATTTTCATACACTTGAGTGACAGTAATTATGAGTGTTTGCTTCAGTGTTTACTTCTAAATTCAATTAAATGTACCAGAGAAAAAGTTGTATATTATTTTATTCAATGTATTGATTTCAAATTCTTGTAATTAAAAATAGAAATTTGATTAAAAGTTTATAATAAACAAATCTGTAGTACACTGGCAGCATTAAAGAATGTTACCGACTTCTAGTGCGTTGTATTAGGGATTAGCACTGCTCTCTTGGAAGTGTGGATCTCTCCTTCTCTTTGGAAGCTGTGTTGATGGATCTGGCTCACAGAAATGCAATGTTTGCATTAATAATTTCCTTTCATCATTAATGGCAGGTAACATGGAGTTTACTTATCCCTGATAAGGACGACTACAATTATAAAATTATCATTTCAGAAGCTTGGTCAGAATGGGTTTTGAAACTTTGGCTTCAAATAGATTTTACATAATTCCACACAAATCTCTTTCGAAGTGTGGTGCTGCTGACATTTCTTGTCATTTAGTGCTCCATGCAATTAAGTATTTAGTACCTCATGAAAATGACAGTCTAAAGATTTTCACAAACAGATACAATAATAGCAGTGTGGAATTGATCAGATAATTGCAATAAGGAACTGATCTGTTTTTTTTACATTCAGGAACTGTATTTGTCCTCAGATGGAGTGTACATTTAAAGGGAAAATTAGTTCAAGTAGGTAGCCGTGTCAGCATGTGTAGGTTGCAAAGGAACAAGTAAACGTTTATTCCATGTTGAAAAGAGAAGAAATAACGTTTCAGCTATGGAGCCTTATTCGGGTGTGTGTTCTTCACACCTGAAGAAGGCTCCACAGCTAAAACGTTGTGTTTCTTTTCTAATCTTTTCAGCATGGAATAAACCTTTACTTGTTCCTTTAAAGGGGAAATTGTTTTTTTAAAATAAAAGCACTTTATTAAAATACACACTTCACAAAATAAAGCAATAACATCACTATCAAAATAAATGTATGTAAATAGGTTCCCTGACCTAGTCCTGTAATAATTACAGTACTGTTTATGCCACTACAGTGTCCTCTGATAATCTGTTCCAGTGCAGAAATATTCAGCATCACTTTGTTATTCCTGTGTATTCTGCACTTCAGCTTGCTTCTGCAATGTCAAACTGTACAGTAGGTCTTGGTTGTATGTGTTGTGCACAGCATTCTTTCTATAGCAGAGATCTCAAGCCCGGAATGTGTAGAGCCCCAGTCCTGTTATTTCTATCAGCCTGTTGTTTCTAAAGATTGGGAACACCTGTAAATTAATGATCAATTTAGCACTTTCATTTAATCTGTTCCAAATGAGAACTGCATTTCATGAAGGATGAAAGGTGCACAGATTGTGATCCTAAATTATATCTAAATGACTTAATTTAACAAATCACTAACTTATTTGGTCATGGTGAAATCATTCCAAGTCTTTAGACATGGGTAAATTTATGGTGAATTAATGGGTAAATTAATGGTAATGGAAATCTATAACAATAGATTTGGCTTCTCCAGAAACAAGATTGGAGAATGCTACTTAAAAAAACCCAATTGAAGTTGCCAAAGAAATGTTTCTTTATATGTGTTATGCATAATTCATAATGTGCCTTTTCACATGAGCTGGATAAGTAAATGTTATAGTAGTCTTGTGGTATCACTGATAATAACACCTCTTGCATCTTTAAAAATGCTGACTTTCATTACCCCACCTGTGAACTACAATTAGTGTCTCATCATTTAAAATAAAAGGTCAAACAGAATTGGATTCTTGTGGAACTCTATAAAATGGGTACATAGTATAACAGGCTTGAAGACAAAGGTACTGTGGTACACTGAGTGAACAGATACACACTGCTCAATCATTTCTCTGTACTACCGCATAAATAATCTCCAGCTTGAATTTCCTTGCAATTTTTAATATTAGAATGTGAAATCAGAAATGCTTTCCTTCAGAACAGAAATTAATAAAGCAGTAAAAAATCCCCTTTAATATTTGTTTTAAAAATATACACAAATATGTATATGAAGAATAGTATTTAGTGGTGTTTTTCACTTACATATAACTTTTTTTACAGCCGTCATATGCCATAGTCAGAATATGTACCGTAGTGTGTAGTGTACGTTCCCAATAGGCAAAACCCTACTTTCTTCTACCATAATGTTAATAAATGCTTGAATCCTGTATGTTACTATCTTAGTTAAGCCATGAGAAGTACAGCTGTAACTAATTACAGTCAAATATTTATGACTTTACTAACCTTAGCCATTTCTTTTAAGAAGTGCAGTATAATTTTGGTCCTTGTTAATAACTTATTATATATTCTGATTTATACCATGATTCTATTTTCTGATTCAAAGATTCTAAATATTTCTCATAGTTAAGTCTTTCTTCATCTTTTTTATTTCAGATGAATATATTTGACAAAAATAAAGATGGACGTCTGGACTTAAATGATTTAGCAAGGTATTGACGAAATTCAAACATACAGTATAACATACATAAGCTATTAGTTTATCTCAAGTTGATATTGCTGTTCAGCTCAATCTTACTGTAGTTACTTTTTTTGCTGTCAAATCTGAGACTTAAGTGTTGTCTTCTACTGTTCTGTTGAAGAGACACATTGAGACCATTTTAATTTACTTATACAAAACTGTTTGGAAATAATATTCGAAGTATCTGTATTTTAGACTTGGATTCAAATTCAGCATTTTCCAAGAAATGCTGGTATTATGGTTTGCTTCGGTACAGTTCATATGAAAAACCCCTTAAGACATGGTTTTGTGAAATTGAACCCAAACCTGCTTATATTTTACTAGAAGATCCCAAAAGTCAAAACCTTTCAATTTTGTCTGTTTATTTTTATATTTCTGAATGGTCCTTGTGTTTAAACATATATTTAGAATTTACAAAATATGAAATATCATGTAAGTCTTCTAAACCAATTAACAGGAGATACAAAATTAGTAAATTGGCATCTGGTGTTTTCTAATAATTTATCTTTTCTATCTCCTTAAAGAATCCTGGCTCTGCAGGAAAACTTCCTCCTACAATTTAAGATGGATGTGAGTGTTCTCCTTCCTCCTCATCAGACCTTTATTATTGTTTTACTTCAATGTGCATTAAATATTTCCTTAACATTCCTTGCATTTACATTTCAGGCTTGCAGTCAGGAAGATAGAAAAAGGGATTTTGAAAAGATATTTGCTCACTATGATGTTGTAAGTATATATTATATTATGTAATGTCTCTATGTCATTAATACAAAATTCCTAATAAAAAAGAACTTCCATTAAAAACCATTCTATCTGAAACATTCTATATCAAGTCTATCTGAAACATTCTATGATATGAAGAAAATTGGGATCTACCATAAGACAAGCTATCTAACCTTTAATTAAATCAGCTAGTTTATTATATACAGTATAAGACATCAATTCAGTCTATTTTTCCTGTTCATAAACATTGCACATCTAACTTAAACCTGTTTAATATATAATTTGGTAAAATTTAAGACCTGTTGTTCTAGTGTTGCACTTCAAGAAACAAAGTAGATTTAATTTCACTTTATACATATAACCCATGTCATAAAGCACAACATTTGAATTGAGAATAAATATATATATTTTAAGTCAATAAATATAGTTATAGTCAGGTTTGGTATCTGTAGAATTTTAATATTTCAACATTAAATGTAGAGTTCTTCATTTACCTACTAAAAATAATGTTCTCCTTTTTTGAATAAGTATAAAATGAAACCTTGAATTAAAGTTCAGAAGACTAATTATACAAAATGTTGCCCAGTAATGTAATGGTTCTCTCAAACATATATTTTCAATCTGGGGTGCAATCATTTGTACATAACCCGTACACTCTATCAGTGCTGAGTGCCCTTCAGTCACACAAATTATATTACTTTGAATAGTTGAACAATGTTAAATGCATTTGTTACCTTTTTACACATACTCAACTCCCTAAGCTGAATTTATTTGCCTTTTTACCTTAATGAATTTATGACTAAATGGTTATATTCATTAAAATATTGCTTTAATAAAAAAAACAATAAATAACTGTCCTTATTTGAATATCAAACCTACCTCAAAGTATGCATAGTTTTATTTTTTTAAATTGTGAATATTCATGAAGTGATATTGATAATGAATGTATATAAATGAATCAAGAAGGCAGAAAGTCATCTGTTTATTTCCCTTAAAGCCAAAAATCAACCGAATTGGTAATATTTTTGCAGAACCACTCTTTACTCAATGCAAATAAAGAGACAGACTTTGTCTTGATGAAGAAAGCATATAAAGCCAGCATGTGCACAATTATTTTTCTTCTCAGGCTCAAACGTTTTTCATGCTCTTAAGGTAACTTTTTCCATTTTCAAATCTATTCAGTAATAAAGTAAAAGCCTAAATTTAAATACTTCCAATACGGTTTTGGGTTTTGTTTGCTTGAAAAATTGTCTTTGTGATTTTTTTATGCTTACAGGAATGCCCACAATTAAACATCACCATAATGATGCTTTATTTTAACTAAACACTTTTTAAAAACATACAGTACAGATTTCAATGCACTGATTTAGTATGGCACTTATTTGCGACAACCTTTATTACTCATAAAAGGCCCAGTTCTATAGTTTAGAGGTTTTCACTTGTGTGCAAATGTTTTGCCAAAACCAGTTACCTGTATCAACACCTTTCCAATATCAATATTCCCTCTTATTGAGAATCACATTTAAGAAGCTCACAGCAGCTCACTTTGATAAGCTAAATCTGATAAAAATGATAAACAAAGTCATGAAAGGAAATCCCACATGCACTCCAGAAAGACAAATCCCCCATCACTAATATGTTTAATTGTTACGTCTAGAAAAATAGGTACCTTAGCTGAAAATACTGAAGACTTTAGTATTCCGGCATCTCAGTGTTTTAGCAAAATAACATTATATTAGCTTGTTTTATTTATTCATGTTCATTCACTAAGTGTTTGCGTGAAGTCTACATGCATTAGCAATCACAGCCCGCAATGTGGGCTCTTCTAATGAAAGTGATCTCCACTTTTACTCAATTCTTCCCTCTAAACAATTATGAATCTCACAATAATTGCTGTAATTATTCATTTCAATATTGTTTTTATCCAAAACCACAAACATTTTTTATCCATCTATATAGCTAGATTATATGCAGCAATGTGAATCAGCAATGTGAATCAATTACCTTATGTAAGGATACAACAGCAGTGCCTCACCTGGGATACAAACTCAGAAGCTTTAAACTCTGTTGTGAGATTAGTTATAACCATCACCTAATGATACTGCTTCAGAATATTACTCAGAATATTTGCTTAATCTCAATGTAGCACTACCTTTTTATATTAACTGGTAGGGTAGGTAGATCCTGGAAGTAATTACTGTATATGACTGGTGTGATTTCTTCATCACAAACTAAGTGATTTATTTTGTTACAGAGTAAGACAGGAGCATTAGAAGGGCCAGAAGTTGATGGTTTTGTCAAAGACATGATGGAATTAGTTAAGGTATGTTTAAAGCTGTTAATTTCATTCTGTGTCTTGTTAATTTTACAATCAATAAAATATCATTGTTTCACATACCGTTGGTGTCTACAGCCCTGATTAAATCAAAGTTCGAATGACCCTTCTAAAGCAAACAAAAAATATTCCTTTTGTTTAAAAAGAGGCTTCTTTCTTCTCACTTGAAATAATCCTTTCTTGGGTGACTTTAAGGTGGGTCAGAGTTTGATTTCATTCTGCCCTAAAATGTGAAACATTTCAGTTAATCATAAATGGAAAATTTGAATGTTTCAAAAATAAAATCAGTCTTTGTTATAAGTACTAGTTTATATTTTATACTCTGACTCTTATTTTATATTCTTTTCTTCACAGCCTAGCATCAGTGGTATTGACTTGGACAAGTTCCGCCAAATTCTGCTGCATCATTGTGATGTGAACAAAGATGGTAAAATTCAGAAGAACGAACTAGCGCTATGTCTGGGATTGAAAGTAAACCCCTAATTTACTAATGAGCAAGAAGCAATACTATTGTGATTAGCCTGCAAAGCAATGATAAGCTATAACATGAGCTTTGGACCTATTGGCATGATGTAGCTTTTAGATTCTGAAGAGTATTGCATTAGGAGTGGAAGCTGGAGTATGTGATGGTATATGAACAACCAGTATGCACTCTTCTATTCATTGCACAAATGCTTGTGGATTGTGTCATTGTGGGTATGTACTGTAATATTGTTGCTGATATTTATGTCTTGAATTCCCATAGTAGTAATTCAGTAGCAGAACAAAAGGATGCTTATATGGTCAGTACAGGTAAACCAATTGCTTCTATATTGTGGTTGGCAAAGTATTGTCACCAGTGAGAGAGTCAAAAGAAAGGCAACACTGATTAAACGTGAACTTTCTTTTTTTAATATTACAAACATTAGATTTATGAATGTTGTGATATTTCTTGTGCTTTGCTTCTGCTTGATTGTAGCATTTTGCATGCGAAACCAACCAAGTGTTTTCTATCTTGACAATCAAATAAACCATATTAGTGATGAAACTTTGTGGATTCTATTTTGTTCTAGATCTTAAAAACTTCCTAAAATGTGCTTTATGAGCATATTATATCTATCATGACTTTTCCATCTGTACCCTCTAAGTTTTTGTTTAGATTTTGGAAGTTTGATCAAATTTCCATATTTATTTAATTATAACAGAGGGGTATTTTTCAGTTCTCTTCATTTTGGAAGCCCTCAAGGGAGTGAAACGTGCTACAATCTGAATCCCTTTCCCCAAACATATGCTTTTGCAGAAAACATCACAATTCTTGCAAAAACTCATTTCCATATAATTTTGATACGATTAATGAGCATTTTCAGTGCTCAATTGCTAAAGGATAAAGATGTTTAATGACAAGTAGGTTTTGGTGACTAATTTGGAAATAACTTTTTAGTATGGCCATTACGATTCTAACAGCTTGTTTGCAGTCCTTGCTTTACTTATACTGTAGCAACTTGTACAGTACAATAACATCTAATTTTCCTCCTCAGTGGCCTGCAAAGGGACAAATGTATACATTTATTACTAAATCACTTTGCTGTAGCTTCCATTCTTATTTTTTGTTATATCTGTAATGAAGAAAAATAAATCTTCATCTCATGAACTCTAGCACAGTCTGGACGCATTGTTACCCACATACTGTACATATTTATACAGTACTTAACTGTTCCGCATCATCACTACTAATTATTGTATTTTTATAGACATTTCATGTCTTCTATTTACTGTATGTCATTGTAGTGTTATCCGTATATTATTTTCACCATTTGAAAACACTGTCTCTCAATCATGGAAGACATGATGATTCCCTTATCTTTAGGGGGACACACTAAAGGTTAAGATTAAAAACTGTGCCCCCCAGTTCTATGAAACTAAAATAAACATTTCCTGCAGACACTGTGATTCTAATAAATATGATCCAACAGTGCACACTAAACAATCTATTGTTTGGAATTAATACATCTGTATTAAAATTTATATAAAACCTAGAGACAGTGCTACAGTGTTTCTCAGAGTTACACCAGATAATAATAATAATAATAATAATAATAAACTTTATTTTATATAGCGCCTTTAAAGGTGGCTTCTCAAAGCGCTTTACAGGATGACAATAACAATAAATAAGAAGACTACAACAATAAATAAGAAAATTTCACAAGACAGGACACAATTATAATTACAACAATACACCAATAACAATAGAGGAGACCGTGGAAGATGGTATTAAGAAGAGCAGAGGGGTGAAGAATGGAAGCAGTTAAGTAAAGGCTTTTCTGAAAAGGAGGGTTTTGAGTCTGGATTTGAAGGAGTTTAGAGAAGGTGACTCTCTAATATCCTTGGGCAAGGAGTTCCAAAGCTTGGGGGCATAGCAGGAGAAGGCCCTGTCGCCCATACAATGTAGACGGGCTTGGGGGACAGTAAGGAGGGCAGAATTTGAAGAGCGGAGGTTGCGAGGTGGGGAGTAGGGCGATAAAAGTTCAGACAGGTATTGAGGTGCCAAGCCATGTAAAGCCTTGTAGGTGAGCATGAGGATTTTAAAGTCTACGCGGAATTTGACCGGAAGCCAGTGCAAGGACTCCAGGATAGGAGTAATGTGAACACTTGCACTAGATCTGGTCAGGATTCTGGCTGCTGAATTTTGGACATACTGCAGCTTGTTCAGAGTAGATTTAGATACCCCAGGGAGCAGAGCATTGCAGTAGTCAATTCGAGAGAATACAAATATGTTGATCAGCTTTTCAGCCACAGTTAATGATAGCATAGGGCGTAGTCTTGCGATATTTCTAAGGTGAAAAAAAGATGTTTTGACAGTATGCTGTACATGTGGGTCGAATGTTAAGCCAGAATCGAATATAACCCCAAGGTTTTTCAATTTTGATTGGAGCTCAAGTACAGAGCCATCTACAGACAGGGTTACAGGACTGGCTTTACGAAGTTGATGGGGGGTACCAATAAGCATGACTTCAGTCTTGTCACAGTTAAGATGAAGGAAGTTTTGAGTCATCCAAATTTTTATGTCAGAGATGCAATTAGATAGAATAGAGACAGCCACATCAGTGTCGGGTTTGGTATGGATGTATATTTGAGTATCGTCAGCGTAAAAATGAAAGCTGAGGCCATGTGATCTTAAAAGCTGACCAAGTGGGAACATGTAAATGCTGAAGAGCAAGGGGCCCAGTATTGAGCCCTGAGGGACACCAGACTTGACAAGACCAATTTCAGACCTGTACCCATTGTACCAGTGGGTTAGCATTTCTCTTGATGTCTAAAGTCTAGGATGTGAACTTGGTTACAAGTATTAATATAAGACCTTTCTCTTACAGAGATTAAAGTAAAAAAGTTCCTGCCAGCTCAATTTAAATGTAATCTTTCATTCAAGCCTGTCATTTGTTTTTGTAACTGAATACTATTTAATTGATTGACGGCATTCCTCAAATTCCCGTGGCAGTCAAATTATCACCTAGACTACTATTTAGGTGGAGGTAAAATCTCAGATAATAAACCAATATGAAAGTTAAACCTCATCCACTTAAGACAACAGTGCCAAGGCAATGATGTATTCATCATGCAAGTAAATGCACAGAAAAACAGTAGTTTCATACAGAAATATTGCCTAAAAAATATAAAGTTTCACTGTTAAAAGTTGAAAGACACTGTTCTACTATGCAACAATTATAATACAGTGAAACAAGTGAATGTTTATGCAAGTTGTACAAGGGAGGCGCTGGTAATGGTAAGAAACCGCTGTGTTTGGAGTCTGTTCAATATTGAGGGATATTCGTAGTCACTTTTATTTATTTAGGAGTCATGCTAGTTGTAAACATGGTTTACATACAATGAATCTTTAATTTTGCTAGCTCATTATGCACTACTTCAGGAAGAATAGCTTTTGTAGTGATGCACTATGAGCTTTTTTTATTTCTTTTATGAAAACAAAACATTGTGGGCACACCCATCTAGGCACATATTGACAAATGCCAGCTGGCACAGGAGAAAAAAAGCTGTGAATTTCAAATCATGGCCGTTTTCATCAGAGACATTGGGATTCTGCAAGGCAGCATCATGAACAAAAAAGTATGTTTCATTACTGTATTGCCTGGAAACCTTACGCACTAAGTGCATAACTGTGTCAACAAGGTAAAGGAAATGAGTTGTCAGAAACACTTGCCCTGTAAAATCTACTGTACAATGAGCAAAGGCAAACATTACTAATAGGTAAGCAAAGTGTTTGGGAGTATTTTTAGAGTCATTATGATGTTCCATTTTCTAAGCACTTTATATAGGCTGCATCCTGTTGCCCTCTTTAAAAGAGTTGAGTTTTGCTGTGTGTTTTTTATCCTCTGTGTTCTTCATGTAATCAGTGTACTCTATTTAAGCAGCTGCTAACAGGCAAACAGCGACAAAAAGCTACAGTGAAGAGGCTTACATCACATAAGCATCTGACTTTACCTGTCCTGTGTTTATTAACTAAGCCGGCTGTTTTAGACAACAATGTGTGAAAATACTATATGCTTATGGGTGGCACTCTTGGGATAAGGGTTATGAATTTAGTGGCCCCTGCCTGCTTTTTTGGGACTATTAGATTTATTTCAAGTGCAGCAATACCCAGGAGGGTTTCGCTGCTGCCCTTTAGAAAGGGAACGCCATACGACCAGGTCTACTTTTCACAAAAGCTTCCAAATGTTTGGATTTTCCTCAATTTCCCTTCCAGACTCTTGCAAAAGCAGCCTCTTGATTGTCAGTCAGCAAGCCGTGGATTTGATTTCTTATTTCCATCTTTCTATAGCAGCACCTGCCTGAAAATGGATCAAAAGATAACTGGGAAAACTTCATTTTAGTTCTCAATTCTGAAAGGAACTATTCAATGTATATCACTTTCTCTGCTACTGTGATAACGATTCCTGAGTAGTCTGTCTTCATTTAGAGAATAAACATAAAAGGTTAAACGTTTCCAGAAACATGGGATTGCACATAATGCAGGAAAGCACAGAATACCTCCAAGGACACAACACAGGCAGAGAATGAATACAAGGAATGAATAGAAGAAATAAATGTAATATATATAAAAACAAAACATTAAGTGGACGTTAATCTTAAATGTTTGTTTCCAAGGAAATTTGGCCAGTTCATTACAAAACAGACCTTCATCTGATTCTATCTTTTATTGTAAATTACACAGTTGGACAATAAGTAGCAATGTTACCTAAATTATAAAACATACAAAGAAAATTGCCAAATGGGTAAGGCAATATTTTACTCTTTTCAGATTCATTTTAAATTATGCATTCTGTAATACTACGGTTATGCCCGGGCAAGTATTTTTTTGACAAATTTTAACAAAGAAATGTATATTTAAATAAATCATTTTTAAAAAGCCTTTTAAATCTGTAATTCACTATGTCAGTATACTGTATCTATTTTGTTTATGGTACATATCTAGTTGATTTCAGTACCTTATAATAGGAGATCTGAAGACATACTGTACTGTAGATTCAAAACATTTAGATTTACATTGCCTCCTATGGGGATTTTAACAAAAGTGTTTTGAATATAGTACCTTGAGATGATGAATTATCCAGCCAATCATTACCTTAATCCAGACTGTATTAATGACCTGTGCAAAAAGTGTTTAACTTTATACAATTAAAAACACCCTTGTGTGAAACAGGGTAATCATATCTAGACAGATCTAGAGAGAAAGAGAGAATGCTAGATATACTTTAGTTTTTTTTTGTTTAAATCCACTTCTCTTCTCTATTTGCTGACTCATTCTGGAAATGACACCATGACATATGGCCAGGGGCTTTTTGTAACTGAGGTAAGTGCTGTTTTACAACAAAGATCATTATATTCCTATGAAATGTTACTCTAATAAACAAGGCATATCTGTGTAAGAGTTCTTCACTTTTATCCATCCCTTCCACATGGAAAAATGAATATTTGCATCATAATGAGGACAGATGGTATTAGCTACAGAGGAGCAAACATTTTTTCTTGATG